TACACTGCGGGCTTTATTTAAATACCAGTCACGGGGAGTGGGTTGCAGATGAGTCAGGTCGTCTAGCAGTGACAGGAGACACGGAAGGGGAGGGGGGGGCTGGGGAGGGGAATGGAGTGGAGCTGAGTGGAGGGAGGGAGGGAGGGAGGGAAGGAAGGAAGGAGGAGGGAGGGAGGAGAGGAGGGAGAGGGAGGGAGGGAGGGGGTTTAATCGCTCAAATACACGCCACGCGTTCACTTTGTTTGATACAGGAAGGGTTCGAGGAACATGCACCGTCCGTGGAGCGCTACGTTGGGTCGTCGGCCAATTGCGCGTTGCGTTGGCTGCCCGGCTTCCCCTCGGATGCCTAGGACGGATCCTGCTGCTTCTTCTTCTGGAATTTTCTGAACTGGGACTGTATGGCGACGGCAGCCTTCTCTGTCTCTGGGGCGTCCAGGTCGATGTCAAACTCCTCCCCTTCGCCCTTGGAAGCCACCGCTGCGTCTGCAACAAATACACAGTGTGATAATTATCGCCACCGCACACAGTCACTACACCTCATGCATCCTGTCATCGCCACCACACACACAGTCACTACACCTCACAGTGCATCCTGTCATTCGCCACCACACACACAGTCACTACACCTCACAGTGCATCCTGTCAATCGCCACCACACACACAGTCACCACACCTCACAGTGCATCCCATCAATCGCCACCACACACACAGTCACTACACTTCACAGTGCATCCTGTCAATCAGCACCACACACAGTCACTACGCCTCACAGAACATCCTGTCAATCACCACCACACACACAGTCACTACGCCTCACAGAACATCCTGTCAATCAGCACCACACACAGTCACTACACCTTACTGCCACCATTCGCCACCGCACACGGTCACAACGCTTTCCAGTCTTCCTGTCAATCGCCACCGCACACAGTCACCACACCTTACAGCCTATCCTGTCAACCACAGCCACACACACTCGTTACACCTTACTCCTGATAACTCATCACCGAGCCCTTCTCCCGTGGAGCGACGAGTTATCAGGAGTTAACCGTATTAATTAACCTTGCGTTTGATACTTCTCAAAAGCGCTTCGCGGGGTTTTACTGTGAAGTGCGGTGACTGGGTATTTCCATAGGAGAACCCACCCCCCCCCCCATCTCCCCCCCCGCACCAACCCTAAAACACACAGTCGCTACACTTGAGAGAAATTAACACCCTTTGGAGGGCTTTGAGACGGTACGAGGCGCCGTCGCCCATCGCGGGGAGTCGAGTCTTCAGAGAGATTCTATCTTGCAACTTAACCAACCGTGTCTCAACCCAGTTTCTAACGGGAAACTGACTGACGGCACAAAGCTGTCTATAATTTACCACCAATTAGCCTCAAATTGGTTATTTCTGTCAGAGAAATTGGAAGAAGACAGATGCTGGGAATAGAGAGTCTCACACCAGCGCAGGTGGGATTACTCTTCCAATATTTTTGGCTGCGCTCTCTTTTTTTTCCGGAGCAGAGAAAAGAAAAAAAAAAAAGTGGGTAGAAATTCCACCCGGGTCCCTATTCAGGAAACGTTTTCAGAGCTCGCGAGAAACCGTTGGCACGGCATCCACTTCGCTGCGTTGAGTAAAGATTTGCTACCCAGAAGTAAAAACGAACAGCCCTGGCAACTCGTGAGGTTCCCTACAACCCTATTATATGGATAGGAGAGCAACGAGGGTGATCCCGAGTGTTAGAGGAACCAGCTGCGAGCAGCCGTTGACTCGTATCTGAATTTCGCCCACGAAATAATTTACCGTATATTCAATTCACTTTTGCCGTATATTCCGTGAAGCCTTTTGAGACGTCTCGACGCGGTGATAAGGCGCTGGGTCAAATGCAAGCGTTATTATTATTAGAATTAACAATCTTTTTTTTTTAAACTGTGACACAGCTCCGAGACCTTATTAACCAATCGATCGTTTTAATATCTCTCAAGGACCTTGGAAAGCTCCTCGAGATGCTTGAGGACAAATTCCGGAGGGAGAGAATTCCCACCGGGCGCCCGATTTGCTCTATTTACGGCTGATTTCACAGTCGTTTCGGAGTTTGGCGAATCTTAACTTTGAAGCCGGCCTTTTTAGCCTCAAGGTCGTGGGTTGAAGCCCCACGCGGAGGACTTTGAACTCAAAGTCCTGATGTGGGGCTTGAACCCACCTATAACCGCACAGCTCTGTTCACCATGATATGAGTGGGGGGGGGGGGACTACCTAGACCCTATGATGCATTTGATATAGCGCCTTATCACTTCGTTGAGACGTTTCAAAACACTTCACAGAACTGTAAAGCAAATTGACTGCGTATTTTGTGGGCAAAACGTGGCAGCTAATTGCGTACAGCAGTGTCCTACAAACAGTCGTGGAATGAGTGACCAAATTATTATTTTTTTTATACGGATTTTTACCCCCGGAAAGTGATCCAGCAATCGACTAACAACGGGCTCCTGCTAGGTAAACAGAGGCGTGCGGAGTAAGGAAAACTTGTCTAAGGTTTTGCCCGGCTCGGGAATCGAACCAGGGTCCTCTCGACACTGCAGGACTCCACAGGATGAGATCGAATGGGCGAAAGGAGGCTTCTTCATCGAACCAATATTGGGACTCCGAGCAGTGAGAATGTGATTCTAATGCGATTTAATGTGATTCTAAAAGTGGCGGCAAGAAAAGACGTGGAAGGGGTTGGAATTTCAGTCCGAACGTGAGCCGGGAAATCTCGACGGACTCGCTCGCGAGGCTGAAGACCCTGCTGCTTCCCAATGGCAATGGGTGAGAATGAAGTGTCCTCAGGCTTTGCGGCTGCAGCTTCCCCATGATTGTTCTGATGACAACATGAGCTCCCAAGCTTTGTGGAGCACATTGTCGCAAAGAGATCCACAGCGCTAAGCCGATGAGTGGAGGCAAATGAGATAGAATATAGTGTGTGTGTGTGTAGGTGAGAGAGAGAGAGAAAGAGAGAGAGAGAGCACTAGTAGAAACATAGAAACAGGAGTGGGCCATTCAGCTCCTCGAGCCTGTTCCGCCATTCTATAAGATCATGGCTGATCTGGACCTCAAGCCCTACCACCCACCCTTGCCCTGTATCCCTTGATATTCCTGTCCTAACAAGTAAAACGACAACAACTTCCAATTATACCCGCTTTTGCCTTTCCCCACCTCCGCAGCATCGTTCGACTCTGCCCACTGTTTCGCACCGCAGGCCACCAAGACACTCACACACGCATTCATAACAACCAGGCTCGACTACGCAAACACCCTGCTTGTCGGCCTCCCCAACTCTTCCCTCCGTAAGATGCAGATTACCAAGAACTCTGCAGTCCATGTCCTCTCCCGCATCAGGCTCCGAGACCCTATCAACCCCATCCTCGCCCGACTCCACTGTCTTCCCATCACACAGAGGATACAGTTAAAGATCCTGGTCCTCACCTTCAAAGCCCTCCATGGCCTTGCGCCCACCCCCTTCCCCACCTCTGTAATCTCCTAACCCGCTACCATCCCACTCACTACCACCGCTCAGCGGGCTCCGGCCTGCTTCATATCCCCCGCCAAGTCCGCCCCACCATTGGTGGACGGGCCTTCTGCCCCCACCCTCTGGAACTCCACCCTACAGTCTCTCTGCCTCGCCCCCTCGCTTGCCTCCTTGAAGACCCATCTCAAGACCCTCCTCTTCGACCGTGCTTTCCCCCCTTGCCCCTCCACCCTCCCCGATCCCGACCCCCAACTTGGGTCTGAAACGCTAATAGTTCAGCGTCTTAGGACATCCTCCCGACGTGAAAGGCGTTATAGAAATGTAATTTTGTTGTGGTTATATAGCGTCCATGCTATCGTCTTAACAATGACTCCAAGCCGGGAACAGAGAGGAAGTGAGGGAAAGCGATAGTCTCAGAGCAAGGGAGGGAGAGCCAGAGAGGAACGGAGGGAGGGAAGGAGGAACGGAGGGGGAGAGGGAGGGATGAAGGGAGGGAAGAGGTAAATGGGGGTCTCCTCCTGCGCTGACAATTTCTACAATTCTGTTTTATGTTTCCAGTTTGAGAGCAGGCGTAGTGCTTGACCTGGTTTTGATTGCCTTTGGCACTGCATTGAATTGGAATCTTTTTCTTGCAAGAGTTTAATAGGATTTTTTTTCACTTTCCCCGTCCGTGGGAGGATTCGCAAATCACTGGGTCACACTTTCTTCACACTAGTTTAGCCGTCAGCCCGGCTCACTAACTAGCGTAAGCCGCCCCCACCCCCCGACTGAACAGTTTTGCTTCCAATGTCCAGTCGCTTTGTCATTTGACCTCACGGCCTTGGCTGATGCTCCATTGAGGTTCTTTCGGATAATATTAATTCTAATAATCCTCGCATTGATATTGCAGTTTATCGCATCGTCGCGACGTCTCAAAGCGCTTTACATACAATAATCATAATCCTCGCATTTTGATACTGCGCCTTAGAACGTCTTCGAGACCTCTCAAAGCGCTTCTCAGAATATACTGTACAGGGGTTTGGCTGTGGGTTTTGTGGGCCAGACCCAGCAGCCAATTGCGCACAGCGGTGTCCCACAAATAGTCGTGGGTTGAGTGACCAAATTATTATTATTATTATTTAATTTATTTATTATTTTGAAGGGATTATTAGATCCAGAAAGCGATCCGCCAATCGGCTAACAACTTTTTTGGAGTCCTTGTAGCTCAGCGGTTAGAGCACTCGCTTTGCAAGCGAGACACCTGGGTTCAATTCCAGGCAGAGGGCGAAACCTTGGGCAAGTTTCCTTACTCCACACAGAGCCTAATAATAATCCCTCCAAAAACAAAAACAATAATAAATTGGTCATTTTCAATCCACGACTGTTTGTGGGACATTGCTGTGCACAATTGGCTGTCGCGTTTCACCCACAAATATACGGTCAATTCACTGTACAGTCTATTCTGTGAAGCGCTTTGAGATGTCGAGAAGATGTGAAAAGCGCTATATCAAATGCAAGGATTATTATTATTATTATAACAACTGGGTTCCTACTTACTGCTAAGTAAACAGAGGCGTGTGGGGTAAGGAAACCCGTCTAAGGTTTCGCCCCAGCCGGGTCCTCTCACTTGTAAGGTGAAAGCACCAACCACTATGCTACAGAACTCCTCATTTAACCTGAGTCAAGGCTGACGCTCCAATGCAATGCTTTTGGAGAGACGTTAAACCGAGGTCCCGTCTGCCTGCTCGGGTGGACGTTATTGAGACCACGATAGTGTTAGAAAAGGGAAGGGAGTTTCTCTCTCTCCTATTCCTGGCCAACAAACCCCCAAATAAAACTGCTGATTCAATGTAGGCAAATTGGTTGCTGGGTTCGCGTACATAACTATACAGTCTCCATAGCAAATCCTGTGAAGCGCTCTTGAGTTGCGAAACACATATCAAACACATTAATAATAATAATAATCCTTGCATTTGATACAGCGCCTTATCACGTCTTCGGGACGTCTCAAAGCGCTTCACAGATTATACTAAAAAGTGAATTGACTGTATATTTTGTGGGAGGAACGTGGCAGCCAATGGCGCACAGCAACGTCCCACAAACAGTCGTGGATTAAGAGACCAATTTTTTTTAAGGAATTATTACCCCCGGAATAGCGACCCACCCGCCAATCGTCTAACAACTGGGTCCCTACTTACTGCTCGGTAAACAGAAGCATGTGGAGTAAGGAAACTTGACCAACATTTCACCCTACCGGGTATCAAACCCGGGTCCTCTCGCTTGCGAGGCGAGTGCTCTAACCGCTGAGTTATAATAAAAATAGTAATCCTTGCATTTGATATCGCGCTTTTTCACATCTTCTCGACGTCTCAAAGCGCTTCACAGAATAGACTGTAAAGTGAATTGACCGTATATTTGTGGGTGAAACGCGGCAGCCAATTGCGCACAGCAATGTCCCACAAACAGTCGTGGATTGAAAATGACCAATTTATTATTGTTTTGTTTTGGAGGGATTATCATCAGGCGTGTGGAGTAAGGAAACTTGCCCGAGGTTTCACTCTGCCTGGAATTGAACCCAGGTGTCTCGCTTGCAAAGCGAGTGCTCTAACCACTGAGCTACAGGACTTAGTTATTAGAATAATAACTAAGTCCTGTAGCTCAGTGGTTAGAGCACTCGTTGTTTGAAACCCATAGGTAATGGTTAACCTTTAAATCCCTCCAATACGGTGTTGGTCTTGCAACACCCTACCTCTGCGAACTCTTCAAACCAATTGATCCGCTCCTTCAGCTCGATGGCCTGTTCCCACCACCACATCGACTCACTATCTTTTCAGCTTTCCTGCTCCCCACTCTCTGGAACTCCTCCTGGAGTCCCTTCACCTCACCCCTTCCCTCACTTCTTTGAAGTCACTGAGGCAGGGAATCCATCTACTCAACTCGATAATCCCCAGACCTTTTTCATTGACCTTCAGCCATCTTTACCACCCCCCCACCCCCTCCCTCCTCGCCCCCCACCAACCCCATCTCAGGACAAACGGTACAGAACAGCGCCTTGGGATGTCTTCCTGATGTGAAAGACGCTATATAAATGCAAATTTGCATCGTATTGTAATTTGCCTTGTATAATATCAATTGGCGAGTTCACGAGAGAGAGAGAGAGAGAGAGAGAGAGAAGGATTCAGTGGGGGGGGTCGGAATTGATTGGAATTACCGAGTCCATAGCTAAACTCAGCCGCCCCTCGGCTGAAAAGAGCTGAATCAGATCTGTTTAGTTTTGTGTGAGTTTGCGCTGGTCGAGGCTGTTGCTGGCGAAAAGCGTTGAGGAGAACATCGAGTGTCAGCCTGGTGCAGTGGTAGCGCTCTCGCCTCCGAGCCAGAAGGTTGAGGGTTCAAGACTCAAGACGGGATTTGGAAACACATAGTCTAAGTTGACATCCTAATGCTGGGGATGTGCTCCAATGTGGGAGGTGCGGTCCGTCCTTCAGATAAGAAGTTAAAACCGAGGTCCCGTCTGCGCCTGTTCAGGTGGACGTTAAAGGTCCCGCGGCGCTATTCGAAAAGAGAAGGGGGTTTCTCTCATCCGGTTGTCCTGGCCGACAATCCCCCAAATCAAATCGGTCGGTCGCGCACTCCAAGGCTGGTTGTGCGACGCTGCTGTGCGCAATTTGGCCGCCGTGTTTCGCCCACGAAGCACACAGTCGATCCACTTCACAGTATATTCTGTGAAGCGCTTTGAGACGTCTCAATGTACGCCTCGTGGGGAGGGTGGGGGGTTGGGGCCTGACTGACAATAAATTGAAGCCCTCCCAACAATGCTCTGCGGCAGTGAGTAAAGCAAACCAGATGTTGGGATGTATCGAAAGATCGATAGGAAGCCGAAATAGTGGGGTAATCTTACCATTGAATCAATCATTGATGAGACTATACTTGGAGTACTGTGTACAGTTCTGGTCACCGCAGTACAAAAAGGATATTGGAGAAATCGAGACGATACAGAGGAGGGCAATCAAAATGAATGAAGGAATAGAGGGACTGGACTATGAGGAGCGACTAAGTAAATTGGGCATCTTCACGCTGGATTGAGAGGCGACATGATCGCTGCCTTTAAGATTCTAAAGTGGGGAGACAATATAGATCAGGACAGGCTGTTTCAACTTGTCCAGAATAGTAAAACCAGAGGGCACGTTCTTATGTTCCAGGGTAAGATTTACCTGTGATTGAAGGGGGGGGTTAAATTCAGAACAAATCTACCCAAACACTATTTCAGTGAGCGAATAGTGAACCTATGGAGGAAGAACAGGCTCCCTAGGGAGATGGTTGAAGCAGGAAGTGTTGATTCTTTCAAACATAGATTAGATGGTTTTCTTTTAGGAAATAACATTATGGGATACAGTACATAGGTAGTTCGGGACATATGTGCCCGCGACCGCCAGGAAAGTGGAAGGCGAACGAGATGGACCTTGGTCGTTTTTCGTCTAGCATTACTTATGTTCTTATGTTCTAGGGTAAGACTTGTGGTATTAAGATTGGGTTGAACCCTAAACCTTGAGGCCTCAGGGCCTTTCGTTAACAACAACAACTTGCATTTATACAGCGCCCTTGAAGCAGTGTAGAATCCCGGAGCGCTTGATACTGGCGGAGTCTGACACCGAGTTTCGGGACGTAGTGGCTGAAGGCGCAGCCACCGATGCTGGAGAGGAGGGTAACGAGGGACAAAAACAGGAGACTGGAGCCAACTGAAACCAGAGGGGGCGGTAAGCAGATCAGAAGATCAGATCGAATCGGAGAGGTAGACTGGATTGATATCCTGGAGTCCTGTAGCTCAGTGGTTAGAGCACTCGCTTTGCAAGTGAGAGACCTGAGTTCAATTCCAGGCAAAGGGCGAAACCTTGGGCAAGTTTCCTTACTCCACACGCCTAATAATAATCCCTCCAAAAAAAAAAAAACAATAATTAAATTGGTCATTTTCAATCTACGACTGTTTGTGGGACATTGCTGTGCGCAATTGGCTGCCGCGTTCGCCCACAAATATACAGTCAATTCACTTTACAGTGTGTTCTGTGAAGCGCTTTGGGACGTCCTCCCGACGTGAAAAGCGCTATATCAAATGCAAGGATTATTATTATTATTATTATTATTTACAGAACGAACTCTAGCTCTAACCAGCTATGCATCTTCTCTCTCTCTCTCTCTCTCTCTGTCACCCCCTCCCCAAACCCTCTCCTCCACACACCCCCCACCCCCCATTCCCAATCTCCTCAACAGACCAGCGATTGGGGAAAAAAAAACAACCAACAGAAAAAAAAACCTCGATCCAGAAACGGGGACCGAAATTTACAAAATAAAAATTACCCGGCTCAATCTTTTTAAAGAAATGGCTGTCACGGATGTTTGGAATGGAAGTAACTACATACCCGAGGGATGCACTGCCATCTGGTGGTTCATTCTATTATTCCGTAAAAAAATATCACAAAAGGATGATAGCGTTAATAAATCCTTGCATTTGATGCATCACGTCGCTGATACGTCCCAAAGCGCTTCGCGGGATGTACTCTGACGTGTAGTGACTTTGCGTTTCATGAGCAGTGGGTTTCGCTCTCGAGTCGGGACTTGGAATCGCACAGTCTCAGCTGACGCTCCAGTGCAGCCCTGGGGGTGCATTGGATTGTCGGAGGTGCCTTCCTTCGGATGAGACTTTACACCGAGGTCCCGTCTGCGCCTGTTCAGGTGGATGTTCAAGATCTTGCGGCGCTATTTGAAAAGAAAAGGGAATTTCTCTCTCCCGGTGTCCTGGCCCCCAAATAAGATTGGTCACTCACTGCGCTGCTGTTTGTGAGACACTGCTTGCACAATTGGCTACCACTTTTCACCCACGAAATACACAGTTAATTCCCTCTACAGTGTACTCTGCGAAGCTCTTTGGTGACGTGGTAAGGCACGACATCAAATGCAGGGATTATTGTTGCTATTATTATTATATATTATTACTCATTCCATAAGAGGCTTGGAGACCAGAACGTAAATGGTTAAGCTTCTAGCTTTGATCTTAGGAGCCCTTGAGCTGAAACTGTTTGGTATTGGTGTGGCGAGGGGTGTGTGGGAGGGGGTGGGGGGGAGGTAGAAGAGAGGGGGCTGACAGCCAGCAGAAACCAGCCAAGGACAGAAGTATGAAATGCCCGTCAGCTTTGCAGCTATGTCCAACGCTTGTAATTGAACACGGAATCTGTTTATTCAGCAGAGTTCACGTTTGATAAAATAATCGACCTAAAGTAGCCCAGATGCTTACTTGCGACAAAAAAAAATTCCTCTTGGAGTTGGAGACTGCTAGGAGTCCTCAGTGGGCTGACAGGGCGTAAAATACTGTAAACTCCTAATAACTTGTCGCTCAAAGTGAAAAAAGGGGGGGGGGGCGCTCAACAAGACAACAAGAACTTGCACTTATATAGTGCGCCTCAGAGCGCTTAACAGTGGCAGAGCCTGACTCCGAGCCGGGGGGAGGACGTGGGGGGAGTGGGGGGGGGCGTAAGCACAGTCGAACAGGAACGTTTTCAGGCGGGACTTGAAAGAGGGGAGAGGAGGCAAGGCGGAAGCATTGAGGGAGAGTGTTTCATAGTTTCGGGACACAGTGGCTGAACACGCGACCTCCGATGGTGGAGCTGAGGGTGTGAGGGACGAGCAGGAGGCCGGTGCCAGTCGAGCGGAGGTGCCGGGTGGTGGATTGGGGAGTGAGGAGCTCAGAGAGGTTGGGAGGTGCCAGAGAGTGAAGGGATTTGAACACGAGTGTGAGAGGATCTTGAAATCGATCGATTCGTTGATGGGGAGCCAGTGGAGCCTGGGCCAGAACTGGTGAGATGTGGGTACGGAGTTTGGTCCGGGTCAGTAGATGGGCAGCAGAATTCTGAATGAGCTGGATCTTGTGAATGGTGGAGGTGGGGAGACCGGCGAGGAGTGCGTTGGAGTAATCCAGGCGGGAGGTGACAAACGCACGCACGAGGATTTTGGCTGCATTTGGGGTAAGAGGCGGGCAATGCGGCGCAGGTGGAGGAAGGTGGTCCTGGTCAGGGACTGGATGTGGGGGAGGAAGGACAATTGGAGGTCGAACCGGATGCCTAGATTGCGCACTGGTTCGGTGAGTCTGAGGGAGAGCCCAGGGAAGTCGAGGACATTAGATCCGAAGAGTGAAGACGTTGCCGGGAGCCAAGCAATATGGCGTCTGTCTGGTCCACATTCAGCTGCAGGAAGTTTACACTCATCCAGGCCTTGATGTCTGCCAGACAAGCTGATAGAACATGGGGGGACCTGGAGTTGGTACTGGAGGAGGTAAAGTAGATTTGTGTGCCATCCGCATACGTGAGGAAGTTCACCCCGTGTCTGCGGATGAGAGGGAGTGTATAGATAAGGTCAGTGATGAGTTTTCAGGAACAGTGAATTAGGTGTGTGTACATAATACAGAAATAATGTGTTATTTATACGTAAATAAATGTGTGCATTTATAGATAAATAAATGCAGCCGAGATATTGAGAGCTCGATGTCTGAAGCGGAAGTGACAAGTTGAGCCATGGTTGTGTTATCAGGCATTTACTGGAATTGTCATCTGTTTTTCACCAACTAAATCAAGGCAGGATGATGTAGGGTGTTTATACAACAACAAATCACAGATTCACATCGGGAGGACGTCCCAAGTCGCTGACAAGTCACGTTTTTGCACCCCAGGTGGGGGTCGGGATCAGGAGGGTTGGAGGGCAAGGGAGAGTGGGGGTAGGAGGGTGACCGAAGGCGCAGTCGAAGAGAGGAAGGTCTTGAGACGGGCCTTGAAGGAGCCAAGGGAGGGAGCAAGGTGGAGGGGCTGTGGGATGGAGTTTCCAGAGGATGGGGTCAGAGAGGCTGAAGGAGGCCTGACCAGCGATGGTGGGGACATGGAGCAAGCCGGAGCCCGCTGAGCGGAGGGGGCGGACAGGCTTGTATGGAGTTAGCAGGTCGCAGAGATCGGGAGGAGCAAGAGTCTGGAGGACTTTGAAAGCGAGGACGAGGATTTTGAACTCTATCCTCTGGGGGAACGGGGAGCCAGTTTAGCTGACTATCTTGCTCTATCTTTAAATCCCTCCTAAAGACCTACCTCTTCGAACGTGCTTGTGGTCACCTCCCTCTTGTCCCTCGCTCAGCCTCCAGCCCTGCCACCACGCAGGGCTGCGAGACGCTATCCTGCATAAAAACGCAAGTTTGTCGTGCTCTTAAGATGTCGTATCGCCGTTCAAAAAGAGAAGAGAGTTTCCTAGACGACAATCTCCCACCCGCACCCCCCTCCCCCCCCCAACACCCCGCCACCGCCTCCCCACTGCCAAACCCTTCCGATAAAACATGGATCACTCACCTCACTGCTGCTTTGCGGGACCCCGCAGAGCGCAAAGCGGCTGCCGCGTTGGCTCGCAAGACGCACAGTCACTACACTTTGAGACTGATCGGCTTTGAGACGTTTCAGTGTTAAAAGTGTTAATGTGTATGAAATACGTATTAAGTACAAATACATCGTGAATTCACTTCGCAGCACATCCTGTGAGGCGCTTTTACACGTCTCGAAGACGTGATAAGGCGCTGTATCGATTACGAGTTTTAGTCATTTTTTTAATAAGAGCCGATGAAAAAAATAATAATTTGCTCGCTCGAACCACGACTGTTCGTGGTATGCCGCTGTGCGCAATCGGCTGCCGCGTTTCGTCCACAAAATACACAGTCAATTTACTTTAAAGTCTGTTCTGCAAAGCGCTTCGGAGCATCTCGAAGATGTGATCAGGCGCTGTATCAAGTGCAAAGAGTATTATTATTATTATTATTATTATTATGATGATGAATGCTCCTGAGCACAAACTGACAAGACAGTTATTTTGAAGGGCACCTTTGGCTGACATTCCTCCCACTCTCCCACAATGTATAAATTTCTCCTTCCACAACAACGTGTAAAGCCTCTTTTTTTTACACACACACATCCCCAAGCATCTGCTCAAAACAGCAGCGCTCAGCAGCCTGAGAGGGACTGAACTCGTGTGAAACCTGGCCCAGCGTAGCGCAGTCCTGCGGAGAACCACCCTACACGAAAGGCTGGCAAAATATCGGTCGATCGCATTCCCGGTCGTCAAGTCAGCATAAAACACACTCCAGCCTCTGAGGCGCTTCAGTAGAGCTTGCAACGATTGACGAAGGTGTCTTCCGATGGAGAAGAACAGGGGCAGGCCGGCTCGATAAACAGAAGGTCACCTCCGAGCTCGGCGCCTTAACCTATTAGCAGAGCGATTCTGCGGTGGTCAGCAGGGACGGTGGTGGTGGTGGTGGTGAGGGTGGGGCTAACGGATGCACGGAAGAGTAGAAGATGTCAGGTTTCTATCACAGATTCACGTGTCAGCCTGGCTCAGGTCAGGCTAGCTCTCGCTTTCTGAGCCAGGAGGTTCTGAGTTCAAACCCCCCCCAAGTCCTCCCCCCTCCCCCCCGACCCGACCGGGACCCTTGAGCAGAAAACCCCCAAATAAAATCAGTCACTCACTCCACGGCTGTTTGCGGGGCACGGCTGCGCGCAAAACTGGCGGCCGCGTTTCGTCCACAAAATGCAGTCACTCCACTTTACAGTGTGTCCCGTGAAGCGCTTTGAGACGTCTCGATGACGTGACAAGGTGCTATATCAAACGGAAGGGTTATTATTATCATTACAGTAGAGCGCAGGCGGGGACTGCATTGTCGGAGGTGCCGTCCTTCGGTTGAGACGTTAAACCTCTGCGTCTGTTCAGGTGGACGTTAAAGATCCCGCGGCGCTGTTGGAAAAGAGAAGGGAGTTCGTCTCTCCCGGTGTCCTGGCCGACAATCCCCCAAATAAAATTGGTCACTCCTCCCTTCCCTGTCTGTGGGACGTTGCTGCGCGCACATTGTCTGTCCACAAAATACGCAATCACTACAATTCACAACAAACCCCCGTGAAGTGCTTCGAGACACCCTCATGACGTGAAACGAGCTACGTTAAAGGCAATGATTATTAGCACCGTGTCGACTTGACGCGATAATTCGCGGTTGAATCTGTTACGAAAAGACCCCAATTAAACGCTGCACACTCCCTCTCTCCCTCCCTCTCTCCCTCCCTCCCTCCCATCCTCTCCCCCTCCCTCCACCGCTCCAGGGCAGTAGCTAATCTCAATTTAACGATGCTTTTGCTCGGTCGGGTGGGTCGGTCGGTTGATGACCCCGGTGTTTGTGGGTTTTTTTTAAAACGTCTTTTATTGTTATAACAATGAGATCGAAAAGTTCCGCAATGAGGACAACTGTCAAAAGTTAACATCAGAAAAAAGTTAAACACACACACACACACACACACAGAGCACACACACACTCTCTCCTCTCCTCTTCTCTCTCTCTCTATATATATGTATATGTAGCAAAGAATTTAAAGTCACCAAAAAAAGACTTTGGTTCACACTTGAAGGGGCGAGACTCAAGTCTCGGCCAATGCAAGTTTTTTTTCAGAGGTAGACACACACTCAGTTGAGACGTCAGAAACTACTTGTAAAAGGGTTAGTTTTGTTTTCTTCTCTTCCTTTTTATTTACCTAAAATAAATTTAGAAGCCATTTTACATTTACACAAGACAGGTTAAAATCTATCTATATATTTGATATATATATTTTTCGAGATATATATATATATAAAATATATATAATGGATTTTTTAAAAGAAATCAGAATCCAAATTAATCTCCCCCCCCAAAAAGAAGAAAAGGAACGAGGTGGGGTCTACTGTTTCTGAGCCACCCCCCCCCGCACCCCCACCCCCACCCGAGGGAGGGAGGGAGTTATTCTGTTTAGTGAATCGTCACAAACTTTTAAGTACAATTGCTTTTTGCTTAGAAAACTATTTAGTTAACATTAACCGCTTACTTCACCCATCAGCCCCCTCGCCCACCTCCATTCCGCGTCTCTCTCTCTCTCTCTCTCCCCCCCACTCTCTCTCCCCCACCCACCCGATTTCCCTGCCGCCACCCGCCGTCCACTCTCCCGCACCCATCTCTGTGGAATCCCGTAGCCCAGTGGTTAGAGCACTCGCCGTGCAAGAGAGAGGACCTGGGTTCGAGCCCTGAGCGGGGAGAATCGATAGGCAAGTTTCCTTACTCCACACGCCTGTTTACCCGGCAGTAAGTAGGAACCCGGTTGTTAGTCGATTGGCCGATTGCTTTTCCGGAGATGATAATCCCTTAAAAAAAATTTAAATAATAATAATAATTTGGTCACTCAATCCACGACTGTTTGTGGGGACGCTGCTGTGCGCAACTGGCTGCCGCGTTTCGCCCCGACGTGAAAGGCGCTGCACAAATGTAATTTGTTGTTGTTGTTGACCACCCACTTGCCGCTCGCTCGCTCGCCCGCCCGCCCGCCCGCCTGTGAGACACAGAATCCAGTGCCTGATTTTCGAAACTCCGTCCGTTTCGTAGCAATAAAGAAAACAGTCTTTGAAGTTGAAGGCTAGCCGAGCAGGAATCTTCAAACGCTCTAAACTTCGGCCTGGGCTTTGGAAGACGGCTTTTGTTTTTGAGAGAGAGACAGAGAGAGAGAGAGAGAGAGAGAGAGAGAGACAGAAAGAAAAACTCGGCACGGATCCCACATTAATGCCGATCTGGCGTTTTAGAGACTTGCCCTCACTTTTTACGCAACCTTAACCCAGTGTAACCCAGTCTCCCCGGGCACCTGCGATAAGGGAACCCGGCGAGAAGGTGAAACTGGTTACTGAAACCAGGCTAGAGAGGGGGAAACTGGTTACTGAAACCCGACTAGAGGAGTTGTAGGAGTTCTCGCCTCGCAAGCGAGAGGACCCGGGTTCGATTCCCGGTCGGGGCAAAACCTTAGGCAAGCTTCCTTATTCCGCACACACGCCTCTGTTTACCTAACAGTAAGTAGAAACCCGGTTGTTAGTCGAATGGTGGATCGTTTTCCGGGTGCAATGATTTCTCCCCCCAAAAATAATAAATAATAATTTGGTCACTTCAATCCACGGCTGTTTGGGGGACTCTGCTGTGCGCAATTGGCTGGTGTGTTTCACCCACGAAATACACAGTCAATCCACTCTACAGTATATTCTGTGAAGCGCTTTGAGACGTCTCGACGACGTGAGAAGGCGCTGTGTCAAATGTAAGGATTATTATAATTAGAACTGGTTACGGAGGGGGAGGAGGTGGGGGTGGGGGTGGGCAGGGATGGGTTGGGGGTTGGTGGGGGTAGGGTGGAGAAGTCTAGTTACTATATCCTGACGAGGCGGTGAATCTAGTTACAGACACCTGGCGACAAGATGGACAGATGTATCCACACATCGGCCACAAAAGCAGAAGGGGTCTCCCCCCACCAAAACCAAAAAACCCCAGTCCCACTCGACCCCCTCCCCCACCTCCCTCCCCCGAAACGAAACAATTTCCCGATTTTTTTTTTTCAAACATTTTTTTTTGTTTGGCAGAAAAAAAAATCACACGTCTTTCTCGATTATAAATATTGGAGTCAGTAAAAAAAAATGTTAGCTTTTATGCTCTTAGCTTTTCCCATCGAAGAGTATGTACAAGCCTGGTTGTGTTAGTTAGGGGCCATGCGGTTGGTTATACCAGGGTGTACGACTTTGCGTAAGGGTTATTCCCCGGCTTCCCGTGCCCTCGGTTGTCCAGTAAAGATTCCTGGGAGCTACTCAGTTTGGCCGTCTGTCCGTGCTCCGCTGCCTCACGCGGAGGTAATGTTGACCCGCTGCCTGTTTGCCATTGATGCGTGTCTCTGCTGGTGACTTCCACGGGGATGGGCTCCAGGAGGAGAGTACGTTTCATTGTGCCTCTTCTCTGCGGTTCCAGGCATCCATGACCATGACCCTGACCCTGGGCTGGGTCCCTGCTCGGTCCACTCACCCCTCTGTGGATCAGAAAGTCCACCCGCAGATACGGAGGCAGATGCATGAGGTCTCCTGCACATAGATAACAACAAGACAAGATGAGTCCTGCTGCTGTGTCTCTTTCACACGTGCACATGCGACACCCACCCCCCACCACCCCTCCACCGTGTGTTCTTTGGTACAGCGCCCTCATCAGTGGAGTGCCGTAGCAATAGTGGTTAGCACGCTCAGCTCGCAAAACCAGAGGACCCGGGTTCGATTCCCCGGCAGGGCGAAAACTTAGGCAAGTTTCCCTACCTCACACACCTCTGTGTACCTAGCGGTAAGTAGGAACCCGGTTATTTCTCGATTGGTGGAGCGCTTTCCAGGGGGTAATAATCCCTCCCCTCCAAAAATAATAATTTGGTCATTCTGGGACCCTGCCGTGCACAATTGGATGTCAACCCGCTGCAGTAGTGGAGATCTCAACTCAGAGTCAGAAGGTCGTGGGTTTAAGCCCCCACGTCGGGACGTGGAATCACAGCGTAGTGCTGGGGGGACGGGGTGGGGGGGGGGTTGGGGTGTGTGTGTGAGGCAGGAGGTGTTGCAATGTCGGAAGTGCTGTCCTTTGGCTGAAACGTTAAACCGAGATCCCCTGCCTGTTCAAGGGGACACTTATGCCATAAATCAAGAAAGGTTCCATCGGGAAAATGTACTTATAAACAAAACGCAAAATACTGCAGATGCTGGAAATCGACCTTTCGTCACAACTGACGAAGGGTCGAGGACCCAAATCGTTGACTCACTTTCCTTTCTCCATAGATGCTGCCTGACCCGCTGACTGTTCCCAGCGACTTCTGTTCCTGTTTGGGAACATTTATTTTGTTGCCGGCTGACTAAAATGTTAACCGACCAAAAAGTTGGCCAACACTGACCTGGATAGATAAGAGTGTGATGTCTGGGGATTGTAACTCAACTAATTTAGCAAAGGCGTCCTTCAGACATCATAGCACCTCGGACCTCTGTAGAGAGGAAGGGTTGGATGGAGAGTGAGGAGCAGTGGGTGGGTGATCTCTCTAGGGAAGTGATCAGTCCATGTGGTAATTACGGATTGAACCTTCCCATCCACAATGTCAAGACTTCAGCTCACCGTCTAGGCTGACATTATGTGTGTGTGTGGTTGGGGGTTGGGGGGAATGGGGGCATCACAACAACAATAACTTTAGGTGGTAAATTCAAAACGAATCCACAGAAACACTATTTCAGTGAGCGAATAGTAAACCTGTGGAACAGGCTCTCTAGGGAGATGGTTGAAACAGGAAATGTTGATTCCCTCAAACACAGATTAGATTTTCTTTTAGGAAATATCATTATGGGATATCTATCGAACGTAGGTAGTTTGGGGCGATGCGAACACCAGGAAGGTGGAAGGCGAACTAGATGGACCTTGGTCTTTTATTCGTCTAGCAATTCTTATGTTCTTATAAATATTTTGAGGACATTGAGGTACTGGCTGTGCCTGTTCAGTTAGATGTTAACAATCCCGTGACTTTCTTCCAAAAGAGAAGGGAGTTTCCTGCCCAATGATTACCCCCAAACAAATTATTTTTATTTTTTTTGGTCAGCCGGGTGTCTGACACATGCGGAAACCCATCACCATGGTTAATAGGTCGGCGAGAGCCAAGGCTTGGGGATCCCAGAGTGTGAGTTGGGGTAACTGCTGGAGTCTAACCAGCTAAAAGCACATAGCTTGCCATTGATAGCGCTGTCTGGCAAGCTTTCCCGCTGTTTGTCCAGCTAGGACCGATCACCCTACCTGTTTGGGCTTTGACTTGCAGGGTTAACATGAGCTGAGTGGGATTATTCTCTGACCCCAGTGACTGGTCTGCCCTTCCAAGTCCTGCCGATGAGCCAGGCTGGGGCGGTGCTGTCATCAGCAGTGCCCTGGAATACTGCAGACCCGCCTGGCTCAGGAACCGGACGAGCGAGACCACTGCAGAGGGCTGGTTTGATTCTGATATTCCATTGCCAGTTCAGCTCCCACTGAAGCGAGACCTCCCTCACCTACCCACCAAACAAAATTGTGTCATTCGTTTCACGGCTGTCTGAGGGAATGTCACCGTGAGGGAAGCTTGGCTGTTCGCCCTCAAAACGTGACACAAAGTCAATCCGTTTTACAGTAAAATCCTGTGAAATGCCTTTTTGAGATGCTCTGGCAAGTGCAGTTCTCTTATTTTTTATTGTTGCTTATGTGCGCTCAGCTTGAACTAAATGGCAAACCACTCTAGCCAAGCTCTCCAGCCACGCGACTTGGAAAAAGCCTGAATAAATAATGAAGGAATGACATTAAAGATGTGACACAGGAGCTGACAGTTGATCTCAGAATACCTCAACAACAATCCACTCCATGCATTTTTCAAGACACCTGAATATTCGTTACCTGGGAGACCTCCTGCAGAGATACCACTACCCTGGTCACTTTTCTCCATTCGGTGGCCACCGGCCTGCTCCATGATCCCCCCACCTAATCCACCCCTAACACTACCAGCGGTCCGGCTTTCAGCTGTGTCAGCCTGGCTCATTGATAGCGATTGAGTCCAGAAGCTTGTGGGACTTAGAATCACATAGTCTAAGCTGACGCTCCATTGCAGCGCTGGGGAGGTGTTGAATTGTCGGAGGTGCCGTCCTTCGGATGAGATATTAAACCGAGGCCGCCCCATCTGCCTGTTCAGGTGGATGTTAAAGATCCCGTGGCTCTATTCGAAAAGAGAGGGAGTTTCTCTCTCCTGATGTCCTGGCCAACAATCCCCCTAAATGAATTTGGTCACTCACTCCATGGCTGTTTGTGGAACATTGCTGTGTGCAAATGTGCTGCTGTGTTTGTCCACAAATACACAAACACTCCATTTCACAGTAAATCCCGTGAAGCGCTTTGAGACGTCCTACCGACGTGATAAGGCGATACCAAATGCAAGGATTATTATTACTGTTGTAGCTATGGAGTCCCCTCGCCTCCTTTGGGGACTACTAAGTTGTTGTTTGTAATTAACAACTGGAACAGAGTTGCCGGGAAGGCTGGTTGAGGTGAGGACACTGAGAATCTTTTAAAAAGCAACAATAAATTTACATTTATATATAGCGCCCTTCACATCCAGAGGACATCCCAAGGCGCTGGGCAGTTCAGGGTTTGCCCGAGCTAGGGGTGGTGGGGGGAAGTGGGTGGCGGGGGGGTGGGGGGGGGAAGATGAACGTAGGCTCGATCAAAAAGGAAAGTCTGGAGATGGACCTTGAAGGACGCAAAGAAGGGGATGAGGTGGAGGGACTCCGGGATGGAGTTCCAGAAGGTGGGAGCAAAAACATCAATGGCAGGCTTGCTGACAATAATAATAATCCCTGCATTTGATATAGCGCCTTATCATGTCATTGAGATGTCTTAAAGCGCTTCACAGAATACAGTGTAAAGTGGATTGACTGTATTCTGTGGGCCGAACACGGGAGCCAATTGAGTACAGCAGTGTCCCACAAACACTCGTGGATTGAAGTGACCACATCTTTTGGGGGGAGTATTAGCCCCGGAAAGCGATCCGCCAATTGACTAACAACCGGGTTCCTATTTACTGCTAGGTAAACAGATGTGCGTGGTGTAAGGAAGTCAAACACGGGTCCTCTCGCTTGCGAGGCAAATGCTCTAACCACTACGCTACAGGACTCCACGCAGGACAGGGAACGTGAAGCAGGCTGGTTGCCCGCTGAACGATGGGAGCAAGTGCGTTGGTAAGGTTTGAGGAGCTCACAGAGGAAGGGTGGAGGCAAGTCCGTGGAGGGATTTAAAGGTGAGGATGAGTATCTAGAACTCGATCTGCTTGGGAGGATGGGGAGCCAGTGAAGCCGGGCGAAGGTGGGGGAGTAGGGGTGGGGGTGTGGGAGGGGAGGGGAGGGCGGGGGTGAGCTCATGAAACAGCTTGATGATGTGATGGAAGAACGGTAGAGCAGGTGGGTTGTCCTCTGGAAGGATGAGATCAGAAGAGCCGAAGGGCCTTCTTTACCTGAGCCGATCTATTGAGTTACGGTAAAAAAAATAAATCGAGACATGTGCAACAACACTGTTCCCTTTATAGCAATGGCAAGCGCCCCTGGCTGGGGGAGGATGGTGTGTGTGTGGTGGGGGGGGGGGGGGGACTGAATTACGCAACACGCTGTCACCCAGAAGGCACGACTCAAGGTCAATATGCCCTCCATTCTGCTCTCACTGTGTTTTTTTTCCTCTCTCGTGGGCTGCAGAGGCTGAACGGCAGAGTCCCTATGTTTTATTCACAGCAAAGAGAGAAGGATGTGACCTTTTTTTTTTGCTTTGCTCCTCAGCTCTCGCCAACCCCAACCGCAGAGATTCCTTCTACCGTCCGCAGCCCCCAAAAAAACTTAGCGATGGAGCAGGGACCAAAACTAGGAGGGCGCGGGTTCGAATCCCAGGGGAATCCCTGTAGCGTAGTGGTGAGAGCGCTCGCCTCACAAGTCAGAGGACCTGGGTTCGATTCCCGGGCAGGGCGGAACCGTAGGCAAGTTTCCTTACTCCACACAACCTCTGTTTACCTCGCAATAAGTAGGAACCCGATTACTAGTCGATTGCCGGAATGCTTTCTGGGGATAATAATCCCTCCAAAAAAAAAATGATCACTGAATCCACAACTGTTTGCGGGGACGCTACTGTGCGCAATTGGCTGCTACGTTTCGCCCACAAAATATACAGTCAATCCACTTTACAATATATTCTGTAAACTGCTTTGAGATGTCTGCCTCAACGACGTGATAAGGCGCTCTATCAAATACAAGTATTATTATTATTATTTTCCCGGTCTGTAATGCCCGTCAGCCTGGCGCAGTGGGTTCGCATTCTCGCCTCTGAGTCAGAAGGTTGTGGGTTCAAGCCCCACCCCCGCCACGTCGGGGCAGTCTAAGCGATTCACAATCGCGCAATTGGCTGCTGCTTTTTCGCCCGCAAAATCCACAGTCAAACCACTTCACAGCGTATCCTGCGAAGCGCTTTGAGACGTCTCGAAGACGCCATAAGGCGCTATGTCGAATGCGAGCATTATTATTATTACTACTATTATTATTTGTGACTCCGAGGAAGATGAGAGCCGGGCAGATGAAACCAGGAGAGTTAGGACGTCACGCGAAAGAAAAAAGTGTGGAACAAAACATGAGAATAGCTCAGCTGGAGCCTGGCCCTGAGAAGGATTCTCCAGCTGTGTCTAATTGCACATGGAAGGAACGGGAGCTGTGCTCTGTAATGATGCTTTTCGCTACCAGTGTCTCAGAGATGTTGATGTGCTGTTGCACTCTCAGCATCAGGTTCACAGCTGAGAACCTGCCGTGGCTTGTGAACTGTCAGATGCGGCGGTTTGTCTCCACTAGAACTGCATTTAATGAGACAACAGAGAGATAGAGAGAGAGTGGGGGCGGGGGGGGGGGTGAGGGGGGGAAGAGAGAGAGATCGAGGGGACGGGGGAATAAAGTGACAAGAAAAGGCGAGAGTGAGAACGAGAGAGAGAGAAGGCGAGAGACAGAGAGAGTGAGGGCAAGAGATAGAGAGAGAGAGAGAGAGAGTGTGAGGGCTAGAGAGAGATGAGAGAAAGAGGGTTGGGAGAATAACGAGACCGGAGAGAAAGAAAGAGAGAGAGAGAGAGAGCGAGAGGGAGACAGAGAGAGAGATGAGAGAGGGTGAGAGAGAGGGAGACAGAGAGAGAGATGAGAGAGAGAGAGGTGAGAACATGAGAACAAGGGAGAGATGAGAATCTTCCCGGGTCAAAGCTGCCATTTCTCTCCCTTCACCTCGTAGCTTTGCTCACAAATGGTTTATATACTGTATATATATATATAAAATTACACTCTGCCAAAATCCAATAGCTGTCTTGCTAAATGTTTAATGTCACAAGAGATTCCTGACTTCATTTCTTCACGGATGAAAAATAAAATCAATTCTGTCTATCTTTATTCCCACTGCAACCTACTGAGCACTCAGACACCCATCGCTGTGTTTGTGTGTGTGTGTATCTGTGTGTCTCTGTCTGTCTGTGTCTTTGTCTGTCTCTCTGTGTCTGTGTCTCTCTCTATATCTGTCTGTGTCTGTCTCTCTGTGTCTCTGTCTGAGACATACTCTCACCGCTGACTGTGTCTGTGTATCTGTCGGTGTATCTGTGTCCGTCTGAGACACACTCTCACCACTGTCTGCCCGTCTCTCTGTATCTGTCTGCCTCTTTGTCTCTGATTGTCTGGAGACGAAGGAGGGAGGGAGATTTTATGGGGTCAGCTGAGTGTCTGACACATGCGGAAACCCATCATCGTGCTTAATAGTATCCAAACCAAACTGAGAACCCCAGGCATCCCACCTACCCATGGAAATCCCAGAGATAGACTTGTTTGGAATGGAATGCGCACTCTCTCTCTCCCTGGAGGGACACATCCTGTTTACCTAATTCCGGAAAGTATTAGGCGCAGCTTGGTAAGAGCCAAGGCTTGGGGGGACCCCAGAGTGTGCGTTGGGGGTAACTTCTGAAGTCTAACCAACTAAAACCGCAAAGATTGCCATGGATATCGCTGGCTGGCAAGCTTTCCCTCTGCTTGTCCAGCTAGGACCTCCCAACCCGTGAGAGCTATGGCTTGCAGGGCTACCAAGAGCTGAGTGGGATGACTCCCTGTCCTCAGGGATTGTTCAGCCCTTCCAAGTCCTGCCGATGAGACAGGCTGGGGCTGTGCTGTCATCGGCAGTGCCCTGGAATACTGCGGTCCCGCCTGGCGCAGGAACCAGACTACCGAGACCACCACAGAGGGTCGCCACGACTCTTGACATTCCATTGCCAAACATGTCACCTTGGAGCCAGTTCAGCCAGGGAGAGGGGGAGACAGGATTGGAGGGGGAGAGAGAGAGAGAGAGAGAGAGAGAGAGAGAGAGGAGGGGAGGGAGAAGGGGAAGGGGCAGAGGGAAGGGGACGAAGGTTGAACAGAGGGAGAGGTGGAGAAGGGGCAGGCAGAGCCTGGCGAGGAGGAGGAGGAGGAGGAGGAGGAGGAGGAGGAGGTTGGCGCTGGGAGTACCTGGTCGGTGTGCTTTGGGCACGGCCATGTTGGCCACTCTTCCAGCCTCCTGTGGCTTGGGCGGAGAGGCGGTGAAGCGGCAGATGCCGGACTCAGAGGGCGTGCTGGAGGTCAGGCTGTCAGTGTAGTCGTTGGTGCCGGCCGTCAGCTGCTCGGAGGACGTGTCGGAGATGAAGCACTCGGTGATGGTGAACTTGGCGTGTCGTAGCTGCTCCTCCATCTTGGCGTGCTCGTAGGCTCGGGCCAGCTCCTCGTACGTGGAGGAGGCGCTCTCCGTGGATACCATGCTGCTCCGTGCTCTGTCTGACAGGAGAGAAAGAACCGTTTCCCTCCATTAGTAACGTAGGAGGAGGAGGCCATTCAGCCCCTGGTAGAACCAATAGAATCATAGAATTATACAGCACAGAAGGAGGCCATTCAGCCCATCGTGTCCGTGTCGGCTCTTTGAAAAGAGCTATCCAATTCAATCCCACTCCTCCGCTCTCTTTCCCTAATAGCCCTGCAAACTTGTCCTCCCCAAATAATTATCTACTTCTCTCTTAAAAATTGTTATCGAGTCGGCTTCCACCACCCTTTCAGGCAATGGATTCCAGATCCAAACAACTCGCTGTGCGAAAACTTTTCTCCTCACCTCCCCTCTGTTTCTTTTAACAACTATTTTAAATCGGTGCCCTCGGGTTACCGACCCACCCGCCAGTGGAAATAGTTTCTCCTTGTTCCCCCTATCGAATCCCTTCATAATCTTGAAAACTTCTGTTAAGTCTCCTCTTAACCTCCTCTGCTCCAAGGAGAATAATCCCGGCTTCTCCGGCCTCTCCTGATAACTGAAGTCCCTCATTCCTGGTACCATCCTGGTCAATCTCCTTTGCACCCTCTGCAATGCCATGACATCCTTCCCAAAGTGCGGGGCCCAGAACTGAACACAGCTCTCTAGCCCTCGAGCCTATTCTGGAGATAATAGGTAATTCGAACACTGAGTTTAGAGCGTGGGAGGACAGAAAGGGCACAGACCTGCACGGCAAAGCACTTGCAGTTATTATTGTCAATATAATAATAATAATAATAATCCCTGCATTTGATATAGTGCCTTATCATGCCTCAAAGCAGAGTATACTGTAAAGTGAATTGACTGTATAATTTTGTGGGCGAAAAGCGGCAGCCAATTGCACGCAGCAGCGTCCCACAAGCAGTCGTGGATTGAGTGACCAAATTACTATTATTTTACTTTTTTTTAAAATGATTATTACCCCTGGAAAAGCAACCAGGTTCCTACTTTACTGCTGGGTAAACGGAGCCATGTGGAGTAAGGAAACTTGCCTAAGGTTTCGCCCCCCCCCCCCGGGAATCGAACCCGGGTCCTCTCGCTTGCGAGGCGAGCCCACTAACCACTAAGCTACAGGAGTTGAAATGAAGAAGCCTTCTCTCCCTCCAACCTTCCCATCCCTTCCTCCCTCTTCTCCTCTTCCTCTGTCCCTCCTCTCCTCTCTCCATCCCTCCCCTCCTCTGCGTCTCCTTCACAACCCATCCCTCCCTCCCTTCCTCCCTCCCTCCCTCCCTCCATCCTTTTTATTACATGTTGTTGATACGAGTACCTGTGTCTTGTGAGGGACTGACACTGTAGCTGTCGCTCTCCTTGTCCACCGAGCCGGGTACGTGCGGGGTTGGGACCCTCCAGTCTGTGGTCAGGGTGTGGGCGGACACTGGAGGATGGGGACGGTTCAGTGTCCACTGGCTGGAGTACCGGTTGCGGGCAGATGGGGCTCCCTTCACGTTTCTGCGGGCGGTGGGATCTGTGGGGGAGGGAGGTCACACGGGAGGAATTTGCAGTGTCCTGGCGAGACCCACAGAGGTTGGCGCGCTCGACAAATTTATAGCCAGTCACACAACAGCAAGAGCAACTTATAGCGGCCTTCAGGTCGGACGGCAGCACTTTCCCGTGAAGCATTTGAGAAGTCCTCCCGATAAAAAGTGAAAGGTGCAAGGATTCTTCACTAGGCTTCTTTACTTTGGAGTCCCGTAGTGCCGTGGTTAGAGCACTCGCCTCACAAGCGAGAGGACCTGGGTTCGATTCCCGGGCGGGGCGAAACTTTAGACAAGTTTCCTTACTGCACACACGCCTCTGTTTACCTGACAGTAAGTAGCAACCCGATTGTTAGTCAGTGGATTGGGGGATTGCTTTCCGGGGGTGATAATCCCTCCAAAAATAAAAATAAAAATGATAATAATAATTTGGTCACTCAATTCACGACTGTTTGCGGGACCCTCCTGTGCCCAATTGGTTATTGGGTTTCGTCGACACAATACACAGTCAATCCAATTTAAAACTGGAAACCCAGTGTAAATAAAACCATTCCCGACAGGGGCGGGGGGCAGAATACTATCAAAAATCATCGCAAGGTTTTAAATAATAATAATAGTAATAATAATAATAATAATAAGCCTTGCATTTGATACAGAATTTTTCACATCTTCGAGACGTCTCAAAGCATTTAACAGAATATACTGTAAAGTTGATTGACTTAATTTGTGGGCGAAACGCGGCAGCCAATTGCGCACAGCAGTGGCGCACACAAACAGTCGTGGATTGAGGTGACCTTTTTTTTCTTATTTTTTTTCTTGAGGCGTGTGGAGTAAGGAAACTTGCCCAAGGTTTTGCCCGGCCGGGAATCGAACCCAGGTCTCTCGCTTGCGAGGCGAGTACTCTAACCGCTGAGCTACAGGACCCCGGCATGACAGCGACGCAGTGGTGGAAAAGCCGAAGGGGAAAACCATTCTCCAGAAGTCGGACGGCTGTTCAGCAGCAAAACAAGTCATTAAGTCACGGACAGAAATAGCTTCAAATACTGTATCTTGTGACATGATAATTAGCACATCACATAAACTGAAAACTCCCCCCCACCCCCCGCCTCCGCTCACACACATAAATGTACACATTTCTTCACAGTCGCACCACTTTACAATGTATTCCCTTGAGTTGAGAAGGTCAAGGGGTGACTTGATTGAGGTACTTAAGATGATGAAGGGATTCGATAGGGTAGATACGGAGAAGCTATTTCCTCTCGCGTGGGAATCCAAAACAAGGGAGTGTCGTCTTAAAATCAGAACCAGGTCATTTAAGAGTGAAATCAGGAAGCATGTTTTCACTCAGAGGGTGGTAGAAATCTGGAATTCTCTCCCCCAAAAAGGCTGTGGATGCTGGATCCATCTACACCTTCAAGAGTCAGGTTGATAGGCTTTTGGTAGGTCAGGGTATTAAGGGATACAGGAAGAAAGCAGGAAATTAGAATTGAAAGGATTAGTTGAGGTACAGATCTAATTAAATGGCGGAACAGGCTCAAAGGGCTGAATGGCCTCCTCCTGTTCCCCTGTTCCTATGTACAGTATATTCTGTGAAGCGCTTTGAGACAACGTGATAAGGCACTATATCAAATGCGGGGATTATTATTGTAATACATAATATTATTTGTGTATATGTGAGAGGAAGGAGGGAGAGGTAGTGTGACTTGGGTTATTTGACGTGATAATTATAAAGCAGTGCAGTGATTTTGTATTTGTAGGTGAACTTGGAGGTCAATTTGCACACAGCAACGACCATACAACCAGCCATGGAGTGAGTGACCAATTTTATTTGGGGGATTGACACGGGGAGAAAGAAACACCCTTTCCTTTTCGAGCAGTGCCACGGAATCTTTAATGTCCACCTGAAATCTCTAACGTCCATTCTAACTTCAGTAGTGGAGGGAAGCATTCGTGCGAGGAAATTGGAAAACCAAAGATGTGCCTTTGGGAACACGGAGATTGGATCTCAGATAAAGAGAACAGGCTCATCAGCAGGACAAGGATGGGCCGACTAGTCACCGGGGTCAGGGAATCCTCCCACTCGGCTCCTGTCAACTCTGTAAGCCAAAGCCCTAACGGGTAGAACGGTCCCAGCTGGACAAGCAGCGGGAAAGCTTGGCCAGACAGCGCTCTCAATGGCAAGCTACGTGGTTTTAGCTGGTTAGACTCCAGCAGTTACCCCAACGCACACTCTGGGGTCCCCCAAGCCTTGGCTCTTGCCAACCTGTGCCTGATATTTGCCGGGATTAGGTGAGCGGGATGTGTCCCTCCAGGGAGAGAGAGAGTGCGCATTCCACTCCAACAATCTATCTCTGGGATTTCCACGTGTCGGTGGGATGCAGGGAATTCTCAGCTCGGTTTGGATACTCTTAAGCACGGTGATGGGTTTCTGCACGTGTCAGACACCCGGCTCAGCCCCCCACCCCACCCCCCCCCCCCCCAAAAAAAATTGTTGGATTTGGAATCCCATAGTCTACACTGACACTCCAACACTGTGCCGGTGGGGTGGGGGGCGGTGTAGCATTGTTGGAGGTGCCGTCTTTCAGATGAGATGCAAAACCACATCTATCTGTCGAGGGAATTGATTACCTCAATTCTGAAGGAAGTGGCCATGCCTTTTAATGTGGATTTTTTTTGGGGGGTTGCATTTTAATGCCGTTATCACAAGTTATTTTCTGCCTGCCGTCGCTCATAAAATATTCACCAGGGCCCCTGGCCTCCCACCCGGCTTTGCGTTATCAAAAGGCCAATTAAACTGCAGCGATTGGGATTACAAGCTATTTGGAGAACTCCAGACACTGATCTACACTGACAGGTCTCTCTCTCTCTCTGTCTCCTTCCTGCTTTTCAAAGTAAAATTAAAATGAGCTGCATATTGTTTTTTTTTCTCCCTCTCCCTTCTCCACCTCCCCCGTTCCCCCTCCACTTAACACCGTTCGCTTACTCGAAAACTATCCAACAGCAGCAAATTACATTTGTACAGCGCCTTTCGCGTCGGGAGGACATTCCAAAGCGCTGGACAGTCAAGGATGTTCACCTGAGCTGTGGCTTGGGATCAGGAGGGGTGGAGGGCAGCGAGGGTAGGGGTAGGAGGATGATTGAAGGCGCGGTCAAAGAGGAGCGTCTCGAGACGGGCCTTGAAGGAGGCAAGGGAGGGGGGCGAGGCGGAGGGACTTGTGGGATGGAGTTCCAGAGGGTGGAGGCAGAGAGGCTGAAGGCCTGACCGCCAATGGCGGGGGGACATAGAGCGGTTCCGATCCTGCTGAGTGGGAGTTAACAGGTCACGGAGGTTGGGAGGAGCAAGGCTGCGGAAGTAAAGCAAATTTAAGTAAACCTGCCCTTCGTGGGTCAAAGAAACATAAGAGTTTCTTGTCTCGCTTCATCCCAGTTTATATTCCCCGCTTCTCATGCCACAGAGATGCACCGCACGGAGAGAGGCCATTCGGCCCACTTTTTCGCAAGTCAGTTTGTTCGACCAAGAAGCCGTGTGCCCCAATCCCGATTCCAATCCCAATTGAAACCCCCCACACTTCCCCGAGTAGATACTTTTCATGCACAGTGTGAAGCACTTTGAGACGTCCTTGTGATATGAAAGGTGCCGTACATTGCTGTTGGATGCTATTTGCCGCACAAGGTTATTGAGTCTGAGACAGCGGAAACATTTAAATAGAAGTTGGATTTGAAGTACAGAAAACTCCCGATAACTTGACCCGGGCTTAACTTGTCACTACCACTTAAGTCAATATCCTGGTGCATTTATTTAGGCATCTATACCTATGTCTAATTTGCCGCTCTTGTTAACCCATCCGTCACTGAGCCCTTTTCCCTTGGAGTGACTAGTTATCTGGATTTTGCTGTATATTATTACTAGTATTATTGCTAATATAGAATCATTGATCTTACAGCACAGAAGGAGGCCATTCGGCCCATCGTGCTCTTTGAAAGAGCTATCCGACTAGTCCCACTCCCCCTTCCTTACCCCATAAGCCCTGCACATTGCTCCTTTTTAAGTACCTATCCAAATTCCTTTTGGAAATTATTACCGAATCCATTCCAGACCCTAACAACTCTCCGTTACTATTATTATTACTATTATTGTTATTATTATTATTATTCCTATTGCTATTAGGATCATTCTTCCTTGCGTTATTATTACCAAGATTGTTGCGATCATTATTATTATTGCTATTATTGCCACTATTACTGTTATTATTACTATTGTGACGATTGTCATTACTACCAGTAGTATTATTACTCACTGGTTCCAGGACGAGCGTCAGAAACGTCCACGAGGGGGCCGGTGGCCTGGGAGACGGAATGGTAGTGGACGGTGTGCGTTGCTGTCAGTGACTTCTGTTTCACCGCTTCCCCAAAGTCCGAGTCCGTCAGCAACACGGTGGATCGGTCGTCTGCAAAACACCACAGGTTGTCGTTCAGACACACGTTTACCCCGAGTTCAAGCCCCTGCCCCAATCTTTAACGCAGACTTTTCCAGCTCCCTCTGCATCAGAATTATCCTCGCATTTGACATGGCGCGTTTTCACCTCGTTGAGACGTCTCAAAGCATTTCACAGGAATATCCAGGCTCCGGGCCTCCTTCTTGTCCCTCGTCCCCATCATGAACAGCCGCCCTTTCGGCCGCTACGCCCCGAAGCTTTGGGGCTCTCTTCCCCCCAATCCCTCCGCCTTGCCCCCTCCTTCCCCTCTCTTAGATCGCGTTTGAAGACCATCCTCTTCGACCGTGCTGACTGTCACCTCTCCCCCCGCCCCGTAATACCCGGTAAAGTAGATTAAGCTGTGCATTTTGTGAGCAAACGAGGCAGCCAGTTTGAGCCCAGCCGTGACCCACAAACAACCGTGGAGTGAGCGACCGATTTTATTTGGGGGATTGTCAGCCAGGACACCGGGGGAGAGAGAGTTCCCTTCTCTTTCCGACTAGCGCCACGGGATCATTAACGTCTCATCCAAAGAACGGAGTTCAGATGAGACATTCTTCCCCCATTTGCCTCTCTCATCTCCTACCCCCCCCCCTCCCCCCCAATGGGGTGATGTAGGGGGAGGCTAAACTGACCCAGACAAACCCAGGGCTCCCCCTCCTGTCCCCTCGACACCACCCTCTACTGGTGGTGCCCGTGCAGACCAGGTGGGGAGAGGAGCAGCGTGGGCCGGAGATTGATGATCTGGGGGACGTCAAGGACTAGTCATCGCACCCTAAACCCTGGAGACCAGGCTGTTGCCTTTGCTGCATGCCCCCAGCTCTATCTGTGTCAACATCAGCCGGTAGGCTTCCAGCCATTCTGCCCTCACTTTCTGACCTCACTCCGTCCTAAGGTCCCTCTGACTCACCCCCACTCATCTTTCGCTTGGTTCAAGGTCCGTCTCAAGACGTACCTCTTTGACCACGTCCTTGGTCATCTTTCCACCCACCACTCTCCCCTCCCCACCCCACTGCCCCTCTCAGCTCCCACACTTAGCCTCGGTTCCCAGCTAAGAACTGTCAAGAGCTTTGAGATGTCTTCCGGACGTGAAAGGCGCTGTCCAAATGTAAATTTGTAGTGTAAATTGTCTGACACACTCGACGATCCATCACCATGCTTAAGAGTATCCAAACCAAACCGTGAGCCCCATACCACCTGCACATGGAAATTTCCCAGTGTCTGGCATGGAATGCTCACCTCCCGAGTGACACACCCTGCTTACCTAACTCTATTAGGCGCAAGTTGTCAAGAGCCAAGACTTGTGGTCCCCAAGAGTGGACGTTGAGTGTGTGCTGGAGTCTAACCACTTAGAATCGCTAGCCTGGCAAACTTTCCTGCTGCTTGTCCTGCTAGGACCACCCTACCCATTTAGCTTCAGGGTGAACAGGAGCCGAGTTGGAGTATTCCCTGCCCCCCCCATTGACTGGTCTGCCCTTCCAGGTCCTGCCGATGAGCCAGGCTGGGCTGTGCCGTGCTGTCATCAGCAGTGCCCTGGAATACTGCGTACCCGCCTGGCTCATGAACCGGACTAGAGACTGGCACAGAGGGTGGACTTTATTCCGACATTCCGTTGCCAGGCATGTCACCTTGGAGCCAGTTCAGTTCCAAGGAGACCCGGCTTACCTCCCCCAAAACAAATAGTGATAGCCTACAGGACTCCACCTGTAGATATCTGGATAGATATCAAAAGAGAAATAGTCTGCATGGGTTTGAGGGGGTGGTGTAGGGTGAAGGCAAGTAAATAGGACTGAATCGATTGCTCTTAGAGGCGCACAGTAACAATGACCTAAATGGACTTCTGCTGTGCTGGGAATATCTAAGGTTCTGTGAATAACATGCTCGCTCATCAAAGTGCACTTAGCGTGTGGTGATGGAAGGAAACCCCTGAGGTTATGCACTGGTGAACGGTCAGAGTCAGATAAGCATCAGGAGGAACCACAGCAACATTATTGCCATTCAAGGTCTCGTGTGCTGGTCAGGTGGGCAATAAACATCTCGCGAAAGTTCCTCTCTCCCGGTGTCCTGGCCAACAATCCCCCAAATAAAATTGGTCATTGGTTTTGTGGGACTTTACTGTTCCAAATCGACTGCTGTGTTTGACAAAACACAGTAACTGCTGTCAACAACAACAATAACAAATTGCATTTAGATAGTGCCTTTCACTTTGGCAGCACACCCCAAGGCATTGGACTGGGGAATGAGATCAGAGAGGGGTGGGAGGCAAGGGAGTGGGGGTTGGAGGAGGGAAATTGACTGAAGGTGTAGTCGTAGAGGTCTTGAGAAGGGCTTTGAAGGAGGCGAGGGAAGGGGTGAGGCGGAGGAGCTCCCTGATGGAGTTCCAGAGGGTGGGGGCAGAAAGGCTGAAGGCTCGGCCACCGATGGTGGAGCTGGCAGGAGCAGACCATTGCCCCCGCCGAGCAGAGGGAGCCAGCAGATTGGTGAAGTTTTAATAGGTCACAGAGGTAGGGAAGAGCAAGACCGTGAAGGGCTTTTAAGGTGAGGGCGAGGACCTTGAACTCTTACCCTCTGTGGGACGGGAAGCCACTGAAAACAGGCAAAGGTGGGTGAGATCGGATCACGGAGCTTAGTGCAGGAGAAGGATATGAGTTCTGAACTATATGCAGCTTGTGGGGGGAAGAGTTGGGAAGTCAGGCGAGCAGGGAGTTAATATTGTTGAGCTTGGATTTAATGAAAACTTGGATGAGGGTCTCGATGACCTGGGGGGAGGTAGTGGCAGAGGCGGACAATATTGAGGAGCTGGGGGAAGGCAGAACTTGGCATGGATGTGGGGTTTAAAGGACAGTTGAGGGTTGAACAAGACACCAAAGGTTCTGTACTGGCTCAATGAAGCTTTGTTTGTGGGCGAAACACGGCAGTCAATTGCGCACAGCAGTGTCCCATAAACAGTCGTGGATTGAGCGACTGTTTAGCAGTAGTGGATATTTTTCTATTGGGAGCGATTTTTACCCCCAGAATAACAATCTGTCAATCGACTAACTGCGCCTAATACTTTCCGGGTTCCTACTTACTGCTCGGTAAACCAGAGGCGTGTGTGTGGAGTAAGGAAACTTGCCCAAGGATTCGCCACGAACCACCTGGGAGTAGAACCCGGGTCCTCTCGCTTGCGAGGCGAGCGATCTAACCATGACGCTAGGGGAACTCAATGGTCAATGATTGGTCAACCAGGGTGCAGCCTGTTCCTTACCGATGGTCTCCATTGTGTCTCTCTCTTCGATGAGAAGCTGCGCTCGAGGGATGTCGATGTGCATTCTCAGGGTCTGCTGCTGCTTGTTCAGCGTGTCGGACGTCCTTGTGTTTTTGCTTACGAGAGAAAGGCAGAGGGGAAAAAAGCACACGTCAGAGATTTAAGCATCAGCTCACGTCATCTCTGTGCTGAGCCATCCGTTTCAGTCCCATTTACCTGCCTTTTCCCCCGTACACTCTACAGTATATTCTGTGGAGCGCTTTAAGACTTCTCAACGACCTGTTAAGGTGCTATATTGAATGCAAGGATTATTATTAATAGTATTATTATTACCCCTGTAGTTCACTATCTTGATCCCTTTGGAAAGCTGATATGGATACTGGCTCAATATCAATGTCAGCGCTCTCAATGGCAAGCTATGCGGTTTTAGCTGGTTGGACTCCAGCAGTTACTCCAACGCACACTCTGGGGTCCCCCCCAAGCCTTGGCTCTTGCCAACCTGCGCCTAATGCTTTCTGTAATTAGGTAAGCAGAATGTGTCCCTCCAGGGAGGGAGAGAGAGTGTGCATTCCATTCCAATAATAATAATAATAATAATAATCCTTGCATTTGATATAGCGCTTTTCACGTCAGGAGGACGTCCCAAAGCGCTTCACAGAACACACTGTAAAGTGAATTGACTGTATATTTGTGGGCGAACGCGGCAGCCAATTGCGCACAGCAATGTCCCACAAACAGTCGTAGATTGAAAATGACCAATTTAATTATTGTTTTTGTTTTTTGGAGGGATTATTATTATTAGGCGTGTGGAGTAAGGAAACTTGCCCAAGGTTTCGCCCTGCCTGGAATTGAACTCAGGTCTCTCACTTGCAAAGCGAGTGCTCTAACCACTGAGCTACAGGACTCCACTATCTCTGGGATTTCCATCTATCTCTGGGATTTCCACGTGTAGGTGGGATGCAGGGAATTCTCAGTCTGGTTTGGATACTCTTAAGCACGGTGATGGGTTTCCACATGTGTCAGACACTCGGCTGACCCCAAAAAAACTGCCTTAACCACTGCTTCTGGGTGTGTATTCCATATCCACACAAAAAAAATGTGGCCACTCAATCCAAGACTGTTTGTGGGACACTGCTGTGTGCAATTGCCCACAAAATACACAGTCAATTCACTTTACAATATATCCTGTGAATCACTTTGAGATGTCTGAACGATGTGATAAGGCACTAAATCAAATGCAGGGAACAATATTATTATTATTATTATTATTATTATTATTATTATTATTATTATTATTATTATTATTATTATATTATTATTATTATTATTATTATTATTATTATTATTATTATTATTATTATTATTATTATTATTATTATTATTATTATTATTATTATTATCCGAACCGCCCTGCGTGAAAACTTCTCCCAGCCTCCCTGTTTGCTAGCTATCTTACATTGATGTCCTCTAGTCAGTAAAGAACGTAGAACAGAGCAAAAAAATATACAACAGATGAGAAGGGCCAACTTACCTCATCAACATCTCAGCCAGACTCTTCGCATCTGTGGTACAAAGAGAGACGTGAGTGTGTGTCTGTGTACAACAGGGAAGAGACAAGATCCACCCCCCAGAAAATTCTTAATTGATTAAGACTCCCCCGTCCCCCAACCCCCCCCCCCCTCCCCCCCACCGCATTGTAACCAGGGGTTTCAATGCCTAGGTGCTCTTTCCGAATTCCCGGATTCTGGGATTTTAATGCCCCAAATCCCAGGATCCTGAGATGTTAAATCTTCCCTCTTGCCTGTATCAGCACCTCAAGACTTGGGAGAAACCTCAGGGAGGTTAAAGACGTCCTCCACTTCCATTGGGGCTCAACTCACCTTCGCCAAACTTATAGCACAAAATCCCGGAATTTTGGGGAAACCATTAATGTATGGGATCCAGGATCCTATTCTCCAACAGTTACCTCCAACGCACTCTCTGGGGTCCCCCACCCCGAGCCTTGTCTCTTGTCGACCTGCGCCTAATACTTTACCCGAATTAGGTGAGCGGGATGTGTCCCTCCAGGGAGAGAGAGTGCGTATTCCATTCCAACAATCTATCTCTGGGATTTCCATGTGTAGGTGGGATGCCTGGGATTCTCAGTTTGGTTTGGATAGTCTTAAGCAACGGTGATGGGTTTCCGCATCTCAGTCAAATAGCTGACAGGTGCAGACACAAGTTGTTGTTACCTCTTTAACGACGCTTTCAGCCCACCGCGCTCCGTCGCTCGCTTGGCGTCCACACTCACCCCTCAGCCTCTTGAGCCGCTGTTCTCTCCTCCGCCTTCGGAAGACCAGCAACAAGGCGAAGAGGAGGAGCACAGCCACCAGGATACAGGAGATGGTCACCAGCATCTTCAGCTCCTCATTGGTGGCCAGACCCTCCTCGCTCTGCACCACCGACTTAATCAGAGGTGGGATCGTACCTGTCCAGCCAGACACACGTGTTAGACCCCGCAGTGAGTGTATGGGTTAGCGCGCGAGAGGACCCGGGTTCGATTCCCGGGTGGGACAAGTTTCCTTACTCCACACGCCTCTGTTTACCCAGCGGTAAGTAGGAACCTGGTTGTTAGTCGATTGGCGGATCGCGTTCCAGGGGAATAATCCCTTAAAAACAGGGTTACTCAATCCGCGACTGTTTGTGGGACACTGCTGTGCGCAATTGACTGCGGCAATTGAGGTATAATTTCGCGCACAAAAATACATAGGCCACCGATGGTGGGGCAGGAAAGGCAGAGTGGTCAGGTTGGTAAAGGCTTACGGAGGAAGGGAGGAGCAAAACCAGGAAGGGCTTCAAAGGTGAGGACGAGGATCTTGAACTCGAAGCAAGCTCTGAGGGAATGTGGAGCCAGTGGAGCCGGGCGAGGATGGGGTTGATCAGCTCATGGGAACTTGGTGCGGGAGAGGACACAATCTCCAGAGATCTCAATAACCTGCAGCTTGCGGAGGAAAGACCCTATTAGCGCCCAGAGCGAGGGCAAAAACCATGGAGGGTCTGAAGGTGAGATCGAGGGCCTTGAATTCGACCCGCATTGGGGATGAGTGTGGATGTGGGGGGGGGGAATGCGGAGAATGCCCAGCGTACCAACCCCTCCCCCCAGCCCCCCCCCCCCGACCCCCAAAAGAAGGAGACAAGTTCAAAAGGGGTTAAATATTTGCGTTCTGATGGCATTTGTGGGGGAAGGCACTAACTCGGGAAGTGCTGAGTCCCACTGCAGAAGGGAGATGAATTGCACACGCAGTTAAAATGTCAAGCTCGATGAAGCACAGTATCTGTAAGTCCATTCACGTTGATTCAGCTGTATTGGGGCTGTCAGGGTCATGTCAGAAAAAGCAAACCGCTCGCGCTCTCTGTTGATCAGTGCTCGGGAGGGTGGGGGCGGGTGGGGGGAGGGCGGGGGTGCGTGGGGGAAAGGGCATGCAAAGGGGAGGGTGTAGGAGTCAAATAATATTATTTCAAAAAAGAAATAATAATAATCCTTGCATCTGATGCAGCGCCTTATCAAGTCGTTGAGTCATCCCAAAGCGCTTCACAGGATATGCCTTGAAGTGGAGAGAGACTGCGTGTTTTGTGGGCGAAACGCGGCAGCCAATTGCGCCCCGCAAGCAGTCAGTCGTGAATCGAGTGACCACATCATCATTGTCATCATTTATTATTTTTTAAAGGGTTTATTACCCCCCGAAAGCGATCGGCCAATTGACTGCTTATTTATTCATCACAAGAAAAGGATGTTCAAAAGCAGCAAGGATGTAAAACAAAAGAGGTGGAAGGATTAAAGCTTTTGTTTTCGAAACGCTTTTGAGGTTTTTTTTTTATTAACAGGGATACCCATCTCCATTCCCAGTCTCCTTCAAAAATCGTGCTGAGGTTCACTGGAATTAATATTAATAATGAATAAATATGAATAATAATTTGGTCACTGAATCCACCCACTGTTTGTGGGGCACTGCCGTGAGCGTTCAGCTGCCGTGTTGCGCCTACAAAATTGATTGGGGTCTTGCGGTCGAACGCGGCAGCTGATTTTGCGCACGACGACGTCCCCACAAAACAGCCGTGAAGTGGGATCGGTTTTATCTGAGGGGATTGCCGGTCGGGATAAACGGAGAGAAATTCCCTGCTCTTTTCCACTATGGCCTCGGGATTCTTTACCGTCCACCTGAACAAGCTGAACAGGGTGAACCTGGACCTCCGACAATGCAGCTCTCTTCCCCTCGCGTCAGCCTACACTGCGCGAGTTCAGAAACCCCGATGAGGGTAACATATTAAACATTGGCAATTTATTTTCCCTGTTTAATTAAATCCAACAGGTTTTTTTTTTGGGGGGGGGGCTCTTTGCCTTTCGAGCTTATGTATTTGTAGAGGCATTATCCTTTTAATATCCGCTCAGCTCCACTCCCCCCACCCCCCACCAACCCCCACCCACTATCACCCCTGGATCGGGTACCGTTCTGTGTTTATGGAACCTCAACTAAACCCCCACTGTACTGCCTTCCTGTCTGTTAGAGCTGTCTGTTCAGTAAAAATAATAATAATAATAATCCTTGCATTTGATACAGCGCCTCATCACATCGTTGCGACGTCTCAAAGCGCTTTACAGGATATACTCTAAAGCGGATTGACTGTATTTTGTGGGCAAAACCCGACGCTAAGTTGCTGGATGCCGGACATCCCTATGCATTTGATAAAGCTCGAAGGGCTCTATATAAATGCAAGTTGTTGCTGCTGCTGTTGTTGTCATGACCGATTTTATCCTTGCATTTGATACAGCTCCTTACCACTTCATCGTCAGGTCTCAAAGCGCTTCACAGGATATACCGTAAAGTGGAGTGACCGTGTACTTTGTTTTGCCAGTCTGCGCACAGCAGTGCCCCACAAACAACCGTGGAGTGAGAGACCGGTTTTATTTGGGGGGATTGTCGGCCAGGACACCGGGAGAGAGAAACTCCTTTCTCTTTTCCAATAGCGCCGCGGGATCTTTAACGTCCACCTGAACAGGCAGACGGGACCTCAGTTTAACGCACCTGTCCCGCAACCCAGCACTCTGCCTGTTCGAGCGCAGGTTAATGAGCTCACAGCGCAACTTGAAAAGAGAAGGGAGTTTCTTTCTCCCGGTGTCCTGGCCAGCAATCCCCCCAAATAAAATCGGTCACTCGCTCCGCGGCGGTTTGTGACGAGCGCAGATTGGCGGCCTCCAAAATCCCCAGTCGCTCCACGGTACGGTAAAAATCCTGCTAAGCCCTTTGAGATGAGACCTTAAAGGTCAAACGATTATTTAGGATTAAAAGTGCAAGATCGTGCTTTGTGACAACAGCAGCACTCGAGTTCCCTTGGAATATTGATTCTGCCCATTCATCAAAGGAATTAAAATCAGACTGTGAAAGAAAAATCACCTTATTGACTTCACATAAATAAATATCAGGGCCAAATGAAAGCATTGATCTGCTGAGGCCTGGTTTGAGGGAACCAGCGGAGAGACAGATATAGAGAGAGAGAGAGAGAAAGAGAGACAGCTCTGGTCAGGCCAGTGGAAAGGTGGAACAACAACAACCACAACCACTTGCATTTATATAGGCGCCTTTCTCGCAGGATAGAGACCCGGAGCGCTTGACAGTGGCGGAATCTGATACCGGACCAGGTAAAGGGATGCAGTTGATGGGTGGGGTGCGGTGGGGTGGGATGGGAGGGGAGAGAGGGAGAGGATTCGAATTTTTTTTAATGAGCGAGTAATAATAACATTAATATATACAAACGCCCAACAGTCTGGGCTCGACGGGAAGCGTTCGCCACTGAGAACGTGCTTTGAAAGTCAAACGCGGTCCTTATCTGTGGCGAGCAGGCACAGCTGCTTTAGATTAAGCCGCGGAGTAACAATGCGCAGCTTTACATCCACTTTGCAGCCTTTTTAAGCAATCCTTTTTGGTCACTCGATTTCCCCGCCGTCTGTGTGGGGGGACACAGTCGTTTTGTGCGACAATTTGGCTGCCGTATTTCGCCCCCGAAACGTTCAGTCAATTCGCTTTACGGTAATATTCTGTGGAGCGCTTTGAGGCCTCTCAACGAGGCGATAAGGAGCTGATTCAAATACAAGGGTAGTTATTATCTTCCTGATCCCGATCCCGATTTAAGAAACATTCCGCGGAAAATCCGAACTGTCAAGACGAATAGGTCGCAGAGACTAAAGCTTCTATCTTCTTGTATCCTCTCTGCTACCTTGATCCAGCCCCTGCCCCTGCCCTGCCCTTGCCTGGCCTTTCCTTTCCTCTCCACCACAAGGTGTAAGATGGGCCAGTTATCCGGGAGATGCAATGCATCTCAAGTGTCAGCCTGGCTCAGTCAGTAGCTCTCCATGGCCTCGCCCCCATCCTACCTCTGCGACTTCCTCACCCCCTACCAACGCGCCCGTTCCCTCCGCTCAGCCGGCTCTGGCCTGCTCCATGTCCCCCGACCCACCCGCCCCACCATTGGTGGGAGAGCCTTCAGCCACTCTGCCCCCAACCTCTGGAATTCCATCCCCCAGTCACTCCGCCTCGCCCCCTCCTTAGCCTCCTTCAAGTCCCGCCTCAAAACCCTCCTCTTCGACCATGCCATCAGCCACCACCCTACCCCTCCCCTCCCTTCCCCCCCCAACCCCCGCTCGGGTTTGAAATGCTGTGCACTGTCCAGCGCCTTGGGACGTCCTCCCGACATGAAAGGCGCTATACAAATGTAATCTTGTTGTTGTATCAAATGCAAGGGTTATTATTGTATGTGCGTAAGCACGTCTGTATGTATACGCTGGAACAACTAAATGTGTGCGAGTGTACGCGTCATCAAGAAGACCCTTTGGCCCATCTGTTCTTATTCCTCCAGAACACTCGTCCGATCTCCTTCTGACAAGATGCTTTTTAAACGAGTCCCAGTGTCCCTGGTCTCAACCCAATAACCCTGTTCCACACGTTAATAATAATAATGATAATAAAACAATAATAATAATCTTTGCATTTGATATGGCACCTTATCAGATCATTGAGACGTCTCAAAGCGCTTCACAGGATATACCTTAAAGTGAATTGACTGTGTGTTTTGTGGACAAAATTCGGCAGCCAATTGCGCCCACACACTGTCGTGGATTGAGTGAACAAATTGGAAAACATTTTGGGGGAGGGATTATTACCCCCGGAAAGCGATCCGAAATCGACCAACAACGGGGTTCCTACTTACTGCTGGATAAACAGAGGCGTATGGAGAAAGGAAACTTGCCTATGGTTTTGCCCCTCCCGGGAATTGAACCAAGGTCCTCTCCCACGCGAGGGCTAACCACTCTGCCACAGGACTCCGGGTTAATTACTCTGCGAGGAAAGAAAAACCTCCTGGGGGTCTGTCCCGAAGTTGCCCCTTTCGCAGTTCTAAACCAGTGTCCTTTTGTTCTGCTATCTCGTCGCACCTTGAAGTGGGCTGACCAATACGTTCCCGATTCCTGGGAACGTTTCCGACAGCCCTAGGGATGAGGTATTAGCTTCCCCGGGGCCAAATTTCGCCCCCCTGTCTTGAGTTCAGCGACAAACTGGGCAAGAACAACAACCTTCTTGAAACACGTACACTGGTCAGAGAAACACAGCCATTAGATCCAACAAACTCCTCCAGCAACTGTCAGCATCAGCGACCGTGGGGGGGGATTCAATCCTTTTTGGATGGGTTTGGTGTCCCAAATATTGACCTGGTTTTACTTTTCTCGCCTCTCGAGACTGAAGAGCCCCAGCTTGTCGAATCGCTGCCCGAAGCTCATTCCCCCCGACGCTGGTGGGTTCATCCTCGGTGCTCTCTTCTGCACTGCCTCTAGGGCCTGGGCAGCCCATTACCCCCCCCCCAACCCCCCCACTCCCCGTCCTCTCCTCCGTCTTGACTGCGTCAGTCGTGGGGTCCCGGTAGTGTAGCGGTTAAGAAGGGGGTTTGGTTGAGGGGAGCACTTACTTCCGTCGTAGTTGAGGGTGGCGAACTCAGCCTGTTGCTCTGTGCAGCCCGCGCTGTTGCAGACCTTCATCTGTAGCTGATACCACGTGGCCTCCTGCAGCTGGTACAGGCTGTAGGACTTGGCGAGCGAGGTGCGCTGGGCCGAGCTCCAGGCCAGCGTGCCGAAGGGTCGGTACTCCAGCGTCAGCGAGGTGATGGGGCAGCCGCCGTCGTTCCAGCCGATCAGGTTCAGCCGTATCCGAGTCACGTTGATGCTGGAGAAGAGGTCTTGCTCCTTGGCAAACTGCGGCTCTGTGCGCGCGTGTGTATATGCGTGCGTGTTCGCGTGTGTGTGTGTGTGGGTGCGCGCGCGCGCGTGGGCGTGCACGCGTTTGTGTGTACGCAGATGTGCGTGTGCCCGTGTGCGTGGATACATATGTGAGCGCGTGCGTGTTTACACGGGTGTGTGCGTGCGTACGTGTGTAAATATGTGTGTGTGTGTGTGCACATGTGTATGCACCACGCGTGTGCATGTACCCGTACGTGTGCGAACATGAGTGAATGAGCATGTGTATGGGTACACGTGAGGGTAAATACATGTGTGGGAATGTGTGCGTAGGTATAAACACGTGGATTTTTTGCGGTTATGCGTGCATGTGTGTGTATATGTATACAGAGTGTGTGCATGTGAGTTGTGGTGTGTCCACATGTGTCCATGTGCACGTGTATGTGTTTTGATGTGCACGTGTGTGGGTAAGATTGCATATATGCATTTGTGTGTGTATATTGGAAGTGGGGCGAGAGAGGAAGATGCAAAAATTTCAGTCAGAAATATTTCATTATTACTGTTCTAACCCGTTCCCCCCCCACAAACATTGCCCCAACTCACACACACAAACACACACAGTCTCGCAGACACACACACACACACACACTCGCGCACACACACTCTCGGGTACACTCTCGCACACACACACTTGCGCACACACATATTCACTCACGTACATAAGCACACAATATGGACATTTACACATACACTTATATATATTGTATATATACATCACACACATTTACACATACAGACCCACCTGCGCACACATGCATGTACTTGGACACACACACAAATGCAGACATGCATACATTCAAACAAACATGCAAATACTCATACACGTACTCACCCACACATACACACAGATAAATGCACACATACAATCACCTACAGACACTTACACACAAACACACACATTCACTGACACACACACACACCTACAGACACTTACACACATACACTCACACTCACATTCACTGATATACACACACACCCCTACAGACACTTACACATATACACTCACACACACATTCACTGATATACACACACACCCCTACAGACACTTACACACATACACTCACACACACATTCACTGATATACACACACACACCCCTACAGACACTTACACATATACACTCACACACACATTCATTGACACACACACACACACCTACAGACACTTACACACATACTCACACACACATTCACTGACACACACACACACACCCTACAGACATTTACACACATACACTCACACACACATTCACTGACACACACACACACCTACAGACACTTACACACAAACACTCACACACACATTCACTGATATACACACACACCCCTACAGACACTTACACACATACACACACACACAAACACTGACACAAACACACACCTACAGACACTTACACACATACACTCACACACACATTCACTAATATACACACACACCCCTACAGACACTTACACACATACACACACACACAAACACTGACACAAACACACACCTACAGACACTTACACACATACACTCACACACACATTCACTGACACACACACACACAGGTGCACTCACTCACTGACTCACTCACTCACGCACACCTTTACACACTCACGCATAAAAGAGTGCATTCGGGTGGCATTTCACGCAGCCTTCCCTTGTGATAGTCACCGTTAGGAAACACCGCAAATTTAGCTTTTGACAAACTGGAAAACTCACTCCGCGGTTCATGGGTCAAAAAGGTTCAGCTTGGCGGACGGACGGTGGGTGGGGAAGCCGGGGTGGGTGACCGGGGGAGAAGAGGAGGTGAGGAGGAGAGGGGGGGGTTCACACGTGCTCAGTGCCATCCTGCTAGAAAGCAACCCCCCCCACCACACCCCCACACACCCCCCACCCGCCCGCACACTCTTGTCAGTGATGGGTTACCAGCTTTTTATTTGCTGCAACCGCAGTCTGGTTGGAGGTAGGAAAGCTTATGCTCGGAGGTCAGGCATCAGTGGCTGGCTTTCCCTCGCTACCCCCCCTCCCCACCCCTCCACCCCCCGCACCCCCAAGATCAGTCCTGTAGCTCAGTGGTTAGAGCGCTCGCTTTACAAGCGAGAGGACCTGGGTTAGATTCCCGGCCGGGTGAAACCTTGGACAAGTTTCCTTACACCACACGCCTGATAATAATCCCTCAAGAAAATAAAACAGTAACAAATTGGTCACTTCAATCCACGACTGTTTATAATAATAATAATAATCCTTGCATTTGATATAGCGCTTTTCACGTCGTGAAATGCGGGGACGCTGCTGTGCGCAATTGGCTGCCGCATTTCACCCCCAAATATACAGTCAATTCACTTTACAGTCTATTCTGTGAAACGTTTTGAGACGTCGAGAAGACGTGAAAAGCGCTATATCAAATGCAAGGATTGCAATTGTTATTATTATTATTATTATTATCAAAACCTGACGTCGTCAAAGTCTCTGAGATCACACAAGGCTCGCAAGCTGACACCCTTCACAGCTCGTAACCCGTTCAGTAACAGCAATAATAATAATAATAATAATCCTTGCATTTGATATAGCGCTTTTCACGTCGGGAGGACGTCCCAAAGCGCTTCACAGAACACACTGTAAAGTGAAGTGACTGCATATTTGTGGGCGAACGCGGCAGCCAATTGCGCACAGCAATGTCCCACAAACAGTCGTGGATTGAAAATGACCAATTTATTATTGTTTTTGGTTTTGGAGGGATTATTATTAGGCTCTGTGTGGAGTAAGGAAACTTGCCCAAGGTTTCGCCCTCTGCCTGGAATTGAACTCAGGTCTCTCGCTTGCAATAATCCTTGCGATCTGATAAAGTTGTTCTTTGAGAATCTGAAGGGACGTGGATACCGTAGACCACGACCCGCTGTTTTATCTTGTTCAGAAATGGTAGAACCAGAGGACACGGCCTGCGATTCAGAGTGGGCTAAATTCGAAACTAATTTGCGGAAACGCTGCTTCAGCGAGCGAGTAACGAATGTAAATTAGATTTGATTGCTGTTAGGAAATAATATCTCGGGATACAGTATATCGTTCGGGACATGACATGTGCAAGCGACTGCCAGGATGGTGGAAGGCAAGCTGGATGGACCTTGTGGCTTCTTTGGTCTGGCAAATTCTTACGCTCTTATATTCTTCAGTCCCCCGCCTCTCCTCCAACCCACCTTGCCCTCCACCCCTCTCCGATCCCAAACCCCCCCCCCCCACCCCCAGCTCATGTGCGAACCTCTCGTTCTTAGGCAAGTTTCCCTACTCCACGCACCTCTGTCTACCCAGCAGTAAATAGGAACCAGGTTGTTAGGCGATTTTGGCGAATCACTTTCCAGGGGGTAATAATCCCTTCAAATTTGTTTTAAAGATTAATAAATTGGTCACTCAATCCACGACTGTTTGCGGGGACGCTGCTGTGCGCAATTGGCTGCCGCTTTTTGTCCACCAAATATACAGTTAATTCACTTGACAGTATATTCTGTGAAGCGCCTTGAGACGTCTCGAAGACGTGATAAGACGCGATATCAAATGCAAGGATTATTATTATTATTATTATTATTATTATTATTATATATAAAAAACCCAGCCACTGACTCTAACCTCTATGGATCCTCACTGGTCGGTGCTTAAACATCCCTCTCAGTATCAACACTAATAGCAGTGCCAACCCGCCATTGGGAATCTTACATGACAAATAATGTAATGACTAGATAAATAATGAATGGTGAACCGGGAGGCCCCTTAATTAATACTCTTTTTTTTGCCCAAAGAAACAATGCGTAATTTATATTTTTATAATAGCCGAAGCAATCAGTCTTGTAGCATAGAAACATACAGACAGGAGAAGGTTATTCAGCTCCTCGAGCCTGTTCCGCCATTTTATGGCTGATCTGTGCCTCAAGTCCGGTTACACACCCTTGCCCCATATCCCACAATAATAATAATAATTATCCTTGCATTTAATACAGCGCTTTCCACGTCTTCTAGACGTCTCAAAGCGCTTCACAGAGTATACTGTCAAGTGGAGTGACTGTGTATTTCGTGGGCGAAACGCGGCAGCCAATTGCGCACAGCAGCGTCCCCGCAAACAGTCGTGGATCGAGTGACCCAATTTTTTTGTTGTTTTGCTTTGAAAGGATGATTAACCCCCGGAAATGCAATCCGCCAATCAACTGACAACCGAGCTCCTCCTTACTGCAAGGTAAACAGAGGCGTGTGGAGTCAGGAAACTTGCCTAAGGTTTCGCCCCGCCCGGGGAATTGAACCCAGGTCCTCTCGCTCGCGAGGCGAGTGCTCTAACCACTACACTGCGGTCCTCCACAGAGCGGTACTCCTGTCAGTTGCAGGTACCTTTGCCGTGGGTTTTGGCCTCGATGATCTCGCTGATACGGCCCGGGCCCACGCCGTTCTGTGCCGTCAGCGTGAACTTATACCATGTCCCGCACTTGAGGTCCTCCAGCCGGTACTGGCGCTCGCTGGGGCTGATCGGGAAACTGCCCCACTGCTCACTGTTGTCCTCCGAGTACTGCAGAATGTAGCCTTCAAATAATAATAAAAATAATAATGATAATAGTCTTTAAATAATAGTAATAGCCTTTAAATAATAATAATAGGCTTTAAATAATAATAGCCTTTAAATAATAACAATAATAGCTTTTAAATAATAATAATAGCCTTTAAATAATAATAATAGCCTTTAAATAATAATAGCCTTTAAATAATAATAATAATAATAAGAATAATAGCCCTTAAATCATAATGACAATCATCATTGTCGCACTTGGTACCGCGCACACCTTATCACGTCATGGAGATGTGACATCTCAAAGCGCGTCACAGGATTTTACTGTATAAAGGATTGACTGTGTATTGTCTGTGAGTGCGTGTGTGTGAGTGTGCGTGCATGTGTGAGCATGTGTATCTGTGAGTGTATGCATGAGTGATTGTGACTGTGCTTGCGTGAGTGTATCTTGTGTATGAATGTATGAGCATAGGTCTGCGTGAACGTATGCTTGCTTGCGTGAGTGTGTGTGTGTGTGTGAGGGTGTGAGTGTGTGGTGTGGGGGGATGAGTGCGTATCTGTGTGATTGTGTATGTGGATGTAATGTGTGAGTGTGTGTCAGTGTGCATATGTGCATGTGTAAGCGTGTGTGAGTGTTTATTGTGTGTGGTGTGTGTGCGTGTGTGTGTGTGGTGGAAGGTGTGCTCACTACTGATGGAGCTCCTCCCATTGTGTGTGTGGTGTGATAGTATGTGTGTGTGTGAGTATGTATGTGTGTGTGAGACTGTGCGCGCGTGTGAGTGATGTGTTTGTTTGTGTGCGTGAGTGGTGTGTTTGTACGTGTGTGTGAGTGGTGTGTTTGTATGTGAGTCTGTGTGTGTGAGTGGGTGTGTTTGTACGTGTGTGTGAGTGCTGCGTTTGTACGTGTGTGTGTGCGAGTGCTGCGTTTGTGTGTGTGTGTGTGTGTGAGTGGTGCGTTTGTGCGTGTGGGCGCGAGTGGTGTGTGAGTATGCGCGTGTGTGAGTGTATATGAGTGTGTGTGAGCGGCGTACGTATGAGTGGTGTGCGGATGAGTGTGTGAGTGCTGTGTTTGTACGTGTGTGTGTGTGAGTGAGTGTGCGTGTGTGAGTGTGTGTGTAAGTGTGTGTGTGTGTGTGTGTGTGTGGTTGACTTGCTCACCTCTGATGGAGCTGCCCCCATTGTCGCCCGGGATCCAGGAGAGAGTGATGGAGGAGGAGGTGGTTTTCAGCACCGTCAGCCGGGGCTGGTCTGGGGGGACTGGGAGTGGAGGGCAGAGGGACCACAGTGAGCACTCGGCCAAACCCCTACCCCTCGCTTATCGCCCGGCGCCCCGGTGACCAACGATGATAGCAATAACAATAATAATGCATATTAATCCTTGCATGCGGTACCCAGCCGGCCCTTCCACTCTAGCCCAGGGACACTGAGGTCGCAATAATAATATTAATATTTGATGTGCCGCCATTCGGATCAAGAGAACGTCCCAAAGCGCTTTGCGGGACACGCCGTAAAGCGGATTGACTGCGCATTTTGTGGGTGAAACGCAGCAGCAGTTTGCGCACAGCAGTGTCCCCCTTCTCTCTCTCTGAATAGCGCCGCGAGGATCTTTAACGTCCACCTGAACGGGCAGTCGGGAACCTCGGCTTAACGTCTCACCCGAAGGACGGCACCTCCGACATCGTAACACACACACTACCCATGCCCACCCCAACCCCCCACCCCGACCCCACCCCTCCCCCACCCCCACCACCAGCGCTGCGTTGGAGTGTGATCCCAAATCCCAACGCGGTGGGGCTCGAACCCGCAAACCTTCTGACTCGGAGGCGAAGGGCGGGCGCTGATAACGCTCCTCGCAATTGACCCAGCGCCGCCAACGGCAAAATGCCTCAAAGCCCCCTTCGCGAGCGATCTCCGTCAAGGCGTTACGCAAACAGGGCGGGCCACTTTGCGCACAGGGAGGCCCTGCGAATGGGCGAACGGACCATTTGATCCGGGGTTCGTAGACGGTGGGGTGGGGGGAGAGGGAGAGGGAGAGGGAGAGGGAGCTCACCTTGCACCTGAAGGTTCAGCACGATCTCGTCAGATCCCCAGTTGTTGCTGGCCACGCAGCTGTAGTAGCCAGAATCCTCGGCTTTGACCGTGCGGATGACAAAGCTGCCGTTGGTGAAGATAGTCCGACGGCCATCGATCAGGACGGGGGTCGGGTCTCCGTTGCTGCATCCACGTAAGAGGAAGCACGTCAACAACAACAACAACAACAACAACAACAGGCCTTACATCCGGCGCAGCACCTTTCACGCCCCGAAAGCTCTGCACAAGGCGCACTGTGACGTGTGCGTTTCGCGGGTGAAAACGCAGCAGCCAATTGTCTCCACGCAAGCGAACGACTCTTGCATTTGATACAGCGCCTTATCACGTCGTTGAGACGTCTGAAAGCGCTGCACGGGATACGCGGTAAAGAGTAATGATCGCCCGCTCTGCGAGTGAAACACGGCAGCCAATTGCGCGCAGCAGCAGCAGCAGCTCCGCCAACAGACGTGGAGTGAGCGACCGGCTTTATTTAGGGGGAATTATTGGCCGGGGACGTCGCGATAGAGCAACTCCCTTTTCCTATCTTCTCTTTTCTTTGCCAACGCTTGAATCGGCAGACGGGACCTCGGTTTAAACGGCTCACGCGAAGGACGGCGCCTACAACAGTACAAACCCCCACTCACCTCTACCCCCACCCCCACGCCCACCCCAACCCAGCGCTGCATTAGACCGTGCGCTTCCAAGTCCTGACGTGGGGGCTTGAACCCACGACCCTCTGACTCAGCGGGGAGGAGAGCGCTACCACATGTAGCTGAAGCTCTACACAGACGACGTACCTGTCCTTGGTCCATTTGACAGTGGGCACTGGATCCCCAACGGCCTTGCACGTTAGCAGGATGTCTCTCATCCACGGTGTGGTCACAGTTCCGCTGAAGGTGAGAATCCTGGCCGGAGCTGGATGGAAGCACAACAACACGGTTACAATTCAACAACAACTTGGATTTATATAGCGCCCTCCACGGCAGATGGCGTTTTCAGAGCGCTTTACAGTTTCGGATCCCGGGACCGAGCCGGGGGGAGTGGGGCTTGGAAGGTGACCAAAGGCGCGGTCGAAAAGAAAGGTCTTCAGCAGAGACCTGAAGACGGGAAGGGAGGGAGCGAGGCGAAGGGGGTGAGGAAGGCAGTTTCAGAGCCTCGGGGCGTAGTGGCTGAAGGCACGGCCGCCGAGGGTGGAGTGGAGGACTCGGACGACGAGGAGGAGGCCAGACTCGGAGGAACGAAGGCAACGGGCGCTGTTTTGAGGAGAGAGGAGGTCAGAGAGGTCGGGGGCTGCAGAGGAGCGCAGGGACTTGAATACAAGGGTGAGGATCTTGAAGTCGATCCTCTCTGGGATAGGCAGTCAGTGCAGTCTGGCGAGGACTGGGGTGATCGGGGAGCGGAGTTTGGTGTGGGCGAGATTGCAGGCGGCAGAGTTTTGAATGATTTGGATTTTATGGACGGTAGTGGATGGGAGACCGGCGAGGAGGGCGTTAGAGTAGTGCGAGGAGGGCGTTAGAATTCAGGCTCTGGTTTCAAGCAGGATAGCGTCTAGGAGCGCTTAGCAGTGGTGGAGCCTAAACCCGAGCCAGTGGGGTGGGGTTGGGGGTGGGGAGGCGGGAGATGACCGATCGAAGAAGGAGGTCTTCAGTCCTGATCTGAAAATGGGGAAGGAATGGGGGGGGGGGGGAATGGGGGGGTGGGCAAGGCGGAGGGATTGAGGGAGAGAGTTCCATCCAGAGATTCGAGAGCGCAGTGGCTGAAAGCACAGCCACCGATGGTGGATTGGAGGGAGGGGACGAGGATACGAACGGGAGGCCGGAGGCAGCCGACCGGAGGTGGCGGGTGGTGGAGCGGTGGGCGGGGGGCAAGCAGGTCGGAGAGGTTGGGGAGCTGCCAGAGGGTGAAGGGACAGGTAGACGAGCATGAGGATCTCGATGTGGAAAAGAGGGAGAAAGAGGAGCGAAGAGGGCATTTGGGGAAAGAGACCACTGTCAGCCTAGGTTGTTAGCTGAAGGTCCTGAGGTGTCCGGGGGAGGAAAGACTGCACTAAGTCGCAGAGTTTTTCCCAAGATTTTAAGACAATGCTGTTATATGTGATATAACAATCCTCAAATAATAATCCTTCCAATTGACCCGTCAATTGACTAGCAACTGGGTTCCTAAGAGAGGAGCATGGAGTAAGGAAACTTGCTTGAGGTTTAAGCCCTGCCGGGAATCAAACCCAGGTCCTCTCGCTTGCGAGACGAGTGCTCTAACCACTACGCGACAGGACTCCACGTGATGGCCACTTGATGCTGAGGCTTTCCGTAGGTTTTCTGTGTGGGGTGGGGGGGGGGGGGGGGGCGCGGTGTGTGGGGAGAGAGAGATCAGGCTCACCCTTCGCCAGAGGCTCCACTGTGATGATCTCGCTGGCGTTCCCACGTCCGGCGGAGGTAATGGCCACCACCCAGATGCTGTACTGACGGTTCCGGCTCAGGTTGGGAATGCGGTAGTAAAAGGAGTCCGGCGATGCTTCAAATTCACTGATCACCTTGAGGCGGGGAGAGAGAGAGAGAGAGAGAGGGGGAAACAGCGGGAACAATTATCTGACCATCAATGAAAACTCTTCACCCCCACCACCCCGCCATCCACCGCCACCACCCCACCTACCCCCCACCCCCCAACCAACCCCACCACACACACACACGCACGCGCGCACACAGTGCCGAGTTGCCGACGCAAATCCAGAAGCAGGGCTAAATAAGCAACACTAAATTTCCTGTCGACCTTTACTCAGGAAATCATTTTTTTTTAGGAACGCAAGTATTGCTCGACGATAAAAGACCGAGGTCGTTCCAGTTCGCCATCCTGGTAGTCGCTTGCACATGACATGTCCCAAACCGTACACTGTATCCAGAGATATTATTTCCTGAAAGGAATCTATCTAATTTGCGTTTGAATGAATCAACACTTTTTGATTCCACCGTCTCTCTGGGGATGCTGTTGCTTAGATTTACTACTCGCTCACTGAAGTAGCGTTTCCGCAGATTAGTTCTGAATTTACTGCCCTTCAATCGCAGGCCATGGCCTCTGGTTCCACTGTTCTGGACAAGATAAAAAAGCTTGTCAAGGTCTACCTTATCTAAATGTAGATTATGGCTTTGACTTTCACCCGGGTTAATATTAAAAGCAATTCAATAGGCCTCAATGAAATTGGTTGGAATCCGAGGTTTTTTTTTTGACGGAAGGCACATTCGAACCATGGATGTAAAGGAATGCAGTGCCCTCTGCTGTTTGAATACTAATAGAACCATTACCGCTTTTAAATCATCAAGCTAATTGTTTTTTTCCGACAATAACAATAATAATAGTAATAATTAGGGGCTGCAGATTTGGCGTGGCATTGCTGGTCAAAAATGCAATCACGGTAAATTTAGTGAATGTTGGGAGAAGCCACGGTTATGGGAATCGAACGACTGTTATATTATAGTACAATAATAATCCTCGCATTTGATATAGCGCCTTAGCACATCGTTGAGACGTCTCAAAGCGCTTCACAGGATATACTGCAACGTGGATTGACTGTGTATTTTGTGGACGAAACGCGGCAGCCAACTGCGCACAGCGGCGTCCCACAGACAGTGGTGGATTGAATGACCAAGTTATATATTTGTTTCGGAGGCATTATTTCCCCCGGAATGTGATCTGCCAATCGACCAACAACCGGGTGCCTACTTACTGCCGGCTAATCAGATGTGCGTTGAGTAAAGAATCCTGCCTACGGTTTTGCTCCGCTCGGGAACCGAACCTTGGTCCTCTCGCTTGCGAGGCGAGAGCGGTAACCACTGCGCTTAACGGGTAGGGACGTGATAAAGCGAGGATTATTATTAAACGGAAGGAGTCTCACCCGATGCAAAGACATACACTGAGAAAAGACAACAAAGCCTGCCTGGGACTGTCCCAGCCACTTGTTTCTAACAGGTTCCTTACTGTTGGATATGGGTGAGAGCAAAATATGGTGTACTTCCGAATGATGCCGTTCATCTTGAGGGGGGCCAGCCACGAGACCACCACGCTGGTGGCTGAGGCTGCCGCTGCCTTCACTCCACCCGGAGGGCCTGGAACTGAGCACAAACCAAAGCGAGTCATCGTTACATCTCATGTCCTGCGATCTATTGCAACAGCAAACCAACCTGTCCACTCCCCTCCGCTCAACGGGCACTCGCCTGCTTCACATCCCCCGCCCTGCGCGCCTCCACCGTTGGTCTTTCTGGCCACCCACCACCCTCTAGAACTCCATAATAATAATAATAATACTAATAATAATAATAATAATCCTTGCATTTGATACCGACCATTACCACGTCCTTGAGTCGTCTCAAAGCGCTTCACAGGATATATTGTAAAGTGGATTGACTGCGTAGATTGACTAACAACCGGGGGATTCCTGCTTACTGCCAGGTAAACACAGACGTGTGGAGTAAGGAAACTTGCCCAAGGTTTTGACCCGCCCGGGAATTGAACCCGGGTCCTCTCGGTTGGAAGGCGAGCGCGCTAACCTCTATGCTACGGGTCTCGGAATCTCTGCGCTCGCACCCTCCCTTGCCTCCTTCAAGGCCCCGCCTCAAGACTGTCCTCTTCGATGGTGCCTTCGGGCACCATCCCACTCCCACCCACCCCCACCCCCCCCCCCCCTCCCCACCTTACCTTCCACCCCTCTTGATTCCAACTCCCAGCTTGGGAGCAAACCCTCACTGTCCAGCACCTTGGGACGTGCTTCTGTCATGCAGAGCACTGCACCAAATGCAATATGTTGTTGTTGTTGTTGTCTGCAACACCAAAATGCCTTCAAGCGTTTCACAACAACTGTCGTCAAATGTAGTGACCGTGAATTATAAGTAGAACCCGGAGGCAATTTGCGCACAGCAACGTCCCACTAAACAGCCATGGATTGAGTGGACAATTATTATTAGGGGGATTCGTTGACCAGGACAACAACAACGACGACAACAAAATTACATTTATAGAGGGCCTCACACGTCCCTCTCTCTCTCTGAATAGCGCCGTGGGATCTTTAACGTCCACCTGAAGAGGCATGGACCGGACGGGGCCTCGGTTTACTGTCTCCGCAACAACTCATCTGCCGCATCTATTAAGGACGGCACCTCACACCCCCGAGGTGCTCCCCCCCCCACACCCCACCAGCGCCCTACTGGAGTGTCAGCCCAGACTGTGAGCTGAACGCCCCAAAGAGACGTGTTAAAAGTGGAAACTCAGACCAGCTAATGGGAGCTCTGCCTGTTTCATCTTTTATTCCTCATCTTCTGCCAGAATTAGCCAAAGGTGACAGGTTTATATAAAAAAATAAACAGAGAAACGCATTTTCTTTCTGATGGAAAGACTCCCTTCCCCTCCTCCCCCAACCCGTCTGTATCCAACCACTAAAGATCAAGGCTATGGCTTGACGGACTGGATTAAAGGTTTGTTTTTCAAGAAATGTGATATTAAATGAAACAGAATGTAAGATCAAATGTTCTGCTCTTCATGTTTTCCTTGTAAGGAAACCATCCTTGTATGATTTCTCCTTCCTTCCTTCCTTCCTTCCTCCCTCCCTCCCTCCCTCCCTCCTCCCTCCCTCCCTCCCTCCCTCCCCTCCCTCCCTCCCTCCCTCCCTCCCTCCCTCCCTCCCTCCCTCCCCCTCCCTCCCTCCCCTCCCTCCCTCCCTCCCTCCCTCCCTCCCTCCCTCCCTCCCTCCCTCCAACAATCTATCTCTGGGATTTCCATGTGTAGGTGGGAGACGTGGAATTCTCAGTTTGGTTGGGAGACTCTTAAGCAACGGTGATAGGTTTCCACATGTGTCAGACACTCGTGCTGACCAAAAAAACATGAAAGGAATGAAGGGAGGGAGGGAGGGAGGGAAGAAGGAAGGAATAAAGAAAAAAAAATTGTCCACTTACCGTCCTCCTTAGTCCTGGTAAAGATCTGCTCGCTCCGGACTCCGTCGCCCGCCCTGGTGAACGCCAGCACCTGGATGCTGTGATTAGTGTATTTTTCCAGCCCCACCAACTCCAGTGACGTCTCGGTGGTGGTCACGTTCCTGATCTCACCCAGTTCTGGTCCGGGGCAAAAAAAAAATATAACCAAACCCAACAAGCGATGTGTTAGCACCAACAATGACAGCAAAGGAGCGAGTGGCCGGCAAAGTACCTCACAGAGACCGGATGGGACCTGAGCAGAGCGTGAGATTGGGATCAATGGGATGTTGGAATCGAGTCAACCCTCTGTCAACCGGCGGAACCATCGCTCAGTGATGGTTTGCCAACCGAATGTCGGATTGGAACCAGCCCCCTGTGACGGTCTCTAGGCCGGTTCCTGAGCCAGAAGGGGCCACAGTTTCCCAGGGCACTCAAGGCTGGTGACAGCACAGCCCCAGCCTGGCTCGTTGGCAGGACCTGGAAGGGCAGACCAGTCACTGGGGGCAGAGAATCCTCCCCCTCAGCTCCTGTTAACTCTAGGCCAAAGCCGTAACAGGTAGGGTGGTCCTAGCTGGACAAGCCGCGAGAAAGCTCGTCAGACAGCGCTAGACATGTTAGTGTCCCCAAACCCTGGCTCTCGCCAACCTGTGCCTAATAATCTTAAATACTTAATTTGAACCCATTGGTCTCAAGACCCACAACAACCCCGACAACCGTTCTTACCCGTTCTGCTCTCTTGTTCCCTCCCTCCCTTCGTCCAACCTCCCACACCATATCTGCCCTCCCCTAAACTCCTCTTCACATCACCCTCTTCTCCCCTCAATCCCTCCCCCCTCACCCACCCCTCCCCTCACTCTTTTCTCCGCTCCTCACCTCACTCTCTTCTCCCCTTGTTCCTTACCCGCCTCCCCCCCTCCTCCCCTCACCCCATCGCTGGTACCCAGTAGGGAATGCTGGTGCTGGCATACCTCCGTTGGGGAGGTTGGCCCAGTAGATGACTCTGTATCCCTGTAGAATGCCGTTCAGAGCCTCCTTTGACGGTGTGGACCAGGAGAGTGAGATGACTTCTGGGGAAGTAGCGCTGGCCTGCAGGTTGTCCGGTGGTCGACTGGGCACTGCGTGAGGATGACAGTCATTAACCACGGCACCTCCTACATGGGCTCAAACACGCTGAGACCCCAAACACAACTCAAAATAGGAGACCGCCCCCAGCCCCCCACCGCCCACATCTCCCCCATCTCCCAATCCATCCCACCCAATTCCTGGTAACTACCATCCATCTAGTGAGGGCTGAAACCCGTGCTTGTCTGAAGTCAAATGACCAACTAGTGACTGTCCTCTTTGGGGTGGTGGGGTGTGGGGGTTCAGTAAGCAAGGTCTCCTTGGAGCTGAACTGGCTCCAAGGTGACATGATTGGCAATGGAATGCCGGAATCGAGCCAGCCCTCTGTGACGGTCTCTATTCCGGTCGGTTCCTGAGCCAGGCAGGTCCGCAGTCCTGGAACTTGCCATCACCTGTGTACCGTAGTATTCCTGGGCACTGCTGATGACAGCCCAGCCCAGCTTGGCTCATCGATAGGGCTTGGAAAGGCAGACAAGTCACTGAGGGCAGGGAATCCTCCCGCTCAGCTCTGGTTAACCCTGCAAGCCAAAGCCCTTACCGGTAGGGTTGTCCTGGCTGGAGACGTAGTGGGAAAGCTTGCCAGACAGTGCTCTCAATGGCAAACTAGGTGGTTTTAGCTGGTTAGACCCCAGCAGTTACCCCAACACACACTCTGGGGTCCCCCCAAGCCTTGACTCTTGCCAACCTGCGCCTAATACTTTCCGGGAATTAGGTAAGCAGGGTGTGTCCCTCCAGGGAGATGTGGATTCCATTCCCACAATCTATCTCTGGAATTTCTATTCCTCTGGAAGGTCTCATCTGAGGGACTTGAGTTTAACATCCCAGTTCAAGGACGGCACCTCCAAACAATGCAGCGTTCCCCCCAAAATGGAGCATCACCCAACGTGGGGGCTTGAACCCACAACCTTTTGACTCAGGGGCAAGAGCGCTACCAACTGAGCCAGGCTATCACGCAAATGGTTCCTGACCTCAGTTCCAACTATTTTGGCTCTGATTCTGGTACAGTGTGGGAGTCCGGCAGCTCAGTGGTTAGAGCACTCGTCTTGCAAGCGAGACACCTGGGTTCAATTCCAGGCAGAGGGCGAAACCTCGGACAAGTTTCCTTACTCCACACAGAGCCTAATAATAATCCCTCCAAATCGAAACAATAATAAATTGGTCACTTCAATCCACGACCGTTTGCGGGGACGCTGCTGTGCGCAATTGGCTGCCGCGTTTCGCCCACAAATATACGGTCAATTCACTTTACAGTCTGTTCTGTGAAGCGCTTTGAGACGTTGAGAAGACTATTATTATATCATAGGATTACTATATCATTCACAGAACGACCACCAATGTAATCTAGCATCTGGCCTGCAGGGGGCGCTGCAGGTTTGCTCTCCCAACACTTGCTTTAGGTGGACTTTACAGGTTCAAAAGAGCCGTGCTATTGGCCATGGTGTTTGATGCAACGTCTTATCATGTTCTCGAGACGTATCAAAGCTCTTCGCAGGGTACAGTGGATTAAGTGGACTGACTGTATTTTGTGGGCGAAACGCGGCAGCCAATTGCGGACGGCAATAGACCACAAACAGCCATGGAGGGAGTGACCAATTTGATTCGGAGGATCGTTGGCCAGGACACCAGGAGAGAGAAACTCTTCCCCTCCTCCCTGCCCGCAACCACCACCCCCCCCCACCCTCCTAACCCCCAGCATTGGGGCGTCATCTTAGACGATGTGATTCCAAGTCCCGATGCGGGGCTTGAACCCACAGCCTTTCTGATTCAGATTTGAGAGCACTAACTGCTGACTGAGCCAGGCTAACACGCACCCACTCATGTTGTTGTCGTTGTACAGTGCGGTGTGGGTTAGAGGTGCTCTGGTGAGAGGATGAGAGTGCCGGGTTGGGGGCGGGGGGTGGGTGCGGAGAGGGAGAGAAGGAGAGTGGAATAGAGGAGTGTAGGAGAGTGGAATAGAGGGTTGGAGGGGAATAGAGGGGTGTAGGAGAGGGGAATAGAGGGGTGTAGGAGAGGGGAATAGAGGGGTGTAGGGGAGGGGAATAGAAGGGTGTAGGAGAGGGGAAGAGAGGGGAAGGTATGACTTACCATCCTCCAGGCTGGTGGCGATGATCTCCTGGGAGGAAGGCCCTGTGCCTGCCCGGTTGCAGGCCTGCACCACCACCCCGTACTGGGTGAATTTCTTGAGGTTGTCGAGCGTGTAGACCTCGCTCTCCCCGGTGCTCTCCATGCTGATGATGTTGAACTGGTAGCTGCCTCCGGCGCTGTACTCCCGGTACCCGATCTGGTAACCGCGGATCTGCCCGTTCTGGAGGTGCTTCCTTGGGGCCTGAGTGAGCGACAACGACAACAACAAGAACAACATTATCAACGACGACAACAACAACAACTTGCATTGATATAACGGCCCCCGTCATGCAGGGTAGCGTCCCAGAGCGCCTGACAGTGACCGAGCACGATGCCCGGGATGGTGGTGGTGGTGGGGAGGGTGGCGTGGGGGTGACCGTAAAGCACGGTCGAAGAGGAAGGTCTTCAGGTCGGGGACGGAGGAGGCAAAAGGGGGAGGGATAGAGGAAGAGCGTTCTGGAGTTTCGGGCCGTAGTGGCTGAAAGCGCGGCCACGGATGGTGGAGCGGTATACACACATGAACGCGTATATACATACATCACCATGTACAGGGTGTCCACAAAGTCCTGTTACCGACCGTGCCCCCCCNACTCCACATGCACAGCGTATCTAACCTTGACTCGAAAACCCCATCGACCGAGACAGGCTGACATCCATCGAACGTAAACAACAACGGTGATAAGAATGCTTGTGTTTGGCACAGCGCCTTTCACGGTCGGGAGGACCTCTCGAAGCACTTCACACCATTCGCTGGAAGTGCGGACGACTGCGTATTTTATAGGCGAACGCAGCTGCCGGTTTGCGCACAGCGAGGTCCCCACAAACAGCCGTGGAAGTGAGTGACCAATTTTACCTGGGGGTGGGGGGGGGGGTGGGGGGGCTTATTGGCCGTGGGAGCTTTAAAGTCCACCTGAACGGACAGACGGGACCTCGGTTTAACGTCTCACCCGAAGGATGGGTTTGTGAGGGAGTGATTAAAAAGTGAGTGGGTTTTTTTTTAGGGGTGGGGATGGGGGCGGTGAGGGTGAGGGTGTCGGTGTTGGTGCAGAAAGCGTCACGTTTTTTAACAGGACTGTGACATTAAAATAAATAAACCCTCAAAATTAACACGACAAGCCATTTTACACCCGGGGTTTGCAACCCGGCTGATCTCAGGTGTGGAACCCGACCCCGATCGATGGGAGACGCTGCCGTCTAGTGGGAGAGGGAGGGAATGAGAGCAGCATTGCCACCCAGTGGGGGCAGAGGAAGTGTTTCCGATTGATCCCTTCGCACTGAACAATGTGAAAGGACGCTTGAGGTCCATCTGTTTTGTTGATCGGCGCTGCCACGTGGCAACCCGCAAGCGGGAAGACCTGGGTTCGATCCCGGGCAGGGCGTAACCTTGGGCAAGTGTCTTTACTCTGGTTAACCCGGCAGTAAGTAGGAACCAGGTTGTTAGTCGATTGGCGGATCACTTTCCCGGGGGTAATAATCCTTCCAGGAGAGTAAATAAATTGGTTACTCAATCCACGACTGTCTGTGGGACACTGCTGTGCGCAATTGGCTGCCGCGTTTGCCCACAAATATACAATCAATTCACTTTACAGTGTGTTCTGTGAAGCGCTTTGGGACGTCCTCCCGACGTGAAAAGCGCTATATCAAATGCAAAGATTATTATTATTATTATTATATTCTGTGAAGTGCTTTGAGACGTCTCAAGGACGTGATAAGGCACTGTATCAAATGCAAGATTTAAGAACTTTGGAGCAAATCTTCAAGTTCAATATTGTAAGGTAAGACTGTGAGTCGGGGGAGGAGGTGGGTGTTGGGGAGAGGGGTGGGGTGGGGGGAGAGAGGGCAAAGTTTGCGTTCAAGTGTCTGTCGCTTGAGAGAGTTGGGTCACTCACCTGCCAGGTCACTTGGATACTCTGGGACGACAGAGACACGAGAAGGACATTGAGAGGGGGACCGTCTGGAGCTGATGAGAGGCAAAAGAGGAGCAGGTCAACCAGGTCAACCAGGGCAACGGCAAGAACAGCTACTTGTATAGCACCTCACTCAGGATAGCATCCCAGTGCGCTTGACCGTGGCGGAGCACAAGGCCGAGCGAGGGGGAGATGGCCGTAAGCGCGGTCGGGCGCGACCTGGAGGTGGGGAAGGCGCGGGCAAGTTGGAGGGATTGAGGGAGAGCGTTCCAGAGTTTCGGGGGGGTGGGACAGTGGCTGAAACCCAGGCCACCCATTGTGGAGCGCAAGGCGCGAGGAATGTACAGGAGGCCGGGGCCAGCTGAGCGGAGGTAGCGGGTAGTGGGTTGGGGAGTAAGCAGGTTAAAGCGGTAGGGAGGTGGTCAGGGCATGAAGGGACTTGAGGACGAGTGAGAGGATCTTGAATTCGATCCATTTGGTGATAGGGGAGCCAGTGGAGCCTGGCTAGGACTGGTGTGATGGGGGTACGGAGTTTGGAGCAAGTGAGTATGCTAGTGGCTTCCTGAATTTCCAACGCCTTGGGACGTGCTTCTGAGGCGAAAGGCGCTGTGTAAGTATGAGGTGTTGGTCGTTGTTGTTTCTGTGTGTTTGGTGGGCTCCGCGGGGTGGGGAGAGGACACAGTCTCCGGCCGTTTGTGGTACCTGCTTCGTCGGTGGTGATGGTGAGCTCGTTGCTAGCCTCACTCTTGCCGATCCTGTTCTTGGCGTACATGCGGATGTTGTACGTGGAGGAAGGGTGGAGGTCAATGATGGTCGCCTGGTTCAACTGTGGAGACACGTCCTTCGTCCTCTGCACCGCGTCCCAGGAGTCTGCGAGCACACAAACGGGAAGCCATCAAACCCCACCCACTGTTGCAGTCCCACAACAACCTGTCCGCTCCCTCCGCTTAGTGGGCTCCGGGCTGCTCTATGTCCCCCACCTGCCCTGCCCGCTCCACCGTCAGCGGTCGGGCCTTCAGCCTTTCTGCCCCCATCCTCCGGAACTCCATCCCACAGTCACTTCGCCTCGCCCCCCCCCTCCCCCCTCCACTTCCCTTGCCTCCTTCAAGGCCTGTCACAAGACCCTCCTCTCCGACCGCGCCTTCGGTCACCCTCCTACCCCTACCCTCCCTGCCCTCCACCACCCACAGCCCACCCCCCCACGCCACCCCGATCCCAACCCCCAGCACGGGTCCTAGTCCTTGAGTGCTCAGCACCAATTGCGCACAGCAGTGTCCCGCAAACAACCGTGGATGGATGGGGTTAACAAGAAAATTTGCAGGGATTATTATCCCCGGAGAGCGATCCGCCAATCGACTAACAAGCGGCGGTGGGGGGGGAGGAGGGTTGCAGAAGATGAGAGGGCTGAAAAGAGCTGAGAAGGTTCCAGCCCCCGAGCCCCCACCCCACCACTCCCCAGTAAATGGGACACGATATCCCTCTGACACGTGGCTTGGGCTGTCTGTTTGTAACGACAGTATTACCTGAATCCCGAAGCATTGCTCGCGAAAGCTGCTAAACACAACTTATGTTACATTAGCCCTGGGGTTTTATAATATTCATAAGCTTATTGTAACTGACACAAAGCAGCTCTGGCCGCAAGCCATCAGCAGCCTAAGGGCGGGAAGGAAATAATGGTTTAAACAAACCGAGGGGGAAGGGGAGGGGTGGGTGGTGGGGTGTCTGACACCTTCTGCACTCTATGAGTCCTGTAGCGCAGTGGTTAGAGCGCTCGCCTCGCAAGCGAGAGGACCCGGGTTCAATTCCCGGGCGGAACGAAACCTTAGGCAAGTTTCCTTACTCCACACGCCTCTGTTTACCTCGTTCTTAGTCGATGGGCGGATCGCTTTAAGCAGCAGTAAGTAGGAAGGAACCTGGTTGTTAGTTGATTGGTAGACAACTCCTCGGGGGTAAAAAATCCCTCCGAATAAAACTGGTAATAAGAATTTGGTCGCTCAATCCCCGACTGTTTGTGGGACGCTGCTGTGCACAAATGGCTGAGTGAGTCTCGATAACAAGAGCAGCGGAGGGCGGGGGGTGGTAAATGGGGGAGCTGCAGTCTCGCTTGCATCTCCTTTCAATCGCCGTCATATATCACCGTAGCGTTTGAAGGCAGAAAGGTCTGGTCTCAATAATAATAATCCTAATAACCTTTGCAATGAATACAGTGCCTTACCACTTTCAAAGCCCTCCATGGCCTTGCTCCTCCACGACCGACTGAAACCTTACCAACCTGTCTGCTCTGCAGGCACTGGCCCGCTCCACTTTCCCCGTCCTGCTCGCTCCACTATCAGTCCCCACTGCCCCCACCATCTGGAACTCCAACCCGGAGCCCCTCCTCCGCGCCCCCTCACTTGCCTCCTTCAAGGTCTGTCTCAAGACATTCCTCTTCGACCGTGCCTTCGGTCATCTTCCCATGCCCCAACTCTCCTCCCTTGCCCTCCAACCCTCTCGGCACCAACCCCCACCCCCCCCCCACCCCCACCACGCCCCCAACTCGGGGGCAAACCCTTCACTGTCCAGCGCTTCGTCCTGACATGAAAGGCGCTGTATAAATGCAATTGTTTTTGCTGTAGTTATCACATCATCGAGACGTCTCACTGCGTTTCGCAGGATTTTACGGCAAAGCGTAGTGATTGTGCGTTTTTTTGAGGGCCAACGGGGGGGGGGGGGGCAGTCGATTTGCAGCCTGCGATGTATCACAAACAGCCGTGGAGTGAGCGACTGATTTTATTTGGGGGAGTTGGATTATCAACCGGGACACCGGGTGAGAGAGCCTACAGCGCCTCAGTGCGTCTTCTCCGATAGCGTCACGGGAAAAAGTCCACTTGAACAGGCGCAGATAGGGAGCTCAGTTTAAAGTCCTATCGGAAGGATGGCTTCTCCGACAACAGTGCTCCCTTCGACCCTGGAATGCCGGCCTGTACTGTGAGCTCAAAGTCCCGAAGGCTTGATCCCACATGATCCCGTTATAATCGTAATAATCCTTGCATTTGACACAGAGCCTCATCAAGTCTTCGAGGCGTCTCAAAGCCCTTCACAGGATAATAATAACAATAATAGTCCTTGCATTTGATGTAGCGCCTTATCACGTCTTCGAGACAGCCCAAAGAGCTTCACAGATTATACTGTAAAGTGAATTGACTGTATATTTTGTGGGTGAAACGCAACAGCCAATTGCACACAGCAGCGTCCCACAAACAGTCGTGGATTGAGTGACCACATTATTATTACTAATTTTTTGTTTTAATTGGGTGGTGCTTGATCCTACACCTTTTTCCCCTGCAGCTTTTTCACACAAAGGATAGTGGAAATCTCTCCCCCAAATTTTCAAGACTGAGGTGGATAGATTTTTGTTAGGTAAGGATATAATAATAATTGTGATACACTTGATATTGTACCTTGTCACGTCATTGAGACGTCTCAAAGCGCTTCGCAGGATATATTGTAAAGTGAATTGACTGTATATTTTGTGTCCCACAAAAATGTGGATAAAGTGACCAAGTTATTATTATTAATTTTTCGGGGAGGGTTTATTAACCCGGGAAAACAAACCGCCAATCGACAACCACGCTCCTACTTACTGCTAGGTAAACAGGGGCGTGTGGAATAAGGTTTCGCTCTGCAAAATCAAACCAGGGTCCTTCTCGCTTGCGAGGCGAGCGACCTAACCACTAAGCTACAGGGCCTCCTCCGCGGGTCTCTATCCCTTGAAACACCAGGTATCGAGGGATATGGAGCAAAGGCTGGTAATTGGAGTTGAGGTACAGATCAGCCACGATCTAGTAGAACGGTGGAACAAGCTTGAGGGGCTGAATGGCCTCCTCCTGTTCCTGTATTCCTCACTGAGAACACAAACAAAAGTTAAAGCTCTGGGGTACTATTTCTGTATATATAATATATATATATTAATCTAAAATAGTCACAAATAGATTAAACCCTAACCCTAAATTAGAAGAAATGTCTTCGCACAGAGAGTAGTGGGAATGTGGAACGTGCTACCACAAGGAGTTGTTGAGGCAAATAGCGTAGATATATTTTAAGGTGAAGCTAGATAATAATAATAATCCTTGCATTTGATATAGCGCTTTTCACGTCTTCTAGACGTCCCAAAGCGCTTCACAGAATATACTGTAAAGTGAATTGACTGTATATTTGTGGGCGAACGCGGCAGCCAATGGCGCACAGCAATGTCCCACAAACAGTCCTGGATTGAAAATGACCAATTTATTGTTGTTTTTTTTTGGAGGGATTATCATTAGGCTCTGTGTGGAGTAAGGAAACTTGCCCAAGGTTTTGCCCTCTGCCTGGAATTGGATAGGCACATGAGTGAGAAAGGAATAAGAAGGTTAGGCTTGAAGGCTTAGTTGAGGAAGGGCAGGAGGAGGCTCAGGTGGAGCATATGCATCGGCATAGACCAGTTGGGCCGAACGGCCTGTTTCTGTGCTGTATATTCTAATGGATGCTAATGTATATTCTATACTGATTTAGCTCCCCTGCGTGAGGGCCACTATTGAATCCAAGTTGTTGTTGTCGTTGTTGCTGTGCCGAGAGCGTTACTGACTGAGCTGGGCTGGCACGTGGTTAAGGTGGTCTCGATTCTGCTCACCCGACTTGTTCTTGCACTCGATGTCGAAGCCGGTGATGGGGCTGTTGCCGTCGAAGCCCATGCTCCATCGCAAGGCAATGCTCCGTGCTCGCACCTCCCGGATCTCAATTTCCGGTGGGTCAGGAGGCTCTGGAGAGATGCAACATAGGGAGTGAGAGAGAGAGTGAGAGCGAGAGAGAGTTAAGCGAGCGAGATAGAGAGAGAGAGATTGAGAAAGCGAGAGTGAGAGAGTCAGTGTGAGAGTGAGAGAGTGAAAGTGAGAGTGCGGGAGTGAGAGAGTGAGACAGTAAAAGAGTGAGAAAGAGAGTGAGAGAGAGTGAGAGTGTGGGTGTGTGAGAGAGAGAGAGAGAGAGTGAGAGAATGAGAGTGAGAGTGTGGGAGTGAGAAAGTGAGAGAGTGAGAATGAGAGAGTGAGAGAGTGAGAGAGTGTGCAGTGAGGATTCCTTCACAGAGATCCTCGCCTCTGACGCACACACATCACCTGTCACTTTCTCAGAGAAGGATGAGGTTAGAGGGAGGGAGGGGGAAAGAGGGAGCCAGGGAGAGAAGGGGTGGGAGGGCGGGGGGAGAGGAGGGAGGGAGAGAGGAGGAATGAGGGTGGGAGGGAGGGAGAGAGGGAGGGGAAACGTGGTAGGGTGGAGAGAGTGGAAAGGAGAGGCAAGGGGAGTGCGGAGGGGGTGAGGGAGGGAGAATGAGGGAAGGAAGGGAGGGAGAATGCGGAGGGAGAGGGAGGAAGGGAGGGAGAATGAACGAGGGAGGGTAGGAGGATAAAGAAGCGGTGTATTTCTCTCCGCACCATGTAGAAAGAAAGAGTTCCCACACTGGCTCCGCAACTGTGAAGCGCTCCGGGACCCTACCCTGCGTGAAGGGCGCTATACACATGCAAGTTGTTGCGGTTGTGTGTGTGGGTATGTGTGTGGGTGTGTGCGTGTGCGTGTGTGGGTGGATGGGTGGGTGGATGTGCCTGTGTGTGGGCGCGTGTGTCCTACCTTGCACTGTGAGCTGGATCAGGCCACGGTCCTCTCCGTACGAGTTGATGGCGTGACAGGAGAAGAATCCGGAATCACCCCGAACCGTGGGCGTGATCTGGTTGTTGGAGACAGACACACACGGAGAGCGAGAGAGAGAGAGAGAGACAGACAGACAGACAAACAGACAGAGAGAGAGAGAGAGAGAAAGAGAGAGGGTTGAAGGTTCAAGAGCAGTTCACGACGGCGCCCCCAGATTGCAAGCCCCTCTCCGCCCCCACCCGTCTCCACAAATCAGTCGCGTTTCAGACGAGCGGAAGAGCCCGAAGAGGCTTTGAATCCAATTTCACAGAGATACAATATTTTATCGTCTCTGAATCTGCCCCTTCTCTACACCCCCCACCACCCCCCTCCCCTCTCCTCGCTATCTACCCGCTGTAAGTGAAGCAAGTTTAATAAGGCTCTCAGAGAGAGAGCGAGCGAGCGAGCGAGCGGGCAGGAGAGAAGGGGAGAGAGAGAAAGAGAGGGAGAGAGAATTACCAAATTGCACCAATTTAGGATAGTTAGCGGCCGCTTTTTGTATTGAGGAGGAGATTTAAGCTGTTAGGGACGGTTTTATTTGGGGTTCTTAAAGGCACACTGCGCTCTCCCCAGCAATCGGTCAGTTTGGGTGATGGATCAAATCATTTCGTCAGTACAGACCAGACAGTTGAGGCGAGGTGGGACTGGTCAGTCGGTGGGGGGGGGGAGTGGTGGGAGGTGGCGGGGGCTACAATGAAAGAGAAGGAATTGCAACCAATGTGTCTTAGAGGTGAGAGTGTAACCCACTGCGCCAGACTGACACCCATGTCATGTTTTCCAACCAACATTGCCTTCCAATGGATTGCGCACTCTCTCTCTCTCTCTCTCCCTGGAGGGACGCATTCCCACTTACCTAATTCCGGAAAGTACTGGGCGCAGGTTGGCAAGAGCCAAGGCTTGGGGACGGACCCCAGAGTGTGCATTTGGGGGTAATTGCTAGAGTCTCAGCAGCTAAAACCGCACAGCTTGCCATTGAGACCTTCTTGTCTAGCTCGGCCCATCCTATCCATTAGGGATAGTGCTACCAACAAGCCAGAGTGACACAGTATAATTTATAATAATGATAGTACTAATAACAATCATCATCCTTGCATTTGATGTAGCTCCTCATTGCCTCCTCGAGACGCCTCGAAGGGCTTCACAGAAATATACTCCAATGTGAATTGAACGTATATCTTGTGGGCGAAATGCGGAAGCCAACTCCGCCGCAGCGATGTCCCACAAAACGTACGTTCAATTCACTTTAGAGGTCGTTCTCAAAGCGCTATATCAAATGCAAGTATTATTATTACTATTATTATTAAACAGAGGCGCATATGTGTGTGTGTGTGTGTGTGTGGAGTGAGGAAACTTGCCTGAGGTTTCGCCCAACTCGGGAATCGAACCCGTGTGCTCTCGCTTGCGAAGCAAGTGCCTCTAACCACTACGCTACGGGACTCCACAAAGTTAGGGGTGGGTACCTGCAACGTGGAGACCACCTCATCGCCCATCTCCTTGGTGGAGACGATATAGCGGAACATGCGTTGTGGGTCGATGACTGTGTCCTCCTTCTCCCAGCGCACGATGATGGGCTTCTCTCCGTGGGCGGTGCAGCTGACCTCTTTCCTCTGGCCCTGAGTGGCCAGCGTAGTGTTGGGGTAGGACGTGATCATGGCTGGAACTGCCGGGGAGGCGGGGAGGGGGGGTGGAGGGGAAGGGGCAGAGAAAGAGAGAGCAAAGTGTGGAGAGGGAGAGAGAAAAAAAACAAGAGCATTTCTCCAATCAAACCTTGTTTTATTTGGTCTGGATCCGACGCAGTTGTGAACCCAGAGCCTCGCGAATCCCCAGACCGAGAGCGTTTGCACCCCATTCCTCCGCCTCGCCCCCTCCCTTGCCTCCTTCAAAACCCGTCTCAAGACCCTCCTCTTCGACCGTGGCTTCGGTCACCCTCCTTCCCCCCCCGCCCGCCTTCCCGCCGCCCGCCCGCAAACCCTCCCCGATCCTGACCCAAGGCGCCCTCCCGAAGTGAAAGGCGCTGTAAAAATGTAATTTGTTGTTGCTGTTGTTATAAGCTGTTTTTTGTGTCGAGGGTTCCACGTAAGCAGATCCACCAACACACGTGGAATCTAGTTTAATGTCTCACCCGAAGGATAATGTACAACACATGTTTAGCTCCGTGTAAAAGCCACTCGTTTTTCTGATTGCAATTCCCTTTGCTCACTGTGTCGGTAATGCATTTTTGACTCCTTACGTGTATAATGTACTTTTAGACCAGGACATTGGGACTCATTTAAAAAGGAGCTCGATGCAGTGATGTGAGGAGGATGATGGAGTGGGAGTTCTGGAGGGATGAGGTCCAAGAATATCCATCCATCCCAGTGGTCAACAACCCCGGACCAGCGGACATCAGCCAATTCTGCTGCTTTGGGAGTTGTAATGATCCACACACACACTCGCACTTAACTGATCCATACACACTCACACACATACCGGATACACACAGACACACACACACACACACACAGACACACAGACGCACACAAGTACACACAAACACAGATGCACGCACACACACAAGACACACACATACCATACACGCACACACACACACACACACACACACACGTACAGACCGGCACATACTGACATGCACATACACAACACACAGCCACAGAGACACAACCAAACACACAACACACACACTCACACAGACCAGTACTTGAGCGTAACTCACTTTTCACTCCTTCCGAGGGAAACGATGGGAGAATATGCATGAGGCAACAGATAAATCTTCTGGCGTAACTTGAGCGATAAATTGGATGGCTTATGAGCTCACGAGGCTGTGAGATGTATTTAGGAGCGGTACATATGGCAGAGTGACACAGAGATGTGTGCTCCCTGGTGTGGGGGGGGTGGGGGGCCCGGGGGGAGGCACGATAGATGCTAATTGACACACAGGCAGCTTTAGATGAAGTGGATACATCTCAGATATGGCAGTCAATGTCAGGGCTTACTATTTAGGGCAGTGCAGGCACACAGGGAGGGAGGGTGGAAGAGCGCGGGGGTGAATGGGGAGAGAAGGGGGAGGGGGCGATGAGGAGCGGGGAGAGAGAGGAACCGGGAGACGGGGGGAGAGAGGGACGGAGAGGCAGGAGGACAGGGAGCGGGGAAAGGGGGACAGGGAGTAGCTAGAGAGGGATTGGGATTGGTGGGAAAGGGGTTTGGTGCGGCAGGGGGGAGAAAGGGATGGAGAGCAGGAGAGAGAGATGGATAGGGAGCGGGGAGACAAGGGCGATGAAAAGGGGAGAGGCATGGGGAGAGGAGGAGAGAGTGACATTGAGGGAGGGGGGAAGAGACAGACGGGCATGTGGGGAGAGAGGTGTAGGGAGTGGGGTGCTCTGGGTTGCTACGCTGCGTGAGGGGTGCTATACAAGTTCAAGTTGTTGGGCGGAGGAGTGAAGGGGACAGAGGCGCAGGGGAGAGAGGGACTTTTTTTTTGCTTTGATCAACAGTCTGGGTTGGTACTGCGTCAGGATAACAAGCAAAATCGTGGAGTCCTGTAGCTCAGTGGTTAGAGCACTCGCTTTGCAAGCGAGAGACCTGAGTTCAACTCCAGGCAGAGGGCGAAACCTTGGGCAAGTTTCCTTACTCCACACAGAGCCTAATAATAATCCCTCCAAAAAAACAAAAATAATAATAAATTGGTCATTTTCAATCTACGACTGTTTGTGGGACATTGCTGTGCGCAATTGGCTGCCGCGTTTGCCCACAAATATACAGTCAATTCACTTTACAGTGTGTTCTGTGAAGCGCTTTGGGACGTCCTCCCGACGTGAAAAGCGCTATATCAAATGCAAGGAATATTATTATTATTATTATTAAAATCGGTGAATGATCCCAGTCAAGCCCTGAGAGGAAAACGTTAGGGTCTGAGTTCAGTGCGATTGTGGAAACCCATCGCTGTGCTTAAGAGTCTCCAAACCAACCTGAGAATTCCTCACCTACACATGGAAATCCCAGAGATAGATTGTGGGAATGGAATGCACACTCTCTTTCTCTCCCTGGAGGGACTCATCCTGCTCACCTAATTCCGGTAAGTATGAGGCGCAGGTTGGCAGGAGCCAAGGCTTGGGGGACCCCCAGAGTGTGGGTTGGGGGTAACTGCTGGAGGCTGACCAGCTGAAGCCGCATAGCTTGCCATTGATAGCCCTGTCTGGCAAGCTTTCCCGATGCATGTCCAGCTAGGATCACCCTTACCCGTTAGGGCTCTGGCTTGCAGGGTTAACAGGAGCCGAGTGGGAGGATTCCCTGTCCACAATGATTGGTCTACCCTTCCAAGTCCTACCGATGAGCCAGGCTGGGCTGGGCCGTCATCAGCAGTGAGTGCCTTGGATTACTGCGGACCGGCCTGGCTCAGGAACCAGACAAGAGACTCTCATAGAGCTGGCTCGATTTTGGCATTCCGTTGCCAAACATGTCGCCTTGGAGCCACCTCCCCCTGCCCCCACCCGTAAGGTAGTTGCAAAGCTTAACTCGAAGTAACCGAGCCATTTTCGCTGCCCAGTTGCCTGGCTGATCGACTGTGTGAGCTGTGTGCTGGTCTCTCTTCACTGGTTGAATAAATCTCCTAGCGACAGTCTTCCTGAGGCCCTCATTGCCCAACCAACCTAGCAGAGCTGCCCTTGCAGTGCTCACCTACCCGGCAAATGGTAGATAATAGGCATCTCCTGTAGCTTAGTGAAGTCACTGTAGCTCAGTGATTAGAGCACTCGCCTCGCATGCGAGAGGACCTGGGGTCAACCCCCGATAGGACGTAACCTCAGGCAAGTTTTCTTACTCCACACTCCCCTGTTTACCGAGCAGTAAGTAGGAACCCCGCTTGTTAGTCGATTGGCGGATCGCTTTCTGGGAGTAATAATCTCTTCAAAAAAAAGAATTACTATTTGGTCACTCAATCCACGACTGTTTGTGGGACACCACTGTGAGCAATTGGCTGCCGTGTTTCGCCCACAATATTTACAGTCAATTAACTTGTACAGTATGTTCCGTGAAGCGCTTTGAGACGTCTCAAAGACGTGATAAGGGGCTATATCAAATGCAAGGATTATTAATATTATTATCTCAAACATTGAGTTAGAGCACGAGAGGACAGAAAGAGCAAAGGCCTTTCTGAGAGGACAGAAAGAGCAAAGGCCCGGCAAAGCGCTTCACAGTCATTATTTTCGATATAATAATAATAAAGCTTGCATTTGATATAGTGCCTTATTATGTCGTTGAGACGTCTCAAAGCGATTCACAGGATATACTGTAAAGTTAATCTACTGTATATTTTGTGGGCGAAACACAGCAGCCAATTGCGCACAGCAGTTTCCCACAAACAGTTGTGGATTGAGTGACCAAATTATTATTATTTTTTTTACGGGATTATTAGCTCCAGAAAGCCACCTGACAATCGATTAACAACCAGGTTCCTACTTACTTCTAGGTAAACAGAGGCGTGAGGAGTAAGGAAACTTGCCTAAGGTTTCGTCCCGTCCCAGGAATCAAACCCGGGTCCTATCGCTTGTGAGGCGAGCGCGCTAACCACTACACTACAAGGCTCCATGTTAGATGGCGGACATAAAAATCCCAGCACAGCACAGACTCCGACCGTTAATCAAAGCAAAAAAAAAATAAAGTCCCAACTCGCTTTGAAGGGAATGGCCTTTGAAGTGTATGGGAAGAAAGCCTTTGTACATGTGCTGTACTCATTGTACTGCTGACCCTTTCTGTGCCTCCATCAAATCTACCCTCGGCTCACTTTCTCTCTCGGCTTCCTTCCCCCTCACCCCCCCCCCCTCCCTTTTCTCACCAGCTATTCTCATCACCATTTATATGCTTCCGTGTTCCTTTCGGCTTCTAATTTGCAGCGTTTTCTAAACAGCTTCCTGAATAATAATCCCAGCGTTTGATATAGCCTTATCATGTTGTTGAGACGTCTCGATGCGCTTCACAGAATGTGTGATGTAAAGTGGAGCGACGGCAAATTTTGTGGGCGAAAAGCGGCAGCCAACTGCGCACGTCAATGTCCCCGCAAACAGCCGTGGATTGAGCGAACAAAATTTTTTTCTCAAGGGATTGTTACGACTGGGTTCCTATTTACTGCGAGGTAAACCGAGGGGCATGGGGGTAAGAAAACACGCCTGAGGGAATCAAACCCGGGTCCTCTCGCTCGTGAGGCGAGCGCTCTAACCACTACTCTAATGGACTCCACATGCAGGGAAGGGGGGGGGGAAAAAAAAATAGCATAAATACACAGCGTCTATGGGCTTCCTAAGCAGAGGCATTAGCGTGGTAATGATCAAGGTTTCCGTGTGGAAAGAGAGTCTAAAAAGGAGTTAAATATGATTAGGGAGGAGGAGAACAAAACAGTCAGCATCGCCTTTGCTTTCCCCTCTCCTGACTAATTATTAATCGGTGTGACAATCATAAAATCATTCTCTCATTAACTAATTACAGCTCTTTGACTAACACCAATCTTATTACCATTGATCACTGATGAACAGCAGCCTGTTTTGTTTGCCTTTCTGCCAGACCGCTTTTTTTAGTGCACGCCCTCCCTGCCCCCACTTTAATAATAATCTTTGCATTTAACATAGCGCCTGATCACGTCGTTGAGACGCCTCAAAGTGCTTCACAGGATTCACTGTATTTTGTGGGCGAAACGCGGCAGCCGATCGCACGCGTCAAAGTCCTACTTACAGCCATGGAGTGAGTGACCGATTTTATTTTGGGGGATTGTTGACCGGGAGACCGGGAGAGAGAAACTCCCTCAAACCGTCCACAAACAGTCGTAGATTGAGTGACCAAATTTTATAATTGTTTTTGAAGGGATTATTATCCCCGGAAAGCGATCCTTCCCAATGGACTAACAACCGCATTCCTACTTACTGCTTGGAAAACAGAGCTGCGTGGAAGGAAAGTAAGGAAAGTTGCTGAACAGGTTTCGCGCCTCCCAGGAACTAGACCCGGGTCCTTTCGCGCTAATCACTACGCTGCAGGACTCCACATTTAATGATAATTAAATGAATAATGATAACTGTTACTATCAATGAATCGCGCAGTCTCGATAAGAAAAACTTCACGATTCGGCGTGAGGCGCGCGTGGAAATTGCACGCACTAAAAACACTTCTTTTTTCGCGTGGAAAAACAACGTCCCTCTGCCCATTGTCCTGATCTCTCTCTTTGTCTGCCCCGGATTTGCTGCCTGCAGTCACCAGTGGATTGCAATCCATAGCTGGATATTATGCAGGGAGCTGTCAAAGCCTGAGACAGAAATCAATGCCATCTTGCACTTGTTAGCGTTAGCTCCCGGAGCCGAGGGAACTGGGACCATTGTGTTGATCATTAATGCACCAGCCTCTCTCTCTCTCTCTCTCTCTCTCTCTACGTTTAGTGTTCATTTCTTGCAGGGCCCGGGTTACACTTGCTTCAGAAGGGGATTAATGACCACACCTGCTCTCCCTCATGCAGCGTGCTTCACAGCGTGCTTATGTCGAATAAAAACCCTCAAGACGTAATTCTTTGACCGGGCTTGCGGTCGTCTTTTCCCTTCTTCCACCCCCCACTCTACACCCGCTGGCTCCCAACCCCTCCCCCCCCCCCCCCCACACACACAACTCATTTCCCTGTCTGGCACCGTTGAAAGGCTTTGGGACCACCTCCTGACGTGAACGGTGCTTTTATCAATGCAAATTTGGAATGAATAATAACCCGAGATGAGCCTTGCATTTGATATAATGTCGTATCATGTCGTTGAAATGTCTCAAAGCGCTTCATAGCAATACACTGCCGAGGGAATTGACTGCAAATTTTGTGGGCGAAACGCGGCAGCCGATTGCGCACAGCGGGGTCCCACAAACAGTCGTGGATTGAGTGACCAAATTATTAGTCTTTTTTGGAACAGATTATTACTCCCAGAAAACGATTCACCAATCGACTAACAACCGGGTTCCTACTTACTGCTAGATAAACAGAGGGGTGTGGAGCAAGGAAACTTGCCTGAGACTCGGAATCAAATCCGGACGCTCTCGTTTGCGAGGCGGGTTCTCTGATAAATACGCTACAGGGCTTGTATTGCATTGGAATTATATATTGAAACATAACCCTTGCGTTTGATGCAGCACCTTATTTCGCCGTCCAAATGCTTCAAAGTATTTCACAGGAATTTTTGTGGAGTCCTGTAGCTCAGCGGTTAGAGCACTCGCATTGCAAGAGAGAGACCTGGTTCGATTCCCGGCTGGGCAAAACCTTGGGCAAGTTTCCTTACTCCACACACCTGATAATAATCCCTCAGGAAAAAAACACAATAATAATTGGTCACTTCAATCCACGACTGTTTATAGGGACACTGCTGTGCGAAATTGGCTGCCGCGTTTCACCCACAAATATACGATCAATTCACTTTACAGTATATTCTGTGAAGAGCTTTGAGACGTCGAGAAGACGTGAAAAGCGCTACATCAAATGCAAGGATTATTTATTATATTACTATTACTGTGCCACGGAGCGATTGTGTTTTTGTGGGCAAACCTGGCAGTGATGACCACACAAACAGCCATAAAGTAAATAACCGATTTTATCTGGGAGATTGTTGGCCAGGACACCAGGAGAGAAAAACTCCCTTCTCTTTTCCAACGGTGCCTTGGGATCTTTAACATCCATCTGAACAGGCAGATGGGACCTCTGCATCACCTGAACTGTGTGAATTCATAGTTTTCAATGCGTGGCTTGAACCCACAACCTTTTAAAATAAGAATAATAAGAATGAAATACATCAAACTACAAATTGAATGTGGACGTATGTGCCAATGTAAAACAAGCATAGTTCCTATAGTCATCTGTGTAACAGGGACCGTTAGTAAGACCGTTCAGAAATGGCTGACAAAATACCCGGTGAACAAACCATCAACCTCCTTCAAAAGTAGGTATTTTAGATCAAGTTCAAATGTACTCAGAAAAGTATGATCCATTGATATGTAACGTGTTGGTGTTATTGGTCTGGCTGACCATCACTGAAACCCATTTAGAAATTACCTCTACTAAACTGTAATAACGTAATAACGTAATAATAATAATAATAATTGCATTTGATGACATCCAGACATCGCAAAGAGCGTCACTGGATACTGTAATCTGGTGTCACTGTTTTTTTTTGCGTGCGCGCGGGCGAACACGGCAGCCAATTTGCGCAAAGCGATGTCTCACATGAAGTGAGCGGCCAACTATATTTGGTGGATTTTGTTGCCCGGGACACAGGGAGAGAGAAACTCCTTCCTGACTTGGAGGAAAGAGTGCTATCGACCGAGTCAGGCTGACAATCCTCAGCCGTGGATCCTGTAACTGGGAACGATTGCTCAGAGGAATTTGCTCGGTGCCATAATAATAATCAACATAATAATCCTTGCGTTTGATGTAGTGCCGTATCATGTCATTGAGACGTCTCAAAGCGCTTCACAGGATATACTGGAAAGTGGATTGACTGCGTACTTTGAGGGTGAAACAACACGGCATTGAGTGACCAAACATTTTTCTTGGAGGGATCGTTACTCCGGGGAAGCGACTAACAACCGGGTTCCTACTTACTGCTTGGTAAACAGAGCCGTGTGGAGTAAGGACATTTTCCGAGGTTTTGTTCCGGCCGGGAATCGAACCCGGGGTCCTAATAATAATAATAATAATAATAATCCTTGCATTTGATATAGCGCTTTTCACGTCGGGAGGACGTCCCAAAGCGCTTCACAGACCACACTGTAAAGTGAATTGACTGTGTATTTGTGGGCGAATGCGGCAGCCAATTGCGCACAGCAATGCCCCACAAACAGTCGTAGATTGAAAATGACCAATTTATTTATTGTTTTTGGTTTTGGAGGGATTATTATTAGGCTCTGTGTGGAGTAAGGAAACTTGCCCAAGGTTTCACCCTCTGCCTGGAATTGAACTCAGGTCTCTCGCTTGCAAAGCGAGTGCTCTAACCACTGAGCTACAGGACTCCACAGTCCTCTCGCTTGCGAGGCGATTTTGCTAACAATACGCTACGAGGCACCAAAAACGTGTTTTGCCTTCGAGCAGCCAGTGACTTGGTGGTAGAGGGTGGGAGGGGGGTGGGGGGGGGGAATGGAGTGATGGCTGGACTGGCTCTGAAGCAAAAATCAACAAAGGAATGGCTCAGTGACTCAAACGCAATTTATTCCGCACGGTTTCTGCAAGCTCCTGGGGTAATGGCACATGATGGGTGATTAAAGGGCGAGTGTTTAAATCAAAGACGGCAGATTGTGTGAAGAGCGTCAAAAAAGCAGTAAGCTATCGCTCACTGCTTGTCATGAGAGGCCCTTGTTAGCAATAAAATAGAGCAAAGCTTTGCTCTAAACAAGAAGCAGGTAGAGGCAGCCTCGGGCACAGACAAATGAGGAGAGAGGTTTCCTTTATACAACAACTAACAAGGATCCTTGCGCTTGATACGGCGCCTCATCACGTCGTTGAGACGTCTCAATGCCGCTTCACAGGATATACTGTAAAGCGGATTGACTGTGTATTTTGTGGGCAGCCAACTGCGCACAGCAGCGTCCCACAAACAGTCGCGGATTGTGTGACTACATTATTATTAGTTTTCATTTTATTTAGCCACTCTGCCCCGAGCCTCTGGAACTCGGTCCCGATCCCGACCCCCGAAACCCCCAACCCCCCGGGTCCGAAACACTGGTTGTCCAGCGCCTTGGGACTTCCTCCCAGTACATATGTAAGTTTGCAGTTGTTGTTGTTTTCAAGGGATTATTACCTTCGGTAAAGCAAACCGCCAACCGACTGACAACTGGGTTCCTACTTACCGTTAGGTAAACAGAGACGTGTGTGGAGTAAGGAACCCGGGTCCTCTCGCTTGCGAGGCGAGCGCTCTAACCACTACGCTACAGGAATCCACCAACACATGATTCAACCATCGCTTCGGGTGAGGGGGGTGGGGGCGAGTTCCACAGTCTCACTACCCTCTGCTTGAAGTAGCTCCTGATACACTTCTCTTCCTCTAGATTCCCCCCACCCCCCACCCACCCAAGTAGTTGCCATCTTATATTTGTGTCCCCTGGTTACGGACTCCCTAAACCGGTGGGAAACAGCCCATTTGTGTTAACCTTTACCAAACCCTTTCACTCTCGATATGTAAGGGGGAACGTTCTCACCGAGCGGCTGCCGACGGGAAGCGAGAGGAGCGAGGGAGGAGGGTTCGGTGGGGGGTGAAGTGGGGAGGTCCTTACTTTTGACGGTCAGGTACATGGACTTGCTGACGTCAGCTCCCACGTCGTTGCTGACCTGACACAGGTAGTAGCCGCTGTCCTCCTCCAGCACGTGTTTGATCAGCAGAGACCCATTCACCAGCAGTCGCACTCGGCCGTTCAGGGTGATGGACTGAAACTGAGGCACCCCAGCGCCTGCGGAGAGCGTGAGGGAGAGAAGTGAGGGCGGGGGGGAGGGGCAGAGAGTGGGGAAAGTGGGAGGGAGCGGGGGAGAGAGGGGGAGAAAAGGGGAGACAGATAAGGGGGAGAGCGCGGGGGAGCAGGGGCGAAGGAGGGGGGTGAGGGAGCGGGTGCGGGAGGAGAGAGAGGGGAGTGGGGGAGAGAGCAGGGGGAGAGGGAGGGATAGCAGGGGGAGAGCGGGTGGGGGAGAGCAGGGGGAGAGCCGGGGGGGGTTGGGGGGAGAGAAGGGGAAACTCCTGGTTAGGTCCACTGTTAGTCATCTTGTGTTAAGATCATAAGAACATAAGAAATGCTCGACGAAAGAAACATTTGCCTTTCACCTTCCTGGCGGTCGCAAGCACATGTGTCCTGAACTACATATGTACTATATCCCACAATGTTATTTCCTGAAAGAAAACTATCTAATCCGTCGATAGGAACGCAGGAACAAAGCTTTGCAGTGACCAGCTGGGTGTCGGAAACACATGCGGAAACCCATCGCTGTGTTTACGAGTATTCAAACCAGACTTGAGAGTTCCACCTACGTGTTTGACATGGAAAATTCCCCGTGTCTGGAACGGAACGTGCGCTCTCTCTCTCCCTGTGAGGGACGCATTCGGCTTGCGCAATTCCCGGAGAGCATTAGGTGCAAGATGGCAAGAGCCAAAGCTTGGGAATCCGCCAGAGTGTGCTTTGAAAGCACTCGCTGGTTTGCTTTCCCGCTGCTTGTACAGCTAGGACCACCCTACCCATTAGGGCTTTGGCTTGCAGGGTCAGCAGGAGCTCGAGTGGGAGGATTCCCTGCCCCCCAGTGACTGGTCTGCCCTTCCAGGGCCTGCCGATGAGGCCAGTTTGGACTACGGGGTCAACAGCCGTGCCCAGGAATACTACGGTACACAGGTGACGGCAGGTTCCAGGAACTTCTAAGACCGGATTTGGATCTCAGAAATGTTGGGAACGTTGGCCTGGAGACAATACCTTTGGAATACTTCCACACGATGGTGGGGACGGGATAGCCCTCGGCCGAGCAGTTCAGGATGACCGATTTGCCGTAGATGCCGTCCTGGTCACTGGGCTGAACCACAAAGTGGGGAGGGACTGGAAAAGAAAACACAGCGGGAGAGGGAGAGGGAGAGGGTGAGGGAGAGGGTGAGGGTGAAGACACAGAACACGACTCGCAGTTGCACAGCGCCTTTCGACTCGGGAGGACTCCTCACAGTGCTTCGCATTGAGGGTGGGTGGGTAGGTAAGGTGACCAAAAGAGGTAATAACAACAACAACTTGCACTTATATAACGCCCTTCACAGGGGGGAATCGTTCTGGAGCGCTTACAAATAATAATCCTTGCGCCTGATTGAGAGCCGTCGCAATGTCTCAAAGCGCTTCAAAGGATATACTGTGAAGTGTAGTGGCTGTATGTTTTGTGGGCGAAACGCGGCTGCCACTATGCGCACAGCAACCTTTTATGGTCGTCCAACAAAATAAATTCTCTTTGTTGAATATTTCTTGACTTATGCCATGAATCGCTCACAAAGACACGCGTAAACGAGCGAGAACGTTCTGTGGAGTGGCGGAGGGGGTGGGGGCGTCGGTGAGGGTGAGGGCGGTGAGATCGAGGGGCAGGGTGAGGGCGAGGGGCAGGGTGAGGGGGAGGGTGAGGGCGAGGGGCATGGAGAGGGCAAGGGTGGTGAGGTCGATGGGCAGGGTAAGGGCGAGGGCAAGGGACAGGGTGAGTGCAAGGGGCAGGGTTAGGGCGAGGGTGAGGGTGAGGGGCAGGGTGAGGGCGAGGGGCAGGGCGAGGGCGAGGGCGAGGGGCAGGATGAGTGCGAGGGTGGGGGTGAGGGTGAGGGGTAGGGCGAGGGGCAGGCCGAGGGCGAGGGGCTGCTGACCTCTGACGACCAGTTGGCTGCGGTGTTCTGTGGCGGCGGCAGCGTTGCTGGCGACGCAGGTGTAGTTGCCGTTGTGGAGGAGCGAGAGGTTGGAGATGCGCAGGGAGCTGGAGAAGTCGATGTTGTCGATGGTGACGCCCAGGCTGGCGGGGATGGGCCGCCCGTCCTTCTGCCAGGTGATGCGGATGGGCAGGTCCCCCGAGACCACCACGCACGGGATGAAGACCCTCTGGCCGATGGAGAACCGCGGGAACTCGAAGGGCTGGATCAAAGGCGGCACTGCAGGGACACAACGCGAGGCGAAGACGGAGCGGATCAATCCGGCCATTTGGCCGAACCATACAGCGGGTTATACGTTCGCACGGAGCCTCACACGTCGTCGGGAGGCCGTCCCGAGGCGCTGGACAGTCAGGGGGTTTGGCCCCGAGCTGGTGGCGTAACAAGTCACGTTTTATTATGATAACGCTGGCATTCGAGGTGGAGCCTGAGACGTCTCAAAGCTCTTTACGGGATATACCGTAACGTGCGCTGACTGCGCATTTCGTGGGCGCACAGCAGGGTCCCACAAACAGCCACGGAGCGAGTGACCGGCTTTATTTGGGGGGGGGATTGTCGGCCAGGACACCGAGAGAGAGAGAGAGAGAGAGAGAGAGAGAGAGAGAGAAACTCCCTTCTCTTTTCCAATAGCGCTGCGGGATCTTTAACGTCCACCTGAACAGGGCAGACGGGACCTTGTTTTAACGTCACATCCGAAGGACGGCACCTCCGGCACTGCAACACATCCCCCCAGCGCTGCATGGATTGTGATTCCTGTGCGTCCGACTGTCCGACTGTGTGAGTCTACAGCGTGTGAGTGTGTGTGTATACAGTGTGTGTGTGTATACAATGTGAGTGCGTACAGTGTGAGTGTGTACAATGTGGTTTCAGTGTGAGTGTGTACATAGTGTGAGTGCGAATAGTGTGTGTGAATACAATGTGAGTGTGAACAGTGTGAGTGTGAATACAGTGTGAGTGTGTATAATGCATGAGTATGTATACAGTGTGTGTGTTTACAGTGTGAGTGGGTCTGTTGTACTGTATGTCAGTGTGCGGGTGAGTGTACTGTATGTCTGTGTGTGTGTACTGTAGGTCAGTACTGTATGTCATTGTGTGTGTGTGTGTGTGTCAGTGTATACAGTGTGAGTGTGTACTGTATGTTGAAGTGTGAGTGTGTAGTGTATGTCAGTGTTTACAGTGTGAGTGTGTAGTGTATGTCAGTGTGTACAGTGTGAGTGTGTACTGTATGTCAATGTGTACAATGTGAGTGTGTCGTGTATGTCAGTGTGTACAGTGTGAGTGTGTACAGTGTGAGTGTGTACTGTATGTCAGTGTGTACAGTGTGAGTGTGTACTGTATGTCAGTGTGTACAGTGTGAGTGTGTACTGTATGTCAGTGTGTACAATGTGAGTGTTTATTGTACGTCAGTGTATATGTGAGTAAAACGCTGGGTGTGTAATTGACTGACAGGAAACAGAATTGCCACCAGTTGTAATAAAATATTAAAATTCCCACGGGGAATTCATTAAATTGCTTTTAATGTTTTTTTTGTCTGTTGAAAGAGTGGAGCTAAATGTAGGGGGGGCGGGGATGGGGAGCGAGGGAGGTGGGGAGTGAGCGAGGTAGGGAGTGAGGGAGGTGAGGAGCGAGGGAGGTCACATTTTTCTGGTGGACAGGTACAGTGACTGGACTGGACCTCTTCCCGGGTCAGAAAAGGGCACAAATCCTGAATTTAAATGAAAAACCCAAAAGACATCGTGAACGGAGGGATTTGAGGGGCTGGATAGCCAAATGCAGAGAGAACCGGATGTGACGCTAAATATTATAATAATCCTTATATTTCATCCAGAACGACGTCTCTAAGCACCGCACAGGATTTACTGTAAGCTGCGTATTTTGTAGGCAAACGCGGCAGACGATTTGCGCACAGCAGCGTCCCACAAACAGCCATGGAGCGAGCGACCAATTTTATTTTGGGGATTGTTGGCCAGGACTCCGAGAGAGAGAGAGAGAGAGAGAGAGAGAAACTCCCTTCTCTTTTCCAATAGCGCCGCGGGATATTGAACGTCCACCTGAACAGGCAATCGGGACCTCGGTTTAATGTCTATTTAATGTTTAGTGTCTCATCTAAAGGACGGCTTCTCCGACAATGAAGCGCTGTTCACCACACCCACACCCCCCCCACCACCCCCACCCCCACCCCACACACACACACACAGATTGTGGGAGGGAATGAGAGAAGGAAGCATACAGCGTACAGCTCAAAGTCCCTGTCATTGGGGATTGAACACACACGATGTTCTGCCACGCTCACACTCTACATAAAGTTGTGGGTTCGAGAGCCCCACCACGACAGGGCTTGGAATCACATGGTCTAAACCTTCTCTCCAATAAAGTGCCGGGGGTGGGTGGGGGGTGTGGGGGCGAATGTCGGATTGACAAGAAGATGCCATCCTCCGGATGAGACGTTAAGCCGAGGTGGAAGCTAATGATCCCGCGGCGCTTTTCGAAAAGAGAAGGGAGTTCCTCTCTCCCAGTGTCCTGGCCAACCATCCCCAAAATAATATTGGGTCACTCGCTACGCGGCTGTTTGTGGGACGTTGCCGTGTTAACTCCCGTTTCATCGTAAATCCTGTGAAGCGCTCTGAGACGTCCCTGTGACACCAAACGCAAGGATTATTATTGTTATATTATTATTATCATTCCCTCTGTTCCCGTTTGTACACAAACAAATACGTACGTGCAGTCACAGACCGAAAAAGACTGACGTTCACAAATACGGAGACACACACACACACACACACACACACATTACCCGACAAACACAGACAGAGACACACAACCACACATCCGTACGTGTCTGCGTGCCTCGTTCGCCTACAAACCACACTTCCGTCACTCCCTTTCGCCTCAAATAAAGATTATTTTTTTCCGGGTCTGGGAATCCGCAGCGTGTCGATTCTTTTCAGGGAGCAAATTCGACTGACTTCTGTCGGGACGGACCTCGGACTCCTCGCGCCCGGCAAAATTCTTACGCCTCTCACGTATCCAAGTGCTTTGAGACATCCTGATCGCTTACCCCCCACCCCGCCCCGCCCCACCCCACCCACCACCGCCACCCTTTCGCTTACCTTTGACGGTGACGTGCACGCTTTGGCTGGTGGAGAGTTGGGGCTGGACCAGGACACTGCAGATGTACTCCCCCTCATCGGTGTCCTTCTGCACGTCGGACAGCTTCAGGGTGCCGTTGTTGCCGAAGGCCACCTGCCTGTGGTTGAAGGGCAGCAGGTTGGCGTTCTTGTACCACTTGATGGAGTAATAGGGGTACCCGATCACGTGGCAGTGGATGTAGGTGTCCCGGCCCGCGATCGCCGTGATGTTTTTCATCGGGCGGATACTGGCTGGTCCTGTCAAATAGAACGCACAGCCACACACATACAACACACATACACACATTTGCAACATACGTACACAAACACACACACACACACACACACACACGCACACACATACACAGCCATGCACATACAACACAAGCACGCACGCATACACACAGCCACGCGCACACAACGTACGTGCACGTACGCCCACATTGCCGCGCAAGTGCAACATGCACCCACACACAACCGCACGCGTCCAACACACATACACACACACACGCGCAGCCACGCACATACACATAGCCACACACGTACACACACACATACACAGCCACGCACATATACACAAAAATATACACACATACACACAACACACATACATATACACATGTATACAGATTACAGACATATACACAAGACACACACACACATACAAACACACATGCGCACACATGCACATACAAAGGAACACATACACATAGACAAATGCACATACGCACACACAACCACGTAGACATTCGCGTGAGCACACGCATACACAGTAGATAGACACCACACACGCACAAACACAGACAGAAACATACAGACACAGAGAGAGAAACATACACACACACGCGCGCAGAAACACACACAGAGACAAACACACAGACACAGAGACACACAAAAGACACAAACGGAAAAAAATGCAATCTGTAAAAGTGATGATAATTGATTTTATACAAACACTCAATCGCGATCCGCATTATTCATTCATCGAACACGACTTGTGTTTAACCTCCGGGGATGGTGGTGGGGGGGAGGAAGAGGAGGGGAGGGGCGGTGGGGTGGGGTGGGGGGGGCAGAGAGATACAAGTAAATTACCCCAAGTCCCCAATCCATGGAGTGGAGACAATGATCACAGAATCCTTAACCCCATCTCCACACCCCCCCACCCCGCCCGCCCCCCACCCAATACCCTCTGACATCCTTCCTCTAGACGTAAGGGTCCAATTTTCCCATCAAACGCCCCACTAAGTTGGGTCCCTGCTCACGGCCAACTGCAGACGGCCAATCCTTGCACACCCTGACAACCATCTGGAGAAAGGAGTCTTTCCATAGAGTCACAGCTCAGGATTAGAATTGGGATACAGCAGTTCAACACACAACACGCTGCCAAGATGGAGTCCTGCAGCTCAGGGCTTAGAGCACTCGCTTTGCAAGTGAGAGACCTGGGTTCAATTCCAGGCAGAGGGCGAAACCTCGGGCAAGTTTCCTTACTCCACACAGAGCCTAATAATAATCCCTCCAAAAAACCCAAAACAATAATAAATTGGTCATTTTCAATCCACGACTGTTTGTGGGACATTGCTGTGCGCAATTGGCTGCCGCGTTCGCCCACAAATATACAGTCAATTCACTTTACAGTGTGTTCTGTGAAGCGCTTTGGGACGTCCTCCCGACGTGAAAAGCCCTATATCAAATGCAAGGATTATTATTATTATTATAAGATGGAGACTGCCAAGATGGTGGAAGGTGAACTGGATGGAGCTTGGTCTTTTTTTGGTCTAGCTTTTCCTGCGTTCCTATGTTCCTCCCCAACTAACCCTCCCCACTGCCCAGCTCGGCAGGTTAGCTCTGTGCCTTCGCTCAGCAATTTTAACTTGTGCCTCAATTGGGGAAGTGTTTTGCCTCCCTTCCCCTCCCCTTTTCTCTCTCTCTCTCTCCCTCTCTCTCCTTCCCTCTCTCCCCCTCTCCCCTCATCCCGATGTGGCGTTGTATAAACAGGGGCAGGGGCTCAAATGACGATGGAAAAGATTGTCTGTGAATTACCTGGAAATCAAATAAAACAGTCAGAATGGTCAATGGTGGAAACGGAGAGAGAGGGAGGGAGGGAGAGAGGGAGAGAAAAAGGGGGAGGTGGAGTGGAAGGAGAGAAGAGAGGGAAAGGGGGGGGGGGGGAGAGGGAAAGAGGGAGTAGGGAGAGAGCGAGGAAGAGCAAGAGAGGGCAGCAGGAAAAGAGGAAACGTAAACGGGAGAGAGACCACACAGGGAAAAAAAACACAGTGGAGGATGGAGTGGGGGAGAAAGAGAGGGAGTGAGGGGAGTCAGAGAGCGGAGAGGGAGAGCGAGGGAGGTGAAGAGGAACGGAGAGCGTGAAAGATGGAATGGGTGGGAATGGGAGAGGGAGGGAGAAAGAGAGAGAAAGAAAGAAAGAAAGAGTGGAAAGAGAGAGGGGGTGGAGGAGAGAAGGAAAGGGACAGAGGAGGGAGAGGAAGCAGAGACAGAGAGAGAGATGGGGGAGAGAAGGAGCTGAAGAGGAACAGAGAGGGAGATAGAGACGGGGAGCAGGAGAGGGCAAGAAAGAGGGGAGAGAGAAGGAACGAGGGACTCGGGAGAAAGAGAGAGAGGAAGAGCCAGAGAGGAGGAGTGGGAAGCAGGATAAGAGGCAAAGTGAACGGGAGAGAGGGATGCAGGGAGAGAGAGAGAGAGAGAGAGCGGAGTAAAAACAAGCACACGGTGGAGTGGTGGTGGTGGTGGTGGTGGTGAGGGCGGGGGGGTGGGTGGGTGGTTGGGTGGGGGTGGGTGGGTGGGTGGGTGGAGGCGGAAGGAAAGAAGGAAAGAGGCTGAGGTGAAGTCATCCGTTTTCCAAAGGGAAAGAAAGACAGAAGAGGCTACAAAACCCACATTCACGAGTCTTCCCAAAAAAAGGGGGAACGGAAAAGAAACCTTAAAGAATGCAATGGTTTTACACACACACACACCACAAACACACACACACACACACCACAACACACGCGTGCACAGACACACGCTAACACACGCTCGCGCACACACCACAGACACGCGCGCATGCACGCGCACACACATACGCATACACACACGCGCGCACTCGCACACACGCGCGCGCGCACGCGGGTACACACATACGTACGCACCCACGCGGACACACAAGCAAACACACACACACGCGCATACACACGCGCGCACACCACACACGCGCGCGCGCACACACGCGCACAGGCGCACGTACATACACACGCACGCAAGCACACACACACGCGCGCGCGCACATGAACACACGAGTGCACACACACGCACCCACGTACACGCGTACACGCACGCGCACACACACGCATGCACGCACAGGCCTAATGAAATGAAGAGTGTTCTGAGGAGCTAATTTGACAAGCACCTCTTACGTTTATGCGAGCCTGGTACGTGGCGAGGCCGGCTGAGTTGTTGGCCGAGCAGCGGTAGATCCCACCGTCCCGCACCTGGGCGCTGCTGATGTTCAGGTGGCTGACCACGGCGCCCTGGCCCGTCACGTACTGGCCCAGCCGGTGGCTGGCGTCCCTGGCCACAGGCTCGTCGTCCAGCGTCCAGGTCAGGGTGGGCGGGGGGGTGCCCTTCACCCCACACACCAGCGACAGAGGCTCGTTGGCGCTCACCACCTTCTCGCTGAAGGAGGAGACGACCTTGGGCGTCCCATCTGTCCAGCGCAACGGGGAAAAGAAAAAGGGATCATGAGGTCAGGACCGGAAGGGCGGAGAGAATCCGCCGGACCACACGGAGCCCGAGGACCAGTCCGTTCTCCTTCCCGGCAGCCACTGGACACGTCGTGTCCCAAAGAAAATGGGAGGGAGGGGGGGGGATACGGAAAGGAGACCTTGAAGGACGCAACGGTTTTCCACACGGACCCACGCACACGTTCTATCCATGTTCTATCACGGTTCTGTCCATGTCTCTCTCACTCTCTCGTGCTCTCTGTATGTCTCTGTCTGTCTGTCTGTCTGTCTCTGTGCAGTCACTTGACGTGTCATGTCCCAAACTATATACTGTATCCCGAGATATTATTTTCTAGCAGAGATCCATCCGATTTGTTCTCGAAAAAGCAGACAACATTTTCTGCTTCCACCGCCTGTCTCCCTGGGGAGCCTGTTCCATACCATTTATTCTGAATTTACCGCCCCCCCGCCGCCCCCCCCCCCCCCCCGCCTGCCACTGCGCAGGCCGTGTGTCCTCTGGTTCTACCGTTCAGTACCAGACCAACCAAGAAGTAAAAATAATTAAGGAATAATAAATAATCCGTGGGGTCCCAGACGTCTAGCCGGCGGTCGCCGGTGGGAACGCTCCTCGAAAGCTCGGCGTAAAACAAGATGGTAGCGCTACCCCTCGCCCTCCCCCTCCCCGACCTTCAGCGGTGATTAAAAAAAAATAGCCTTTAAAAACTCCAGAGAGAAACAAAGGAAGGGATGTCAATCGCCGCTAATTCTTTGAAGGGAGTTTGATTTTAAGAGGCGCTGACTGTGACAGGCGCAGAGTAAGCTGACACTTTTATATGGTAATGTTCCCTAAGTACACCTCCCAGCTTTGGCAAGATTACTTTCCAAAGTGTGAAGATTGCTAGGCCAGCTCTAATTTGTTTCTCTCTCTCTCTCTCTCTCGCTCTCTCTCGCTCTCGTTTTCTCTCTCTCTCTCTCTCTCTCGCTCTCGCCCTCTTTCTCTCGCTCTGCAAAATCTCTCCCTCACGCTCTTATCTCTCACGGTCTCTCCGTGTCTCTCTCTCTCTCTCTGATATTCTCTCTCGCTTTACATTGCGCTCTGTGTGTCTCTCTGGCTCTATCCGTGTCTCTCTCTCACTCTCTCTTGCTCTCTCTCTATGTCTCTCTCTGTCTGCATGTCTGTCTGTCTGTCTCTTTCTGTCTCTGATCTCTTTTTCTCTTTACGTTGCTGTCTGACACACTCTCTCGCTCTTTCTACACCTCTCTCTGATGCTCTCTCTCTCTCTCGCTCCAAAATCGGTCACTCACTCCGTAGCTGTTCAAGGGACGCTGCTGTATGCAATTGGCTGCCGCGTTCGCCCACAAATATACAGTCAATTCACTTTACAGTGTGTTCTGTGAAGCGCTTTGGGACGTCCTCCCGACGTGAAAAGCGCTATATCAAATGCGAGGATTATTATTATTATTATTATTATTCACAATATGCCGTGTGAAACACGTTGAGACGTCTTGACGACGTGATAAGGCATCGTATCAAATAATCTTCTCCCCATCCACCCAAAAAAACAGAACAATTTGGTCCCTCAATCCCCCGACTGTTTGTGAGACACCGCTCTGCGCAATTGGCTGCCGCGTGTCGGCCACAAACTACGCAGTCTCTGCACTTTGCGTCCTGTGAAGCGCTTTGAGACGTCTCAGGGACGTGATAAGGAGTCGGATCGAACGTTAAGCACAACCTGGAACTGAACAAATCCAGAAATGGAAGATAATTTTTCCCTTCAATCCCCGAACTGTCTGTCAGCGCTGGGACTCTGTGAGGGGGGGGCCAGGTGGTGAGGCTGACTTCTTTGAGCCTTCGTCATTGCCAAGCGGTGCTTAATTTTTTGGGGGGGATGCCTGTTCTTCAGCGGAATCAATGCTGGAATAAATTTTACCCATTCATTTCACCCTCCACTTGAAAAAGCCCGTCGTCCGCTCACAACCCTCACTCTGATCAAAGAGCGTTAAGTTAATCAATTCCTTGTTACAATTGTATGCTTCTTGTCCCTCGGGGGGGAGAGGGAGGGGGTGGGGGGGGGTGTGGGGAGCTGGGGCGCACAGTATGCCTACGTCTGTGTGGTTATCTGTATGTCCTTGTGTCTCTGTAAGTGTTTTTGTTTGCGTGTGTCTTGACGCACATGTGTATCCTCGTGTGTTTTTGCGTCCTTGTTGGTGTCCTCGTGCGTATGTGTGTGTGCCGTTGTGCGTGTGTATATGTACATGTGTATCCTTGTGTTTGTGTGCGTGTGTGTGTGTGTCCATGCGTGTGTGTATGTATGTGTTTATATATATGTTTGTATTCTTGTATGTGTGTGTGTGTGTGTGTGTGTCTTTGTGACTGTGTGTATGTGGTGTATACGTGTATCCTTGTGTGTGTCCCCTGGTGTGTGTGTGTCTATATGTGTACGTGTATCCTTGTGTTGTGTGTTTCTGCGTCCTGGTGTGTGCGTATCGTTGTGTGTGTGTCTGGTGTGTGTGTGTGTGTGTGTGTGTGTGGGAGGTTCTATGTGTACATGTGTATCCTTGTGTGTGTACGCACGAGCGATTCTAATCCATGTTACAAAAACCTCTCTAATTAAACTTACATTTCCCCCCTCACTCCCGCCCCCGCCCACCCCCCGCATCCCCCCACCGACCCCAGCTCAGCCCCCCACAGCCTGTGCGTATTCAAGAGAAGAGGTGGTGGTGGGGGGGATAACTGGGAGGAGTGGATGGAACCCCAGGGACCGTGTAAAGTCCACCCGCTTGCCTTTCCTAACTTCTCTGGTTTAATGATACTGGTTCAGTGGAGTCCTGTAGCTCAGGGGTTTGAGCCCTCGCCTCACAAGCGAGAGGATCCGGGTTCGATTCCCGGACGGGGCGAAACCTTGGACAAGTTCCCTTCCTCCACGGGTTACGGTCAGTCGACGGGCGGATGGCTTTTCCTGGGCTAATAATCCCTCCGAGAAAACAATAATAACACTGTGCTCACTCAATCCACGGCTGTTTGCGGGGACGCTGCTGAGCGCAATTGGCTGCCGTGTTTCGCCCCCCCCCCCCACCCCCCAACGCAAAACAAAACACAGTCGAGTCACTTTACGGTACATTCTGCGAAGCGATTTGAGACGTCTCAGCGGCGTGACTTATCAAACGCGAGGATTATCACCCGCTTTGCGGAGGCGGCGGGGGGAGGGGGTTGGTTCGGAGCGCTCCCTTACTCTCTGCGCTCAATGAAGAACTGACACACGACGTCTAAATCAGAGCGGGGAGCGAGCCCGAGCCCTGTGTTATTGCCGGTGACAGGCTCCTCCCGAGATGAAAGGAGCCATTATTTTCCCGCTGAGAGTTGTGTGTTCTTTGAAAGCCTCTCCCCTAGTGTCGCTCTGTGATAAAACCCTGGCATTACATCGCTGCACATTAGCGGTTGTGCTCTGTGCGCATTTCTCAGCTGCAGCGGGAGACTGACTGCTTGTCATGGTAACCGGCCAGTCAGACAGACAGCCGAGCCACGCCAGCCGGCTCGGGCCCCTCGTCGGGGAAATAGCAAAGACGTGACGGGCACCGATGTCGAGGGAACGGCAGCGAGCCCAGGTTCTCGGGGGCGGGGGTGGTGTTGTGGGGGGGGGGCGGGGGTCTACTCGCTACGGAGGGGAGGGGAGGGGAGACGTCCCGCTGACTGTCCGGCGCCTTGGGACGCCCCCTCCTGTACAAACGGAACTTGTTATTTGTCGTCCTCCGCGAGTAATTTCGCCGGTTAAAAATTGCCTCCTTCGAGGCCCGTCTCGAGACCTTTCTCTTTGACCGCGGGTTCGCCCCACACTCCTCCCCCCCACCCACCACCCCCCCCCCACCACCACCCACCCCAACACTCCCCCCCCCCCCTGCTCTCTCCACCTCTCTTGATCCCCAACCCCCAGCTCGGGGGCAATACCCTAAACTGTCCAGCGCCTTGGGACGTCCTCCCAACGCGGGTGCGGCTGTACACACGCGCTCTTGCGGTTGTTTTCGTGCACACTTTCAAAACCGTGGAAGAAAACACACGACTCTGCCTCCCGTGTGGGAGGCAACGCATGATATCGAACTGCATTTGGGGGTGAGTACTTAGTTGACTTTAGGCTGCAGAATATATTTTCATTCCTGGCAACCCTGCCCTGCACCCTTGCCCTCGTGCCACAACCCTACCCACCCCCCCCCGCACCCCCACCCCCACCACACGCTTCGTCTCACTATTTCCATCCCCCCCTCCCACACCCCCACCACCCCCACCGCGATCGTCTACCATAGGTTAGACTAGTTTCCTTACTCCGCACACCTCTGTGTACCTGGAGTAAACAAGAGGAACTCGGTTGCTGGTCGATTGGTGGATCGTTTTACGGAGGATAATAATAATCCCTCCCAAAAAAAGAAATAACAATTTGGTCACTCAATCCACGGCTGTTTGCGGGGACGCTGCTGTGAGCGCAATCGGCCGCCGCGTTTTGCCCACAAAATACACAGTCAATCCACTTCACAATATATTCGGTGAAGGGTTTTGAGACGTCTCGCAGACGTGATAAGGCGCTGTATCAACTGCAAGGATTATTATTGTAATATTATTACTAGATTATTATTGCTATATTATTATTACTACTATTATTACTATTATATTATTATCATTATTATATTATTATTATTGCCATTAATACTATTATTACTATTATCTCTCTCTGTCTCTCTGACCTTCTAGAATGACCTGCACCAGCCCCTGTGCTGACGTCTTGCCCTTCCTCACGAAGCACTGGTACGCTCCACCGTCACTCTTGACCACTCCGTCCATCAGCAGGTTCTCCTGGTTGTCGCCTGTGATCCTGGCGTTGTTCCCGGCGGCGATGACCTCGGCGTTCTGGTACCACCGCACCACGTAATCCTCGGCTCCCGTCACCGAGCAGGAGAGAGACACCTGGCTCCCCACACTCGTCCTCACTGTCCGAGGGCTGACAACGGCTGTCAGAGGCTCTGGGGAGGGGGCGCAACGAGAAACCGCACTCAAGAGTGAGAGAGAGAGAGTGGGAGACAGAGAGACGGAGAGAGATACACAGAGAGACAGAGAGAGATACACAGAGAGAAGAACAGAGAGACAGAGAGAGATACACAGAGAGAGGAACAGAGAGACCGAGAGATACACAGAGAGAGGAACAGAGAGAAAGAGAGAGATACACAGAGAGAGGAACAGAGAGACCGAGAGATACACAGAGAGAGGAACAGAGAGGAAGAGAGAGAAACACAGGGAGAGGAACAGAGAGACAGAGAGAGATACACAGAGAGAGGAACAGAGAGACAAGAGAGACAGAGAGACAGAGTGAGGGAGAGACAGAGAGTGAGAGAGAGAAACAGAGCGAGAAAGCAAAAGAAACAGAGAAAGAGAGTGAGGGAGAGAGCGATGGAAGAGGTGAGCGATGGGGGAGTGGGAGGGAGCGATGGGGGAGAGGGAGGAGGGGAGAGGGGCGAGGAGAGCGATGGTGGGGAGAAGAGCAGTGGGGGAGAGGGGAATAGGGGCAGAGGGGAGAGGGGACTAGGGAGCGGTGGGGGAGTGGGGAGTGGTGGAGAGGGGAGTAGGGAGTGGTGGGGGAGAGTGGGGCGAGGGAGGGGAGGAGAGCGGAGGGAGAGGGGCGACACGGAGCCAGTTTTATCGCTGTTCCTTCGCTCACCCTTCACGGCGAGCTGGCCGATGACCTCGGAGGTCCCGAAGCTGTTCCACACCTCGCACACGTACTTGCCGGTGTCGGAGGGGCGAGCATTCTCGATGAGCAGCCCGGTCACCGTCTGGCGGAAACGCCCGTCCCTCTCCAGAGGCGCGTTGGCCTTTAGCCAGCGGGACTTGGCCCCCGGGTGACCGGAGGCTTTACAGGGCAGCTCCACCCTCTGACCCGCCGTCACCTCCCGGTGCTCAAACCCATCCAGGATCGTCGGCGCTGAGTTGGTGGGATCTGCGGAGGGAAGGGAGGGGAAGGGGGTGGGGGGGGGGGGGAGAAGAGAGGAGAGCGGAGTGGTTACTCTCCTCCCAGCCCATGCTCATCTCCCCACCCTTTCCCCCTTCCACCCACCCCCGCACACGCACAAAGAAGCACACACGCGTACACACAACACCTACAATCACATACACACACGTGCAACGTCACAAAAACACACACACACACACGCGCACACGCGCACAACACCATCACACAAACACACGCAATCGCAAAGACACACACGTACACACGGAATCCCACGTGCACACACATAAGCACAAACACACGTAAGCACACAAGCTGCGGTGGATCCACTCTCAGAGGCTATCAAGGAGATGTGTGTGTGTGTGTGTCTGTGGAATATAGGAACAGGAGTAGACCATTCAGTCCTGTTCCGCCATTTAATTAGATTGTGGCTGATCTGTACCTCAACTCATCCTTTCAATTCCAATTTCCTGCTTTCTCCCCATATCCCTTAATACCCTGACCTACCAGAAATCTATCAACCTGACTCTTGAAGGTGTGGATGGATCCAGCATCCACAGGCTTTTGGGGGAGGGAATTCCAGATTTTTTACCACCTTTTGAGTGGAAAAATGCTTCCGGATTTCACTACTAAATGGCCTGGTTTTAATTTTAAGACTGTTCCTCCTTGTTTTGGATTCCCCCACCAGAGGAAATAGCTTCTCTTGTATCTATCCTGTCGAATCCCTTTATCATCTTAAATGCCTCAATCAAATCACCCCCTCAACCTTCTAAGCTCTCAAGGGAATACAATCCAAGTTGACGCAGCCTTTCCTCGTAACTTAACCCTTTTAGGCCTGGTAACAGTCTGGTGAACCTGCGCTGCACCCCCTCCAGGGTCAATATATCTATCCCGAGGTGTGGTGCCCGAAACTGAACACAGTCTCCAGATGGGGTCTGACTAACGCTCTATACAGCTGAAGCTTCCTTTCTTCCCTTTTGTACTCCAGGCCCCTCGAGATAAAAGCCAACATTTCATTCGCCTTTTTGATTACTTTTTTGCATCTGGGAACTAGTGTTTAGTGATTTGTGGATATGGACACCCAAATCTGGAGTCCTGTAGCTCAGTGGTTAGAGCACTCGCTTTGCAAGTGAGAGACCTGAGTTCAATTCCAGGCAGAGGGCGAAACCTTGGGCAAGTTTCCTTACTCCACACAGAGCCTAATAATAATCCCTTCAAAACCAAAAACAATAATAAATTGGTCATTTTCAATCTACGACTGTTTGTGGGACATTGCTGTGCGCAATTGGCTGCAGCGTTCGCCCACAAATATACAGTCAATTCACTTTACAGTGTGTTCTGTGAAGCGCTTTGGGACGTCCTCCCGACGTGAAAAGCGCTATATCAAATGCAAGGATTATTATTATTATTATTATCTCTTTGCTCCTCCACGTTTCTTAATTCTTAATGCGCTTCCCTACATTGAACTCCATCTGCCACAGGTTTGCCCACTCACTTAATCAGTCTGATTCCCTCTGTAACGTCAAAGTGTGTGTGTGTGTGTGCGTGTAAGAGGCAGAGTGGCCCCTGTTACATTAACAAGCTTCTGCGGAGATGAGGGGGAGAGGCAATGAGGCTCTTACCTGAGACAAACAGCCTGGCACTGTTGCTCTGCCGGGTCTCGCCCGTGTATCTGTGCCGTGTGATACACCGGTAATTATACAGCCCGTCTTCATTCTGAACGTCTAAAATATACAAGGCTCCTGTGGGTGTGATGTGGAATCTGGATCCTGCAAAACAGCAGAGAGACAACGCAAAATGCTTTCAGTTATTCTTTGTTTTTCTGGAGGGGCAGAAATCGTTCTCGCGGGATCGCAAGATTGGTTCGACCCCACTTGATCTCATCCTAAAACACAGTCACTACACTTTACGACCAGTGACAATCCTCCTTGGATGGGGGGAGGAAGTGGGGGGAGGTGAGCGGAGTCTCCTTGGAGCTGAACTGGATGACATGCCAGCTTCCGTACGTCTCATATACCCAGCTGACCAACCGCACCCCCCGCCCCGCCACCCCCCCCAAGTGAACTAAGCACTGAAGGGATGGTGTCCTGGCCAACTCACTTCATGGCTATTTGTGGGACATCGCTGTGCGCAGATTGAGAGAGAACAATAACAAAATTACATGTGTACAGCGCCTCTCACATTGGAAGGACGTCCCAAGGCCCTGGACCATCAGTGTTTCGGACCCGAGCTGGGGTTTGAGACTGGGGAGGGTGGAGGGCGAGTGGGGGGCAGGAGGGTGATGGAAAGCACGGTCAAAGAGGAGGGTCTTCAGATGCGTCTTGAAGGAGGCCAGTGTTGGGGTGAGGCAGAGGAACTGCGGGATGGAGTTCCAGAGGGTGGGGGCAGAGCGGCTGAAGGCCCGCCGACGGTGGGACGGGCGAGGCAGGGGGCAGAGCCCGCTGAGCGGGCAGGTTGGTAGGGAGTCAGGAGGTCGTGGAGGAGTGGGGGGGGGGGGGAGGAGCGAGACCGTGGAGGGCTTTGAAGGTGAGGACCAGGATCTTGAACTGTATCCTCTGCGTGATGGGATCTTTGACATCCGCATAAACAGGTGCAAGTCAGGACCCCGGTGTAACGTCTGGTCCGAAGGACGACGTCTGTAGTAATGTGGTGTCCCCTCAGGCACTGTGCGGGATGGAGTGTGTGTGTGTGTGTATGTGTGTGTGTGCGTTAGCCCAACGTGGGGGCTTGAACCCACAACCTCCTGTCTACAGAGGCGAGCGGGCGACTGATTGACTGAGCCCAGGCCGCCAAACCTGACGACAGGAGCGATCAGGAGGAAATATCCGTTCTGCGTGTTTTTGGTTAACAAAAGGAAATGCTGTGCCTCAGCTGATGTGGGCGAAGGAGCAACGGTGAGACAGGTCACTGGAAATGACAGGCCGAGCTGGCCGTCTGCACTGACAGCTCGAGCCGTGCGAGCACACAGAGGAGGGAGGGCGGCGAGGGAGGTCTTTAATAATGAATCTCTTTACTCCTGGAGATCACCTCACTTGTTCCACTCACACACACACACACACACACCGCCATCCCTCCCGTCCAACCCACCCTCCACACGCACACACACACCACCCCCACGCACCCAATCACCCCACACACACGCGCCCCACTCACCGCATACACACATCCGTCAGCCCTACACACACACATACACACACACACCGGCCCCCCCACACACACCCCTCACCCCCCCCCCCAACACATACACACACCCACCCCACTCACCCCACACACACACACCCTCACCCCCACAATCCCACACTCAACCACCCCCACACACACCCCCACCCGGCCACCCCACACAGACACAACCGCGCCCCGCCCCCCCCCCCCACACATGGACACCCCCGCTCCCCCCCACACACACCCCACCGTTCCGCCCCGCCACCCATACCCACACACACGCGCGCGTGGCAGCCGATTGCGCGCAGTAGGGTCCCACAAGCAGTCGTGGATCGAGTGACCAAATCATTTTTTTTAAAGGATTATTCTCCCCTGGAAAGCGATCGGTGCCAATCTACTACCAACCGGGTTCTTACTTACTGCTGGTAAACAGAGGCGCGCGGAGCGAGGACTCTTCCCTTTCTCTTTTCGAACAGCGCCGCCAACGGATCTCTAACGTCCCCCCCGAACAGGCAGACGGGACCTCGGTTTAAACGTCTCCTCCGAACGACGTCACCTCCGACAATGCAACATTCCCACCCCCCACCCCACCCCACCCCACCGGCCCCCCACCCCCCCCCCCACCCACAGCGGTGCATTGGAGCGTCAGCTTAGACGGTGTGATTTTCAAGTCCCGATAGGCGCGTTGGCTTGAACCCACAACCTTCTGACTCGGAGGCGAGAGCGCTGCCGCTGAGCCAGGCTGACACACACGAGCTGTCTGGTGTGAGCGGTCTGCCTTGCCTTGTTCCGCCTTGTCTTGCTGAAAAGTGGAAGGTGCAAACTTTAAAGTGGATCAGGCACTTCGCTCGCACACCAGGGACATTCCAACCCTCCGCACGCCGCCACAGAGTGCGAAGCTGGCGTGTATGAATATTTAATAGTAACTCCTTGTCCTCTGTGCCTTTCGCCGCCTCCCCTCTCACTGTGGCTCGTCCTGTTTCGCGTGAACGGTGCTTTCTCTCCCTCTCTCTCTCTCTCTCTCTCTCTCTCGCTCTGCCCCGCTTGCTGATGACGTGCTTGGCAGTGGAATGGAGCCGGCCCTCTACGACGGTCTCCAGTCCGGTTCCTGAGCCAGGCCGGTCCGCGGTATTCCAGGGCACCGTTCATCACAGCGCAGACCCAGCCTGGCTCATCAGCAGGACTTGAAAGGGCAGACCAGTCACTGGCGGGGTGGGGGGGGGGCAGGAAATCCTCCGACTCAGCTTCCCTGTAAGCCAAAGCCCTAACTGGTAGGGTGGTCCTAGCTGGATAGGCAGCGGGAAAGCTTGCCGGACACCGCTATCAGTGGCAGGCAATGCGGTTTTAGCTGGTTAGACTCCAGCAGTTACCCCAACGCACTCTCTGGGGTCCCCCCAAAGCCTTGGCTCTTGCCAACCTGTGCCTAATACTTTCCGGAATTAGGTGAGCAGAGTGCGTCCCTCCAGGGAGAGAGAGAGAGAGAGAGAGAGAGCGCAATCCATTCCAACAATCTATCGCTGGGATTCCCAGGTGTAGGTGGGATGCAGGGAATTCTCAGTTTGGTTTGGAGACTCTTAAGCAACGGTGATGGGTTTCCGCACGTGTCAAAAACCACACGAAACAAGACGACACCAAACTTGAGGGTTTCTCACGCGTCGCGAAGGCTAAATCCTGTGATTCGTACAGCGGAGCCGCTTGGCGCTGGATAACACACGTCAATCACGCAGCCCCCACGCGTGCCGAACCCGCGCACCAATTGCACACTACACTCGCAAACACACACAGTAAAAAAACACACATGCACACTAACACACACATACCACACACACACACCAAAAAACACGGGCATACGCGCGCACACACACACACCAAAAACAAATGCACCCACGTGCACCAAACACACTTACTAAACACGCCAAACACGCGTGCACATCATAACAATCCTTGCATTTGCTCAAACGCCTTATCATGTTGTTGAGACGTCTCAAAGGGCTTCGCAGAATATGCCGTAAAGAGGATTGACTGTATTTTGTGGGCACAACGCAGCAGCCATTTGCGGACATCAGTGTCCCACAAACAGCCACGGGACTGTTTGAGCGAGTGACCGGTTTTATTTGGGGAATTGTTGGCCGGGACACTGGGAGAGAGAAAAGTGCCGTGGGATCTATGACATTCACCTGAACAGACAGACACGACCTGAGTTGAATCTCCCATCCAAAGGAGTTACATGGAATACGCACCACACCACCACCCCCCCACCCCACCCCACCCCACCCCACCAGTACTGAATTGGAGCGTCAGCTAAGACGATGTGATTCCAAGTCTCGACGTGGGGGCTCGAACCCACAACCTTCTGACTCAGAGCGTGGTCGGAGATGCTGTCCTTCAGAGGAGGCCTTAACTCTTCATCGCTGCTTGTGGGGATATTGCTGTGTGCAAATTGGCTGCCGCATTCGGCTACAAATACACAGTCATTACACTTGACAGCAATTACATGCGGAATGCTTTTCAACGACTTTGGCAGCGTATCAAATGCAAAGACTTATTCCCGAGCTCTTCCTTCCCTTCTCCATTCCTCCCAGCTTCAAAGGTCAGGCAAGCCCAGCTTGGGCACCGTTTCCTCCCCTCTCCCCCATCTTCTCCCTTCCTCCCACCCACCCCCCATCCCCCTCCCTACCCCCCCCCCACCCACCCCCACCGCCCGAATGAGACTGGGTAGGAGGTATGCGTTCGAGATTGCCTCACTCTCACAGCTTTCAAATTGCACTACATAATAACGCTTTCATTCAATACAGTGGCTGCTTACCACGTCAAAACATTTCATCGCACTTCACGGTCAATTGCTGTCGACTGCGTGAATTTGCACAAACAGTAAATGAAGTAAATGAACAATTCTGTCTGAGGGTGGGGTGATGGGGGAGTGGGGGTGTGGGTGGGTGGGGAGGGGTGTCTGGTGTGATTGTCGGCCAGGACACACAGGAGAGAAAGAAACTCCCCTTCTCTTCTCCGACAGCACCATGGGATCTTTAATATCCAACTGAACAGGGGGCAAGGATGTAGCCTCGATTTAACACGCAGGATTGCACCTTGAATGCGATGCCCTCTCTCTCTCTCTCTCTCTCTCTCTTTCTCTCCAAATCCCACCCCCCACCCACCCACCCTACCTCTTGCGCTGGCTAACATTCCCCGATTTGAAGATCGAACCCACGACCACGCTGTTTTGACCCAGAAGCAAGAGTGCAACAGACCCCGAGCTGGGCTGAGTCATATAATAATCCTCGCCTTTGATATAGCGCCTTATCACATCGTTCGGACGTCTCAAAGCGCTTCACAGTACACACAGTAGAGTGGATTCACTGTATTTTTGTGGGCGAAACGCGGCAGCCAGTTGCGCACAGCAGCGTCCCACAATCAGTCGTGGAGCGAGTGACCCATTCTCTTATTTCGGGGGATCGTCGCCCCTTCTCTTTTCGAATAACGACACGGGATTTTTACCGTCCACCCGAACAGGCGCAGACGAGAACCTCGGTTTAAAGTCTCATCCGAAGGACGGCACCTCCGACAATGCAACACAGCCCCCAGCGCTGCGTTGGAGCATCAGCTTAGA